CTTCTTACACAACAGGATTAATCCTGCACGAGATATTTTCTCAGACAATTGTTGAAGGCAAGAACCAACATGATTGTGTCTCATCGACAAATTTAGTACTTAAATAGTAATTGTTGTCGGATAATTTCATGCCCCATGAGCAATGGGGCCTCAAGGCCAATGATAGTTGAACCACTATGATTAATTATTGCCCTGATTTCTTTTGTCGTTCTGGAATCAGGGCCAATTATATATACATATATATATATGTATGTATGTAGGTATGTATATACATATATATATGAACATGTACTCATAGACATGGCAGGTGTGAAGAAACCCCACATGATTCATGAACGAATATTTATCACAGTAGTCGGCTAGTTAGCTAGCGACTCGTTTCTATCATTCTGGGCACTGCATCATATTCCCATGTTAATTCGAATGAGAATTGGCATGTTGGCGATCACGGTCGTCTCTGATATTAGTTTGTCTAGAAATGCCAAATTGGATGGTTAATTTAATTCATTCATAGAACATGAGATAAATACTTTCACATATTCACCACCACTGGCGGAGCCAGGTTAAGGGCTGTCATGGACTATAGCCCAGGTGGCTTCTGGAGAAAAATAAAATTTTACTTGTAATTTTGATTGATTTTCGAATGTAGCCCATCATATATTTAGTCACTAATTCAAATTCTCTAGGTTTAATTATATAAAATTATATAATACAGTTTACAAACTTTTTTTTTTCTTAAATTATTTTTTTTTTATTGCTTCTTGTACATGTACAAGTTTGAATTTGTTTAATTACAAAAATTTTTTACTCACCTTGTGAAATTTTTTTAAGCTAGCTGATATTATATAAAAAAAAAGGGTATCAAATTTCTTTATCTATAAAGATTTAAATTTTAAGCTAACCCATCTGGTAAAAATTTTCTAGCTCTGCTATTGTTCATCACAAGCTTTGGACTTCAAGAATTAGAATTCCTCGGAGAGTAAGAAATGCATATTGATTAAAAAAGAAAAAGGTTTGAAAAAATGTAATTGGATCTCATTGGAAAGAGATGGTTAAGAAGCCTACATCATCTCTCTTTGGAAAGAAAAAAGAAATTGTAGCAATGATTTCTTAACTTTAACTTAATTGGAGTAATGGTCCCTCAACTAAAAATTAAGGGAGTTTTAACAGAAAGCTCGCGGTACTGTTCACTTTAACGAAAAACCACATTTTTACACTAAAAAATCAAACCTAGTACTATTCACTTTACTATTTATTTTGTCCTTATCATTAAAACTCAAAGTTTTCAAGTCTTTTTTATTAGTTTTCCTAAAAATTAATGACCATAGGTCCCTTAACTCCTTAAAACATGCAACTATGGTCCCTTTCATCAACTCAGTAGAAATTCTGTCAAAATGAGTCACATGTCATGCACATGAGGCTGAATCGAGGAGCAAATATGTAAAACCAAATGAGAAAAATTGTAGTAATGGTCCCTCAACTTTAACCAAATTATAGCAATAGTCCTTCCAATATAACTCTTTGATCGAATTCTGACGGAGTTAACGAAAAGAACCATAGCTGTATATTTTGATGAGTTAATAAACCAATGATTATGAATTTTTAGTTGAGAGATCATTTGCTACAATTTTCTCTAAAAGAAATGGTTAAGAAGCCCACACCATCTCAACGAGACCTCAATAGTAGAAGCCCAGACAACGTCTAAAAGTCACTGGCTCACAGATTGCATGCATGGAATTGCAATTCAATACCTCGATTCCATGCAAACAATCCTAAACCATAAACCCTTTGTGCAACCCTACCTCTGTAATCATGTTGGTTCATCAATAAAATCTCGTTATCGTTTTTTGTAAAAGAAAAAAGGTCTTTCATATCCATTATCAACCACCACGGCAGGTAGTTCAGTGGTTAGGGACGAATTACAAGTCCATATTTCACATAACACGCCTTGTGTTCGATTTTTGAAGCTGATGAATTACACAATGGTGGCCAAAGGGAGGTTGAAATGCCTCTATGAGTCTTATCGGCTCTTGGAATGGTGGATTGCCATAACGAAGTCACCAACTGGCCCCTTATAATGCCTCTATGAGTCTTCTCGACTCTCGGAATGGTGGATTACTATGACGAAGCCACTAACTGACCCCTTATTTTGGACCAAAAAAAATACCAATTATCAAATATTGTTAAATAAAATTGTGACTGAGGTCCAAAGCAATCAATGTGTATCATGTTAAATATTGTGTGTCACAAATAGTGCATCATCATGTCGACAGATTTGCATCCGCATTACGCAGACACCAGGAGCTAATGCCTTATGTTGCAGGATAGATTCTCTCGTTCCTACTTACGACTTTATGCTTAACACAATCAATTGAACTATCATTTCAGTTAGTTAAAGTGCTTAACTAAAAGTTCAAAAGTAAATTAGGTCTCATCACACCACTGTTCCCACTCCCGGAGGTAATTCCGGGGGTAACAAAAATTCAAATAACTGCGAAAAGCATGGCTCCCTCGCCGTCTCACACTCACTCATTAGTTGGTCGTTAAATATATATGGACGGGCATGGAATTTGTAGGTAAAAAGGAGAATTCAGACTTGAAAGTCTAATGTGATATCTTAGTCCGTTGATACCTAACAACGACAATCTCTAATTAATCATTCCCTAATATTAAAGATTTGACTCCGCAAACCGCGGAGGAGAACGTTCCATATTATGTGGAAGTAATTTTTCTTTATATATGTGAACTAATTTTTATGTATCTGAACACAGTCCCGTTGTATTATTATATTACTTCAATTATTGGGTAACTTCCCCTTTTACCATGAAGTTTTGTGAAAATCGTATTTTGTTCACTTTTTTTTTTTTTTTTTTGGTCTCACTTTCATACTTTTAAGTTTATTTAATTTCAAATTCCACGGGGCACATATTTGGTGGATCAAAATTATGCCATGTCATCGGTTAACAAAGGATATTAACGGAAAGATCAACTATCGGAAGTATTAAGTGGAGAAAAAACAAACTTTAAGTATGAAAGTGAGATGAAAAAAGTGAATAGTAAAGTACGATTTTGATGAAAGTTGAGGCAATAAAATGAAGTTATCTCAAATTATGATACGGATAATTATGAATATACCCTAAAGGCGTAACATTTCAAGCTATCAACAATGTTGTTTACACTTTACACAAAATAATAACACCACCTTATTGTTTTAAAAGAAATCAAAGATTAATACTCAGTATTTTATCTTTTCTAGTATAGCACTTTGAACAAGAAATAAGTTGCATATGATGTGTTAAGGTCTTCCAGACTTCCAGTAGGTCTACGTTTTACTTTTCAATATTTTCTTTCAAATACCAGTAATTGACAAGAAATTAGGAAAACATGTGTTACATTACATGAGAAATGTTAAGAAGACTCTCTTTAAGTATGACTATTCGCCACCTCATGTTTTTAGCACAATGTTTTATAATGTTGATACAGAAATTGTGCAAAAAAATGAGATGTCAGAGAATCCATAGAGAATTTCACATTTGATAAAGTCTCTTTAGCATCTCTCATATCGGTATATGTTGTGTTAATTTTCTCCATCAAGCTAACCAAGAATTGACAAAAAAGGGGCTTTAAGATCAGTCCAAAAAACACAGACCTGCAGCCTACGAAATTTGAACCATCTGAAATTATCAGGACAAAAACAAAAACCGTTACAGAAATTAACAACATCAAATCAAATTTGATGTTTGTGACATTACATATATGCGTACAACGTGGTAAATCATGCAGTTTCGTACACAACTTTGCATGCATATGCCTAATTAATTTGAAATTTTCGTTAATTAATCCATATATAATATGGTCGTATTTGTAAGGTGGTGGTGATGAGTGGGTTGCCGCCATAGCCATGGACCTGCTTTTAGGTTGCAAGCTGTCTCATATAATTTGACGGTGGGTTTTTGAAAAGGGAAAGATAATAATATGAAAGCAAAATGCCACACAAAAGGATTGGAGGGTGAAATGTATACCATATATATTTATACGATACAACTGAAAGTTAGGCAGATAGATCGAACTTAATCATTACAAGGTTTACAATTTAATAACAGGTAAAAGTCAAAATTAATGGGCAAAAAGTATTTTTTTTACGAAAAATTTATTCACTATTTCGTCACACAAAATATTTCTGTTTTAATTAGTACTTTTTTGTCCCTGCATTCGTTGGAACGATTTGCTAAAGCCTAAAACGAAATGAAAGTATCAAATTGGTTTTACATGGGGATCCTTTTACCTTTTAGGCGTCGTTATCGATCGAGTGATGCTATTTGAGCAAATAATTAATATTGTTGTCTTCCATTACATGACCAGAATGATTAGCAAATTAGGTTAAGTAAAATAGCATAAATTTGTTTATTTCACTGGAAAAAGCATAACATAAATTATATCTCCAACATCAATTCATTAACTTTCAAACAACGGAGCCTTCAACAAATTAGCATTTCCAATCATGAATCATACTACATATATATATATAAGTAGATCGATAGCGATAGTAGGTTAAACAAATCATTATTAGGGAGGACAGAGATCAGTTGAAATCAAACTCGTAGCAACTTGCATAGACAAGATTCTTTTTCACTACTACAGACAGCACTATATACACACACACACACATGGATATAAAATATGGCATATATCTACATGGTATTTTGGTATATAAATATAAAACCACGCATCTACGCCGTTGATAGCGGAGGAACAAGTTGCCACGTAAACTTTGACTAGTATGTTAAAATTGGCATTAAGGTCATGATAACAACCTCTCTCGTGGGGTCCTCTCTCTCTACGAAATTCTAAACTAGGGTTCGTGTCCATTTTTTCACTTATTCAAAGTCGACGACCATCTGTTAATTAATAATTTAAAATATATAGTTTTCTTTCTAAATGCTACAGTTAACCCTACAACTATATAATGACTCCCCCCACCATATGCATTTACACAAAATATAAATTAAAATAAAAGTTTCTCCTCCTCTTCATCTCTCTGTAGCTCAGGCACAAAGTTTATATTTCTGAAACCCTAGCTTCTTTGATGGCTTCTAACTTGTGCTTGAAGACCCTTGCAGTGTTGGCTCTTGCCCTTGCGGTTTGTGTCCAAGCCACTCTAGGTTGGTTTGTGATCATTACCATATCGTCTGATATTCATTCGTTTTCAGTTTTCATTTTTTCATTTGTTAAAAATTGAAAACTTGTTTAGTAATTGTTGTCGGTTTTCAGTTTTCGTTGAAAACCAACAATATTTATCAAACAACTTGTTATCAATCAATATTTATCGAGATAACCAGCTAATTATTTGCAAAAAATATATAATACGATGCATGCATGCAGGAGGAATAACATGTGAGAATCTAGAGCACGATGCATGCGCATTCGCGGTGTCATCGTCCGGCAAACGCTGTGTGCTTGAGAAGCATGTGAGAAGAAGCGGAGAGGAAGCGTATACGTGCCGAACATCGGAAATTGAGGCTGATAACTTGAAGGACTGGATCGAGAGCGAGAAGTGCATCAAGTCTTGTGGGCTTGACCGCAAATCCTACGGCATCTCATCGGACTCTCTCCTGGAGTCTCGATTCACACAAAAACTTTGCTCCCCTCAGTGTTACGGCAACTGCCCCAACATTGTTGACCTTTACTTCAATCTTGCTGCTGGTGAAGGTGTATTTTTACCAAAACTTTGTGAAGCACAAGGAGCAAATGCTCGTCGAGAGATGTCGGAGATTCGTAGCTCTGGATATGTTGCACCGGGACCAATCAACGCGAAATTAACAGCACCAGGGCCAATCAACTCAGTGAACTTGGCAACTTCTTATACACCAGCGGAGGGTGCCCCAGCCCAGTCTCCTTACTAAGAGAGATTTTTCAGTGTGACGGGAACACAGGATGGTACACCAGTGTCACTATACAAATGGTAAGATATGTGTGTTAAAAGGTTAATAACTAAAAAAATAAAAGTTTCCATCATTTATATAAAAACAAGTGGTGTACCACTCGTGTTCCGGTCAAAAAAAAAAAAAAATTCTCCTAGTAAGTACACCATCATGAATGCACCAAGGGCTGAGTTTCCGGCCGGGCTCGATATTCTGCACCAAAATATCTTTATGTGTTGTTTAAATTATTACAATATATGGAACTTAGAATTCAGAAGTACTGCGTATGTAGATTAATTAAGTGAGCTATTTGTGTTGTTAAAGCTTGCGTTCTAGCTTTTGTATGCTTTAATTTTCAGATGGATTTAATAATAAAAATGCTTTCTACAGCCTTTATATGTATGTTTGCTTCTTGAGTTGGCGTCAAGGGCGGAATTAGAAATTTGAAGATAATTTTTATAGGATGACTCTCGTTGAATGCTAACATGAATATTGACGGAAAATTTGGAAAATTACGTAAAAAATAAAAAATGCATAAAAAAATTCGAATATGAAAATCACTTCTTGTAAAAAGAAAATTAGCCTGGCCAACAAGTAGTGGACGTACCATAATATGTATAGCATGGTGCCAAAAACTAAATGGTCAACTAAAATTAAAGGGACATTTACCTTGTTTGATAGGTTAATTGGTGTGCCTTTTCCCATTAATTTAAGAAAAGATGAAACATACCTCACACCAAGTGAAACCGGATGATATATAGCAGATGAGAAATTTTTGTTCGGTTGGTTGAATCAGGTAATTGTGAATCTGCTCCATGTCGGTATAAACCCTAATGCAGAGGCAGCACTCCTTTGTGATCCGATTGTCGAACACAAAAATTTCTCTCGAATAAATTCAAAGTGTAGAAGATGAGAAACCGGCGAAGTTTTCGAATGATTGGGCTAAATGAGTTATGCTGGACTTAATTACAGTGTGCCGCATCATATGCTTTTGGACACACTACACAATACACACCATCATCATCCTCAATGGTTGCCAATTACGCTTCATGATTTATCAGTTTGTTTGTCAAATTGCATTCATATTTGTGAGGATTGCGGAATTCTCCAATCATGTTCGTTCATCATACATCGTACGATCAGAAATTATTGTAAATTTTTTTATTTAAAATTGAATATAAACAGTACCTGATAAAAACTAACCGCACGATGTATATGAACAAACGTAATTAAAAGATTTCCGAAATCCTTACAAAGAGAATCTAGAAAGGATCCTCATTCTATATAAACATTGGTTGGTTGGTGGGTTTAGGTTTAGGTCTTGGCCAGGGGCCCGAACGACAGAGACATCTAACAGAAAGCACACATTAGTATGGTGGCTTTTAACTTACTCCACCATCACCAGATTCACAACCACCCAAACTTCATTCAAAGGACGACCACATACATTCTACATTTCATCAGAATTAAGAAATGCCATGGCTTAGTTTCATCAGCAGACCGATTTATTGAGCGATTGTCCGCAATCAATAAAATTAACATTGACGTGGATGGAGAAAGATTTTGGTATGACTGAATCCTTAATGATTGAGACAACTTTCACACCAGGTGAAACTACATAGTGCTGGGCCGAAAAAACATTTTTGTGTCAAACAGTGGAACAAAGTAGATTTAACTCCATGTGGTTAATGCAAAGGCTGGCTCCTGAGTGGTTTGGATAGTCTACTTAATCTGATTATCGAAAACGGGAACTTTTATAGACACCAAAATATAGGAGTGGGTTCGAAAAACCAAAAATTGAAAAAAATCACACTGAATACCGAACCAATTGAAAATCAAACCGAAACTAAAAACACGAACCAAAACTTTCTATCAATTCATGAATAAAATGCATATGAAGGTAGTAATTAAAGGCAAATCCAAGATTAACAATTTGACAGAAGAAACAAAAATGCATTTTTAATCATCTTAATCTTTACTTACCACCCTCATATCATAGACTCGATTAACATATTCAATAAACATATTTTCAGACAACTCAACTGCTACCATCTAAAAACTAAGGAAAATGAAAAAAACCAAACACACGAATCATGGCCGAAGAACGAACCAGAATCCAGCAATCCAAACCCCAAACAGAAGCGTATTTAAATCCGCAACACAACTTAAACAAAAAAGAGAACATTTGCGATCAAGATCAAGCCTCCTCCTGAACTTCCTCTTCCTCTTCATAGTCGTAACCCTCCTCATCGGCTGTAGCATCCTGGTACTGCTGGTACTCTGAAACAAGGTCGTTCATGTTGCTCTCTGCCTCGGTGAACTCCATCTCGTCCATTCCCTCTCCGGTGTACCAATGCAAGAAAGCCTTTCTGCGGAACATAGCAGTGAACTGCTCACTCACCCTCCTGAACATTTCCTGAATGGATGTGGAGTTGCCAATGAAGGTCGAAGCCATCTTCAGACCCGTTGGTGGAATATCACAAACAGTGGACTTGACATTGTTCGGGATCCACTCAACAAAGTAGGATGAGTTCTTGTTCTGAACATTGATCATCTGTTCGTCAACTTCCTTGGTGCTCATCTTGCCACGGAACATGGCTGAAGCAGTCAAATACCGCCCATGACGTGGATCAGCGGCGCACATCATGTTCTTTGCATCCCACATCTGTTGAGTGAGCTCTGGAACAGTAAGCGCCCTGTACTGCTGGGATCCACGGGATGTGAGCGGAGCAAACCCAACCATGAAGAAATGCAATCGGGGGAATGGGATGAGATTAACAGCAAGCTTGCGGAGATCTGAGTTGAGTTGACCAGGGAAACGAAGGCAGCAGGTTACGCCACTCATGGTAGCAGAAATAAGATGATTGAGGTCGCCAACTGAACCAATGAGAAATCGTTGGTTAACTCACGTCGCGTTTCTCGTAGCAACAGGAACTAAATATCAAAAACATCTACTGCCCTCAATTGTCTTGCAAACTAGACCAACAAGTAAGAATCTAAACATATAAACATTTATAAGATACAAAACGTAACCACAGAGCCATTTTAAAGACAATTTCTAAAGGCATTCGAAAAATGTAGCATCAAAAGAAGCTACAGGGTACAAGTGAACGTAAATTGCACAAGGCTACAGGCTTCTGTGTTTATAAGCAGAACCAATTAGTCAAATTGCATAACTTACAAAACAGTGACCCGAGACCAAAGGAGCGGCAAAAGAACAACCATACCAATGCAAACAGGACTCAACCATATCTTGTCAATACAGAAAAACACACAAATAATCAAAAGCCCAAAGTGCATAACTAATACTTCATACAAAGTGAATCATCTGCACTTTCAATACAAATACAAACAGAGAAAAAACGAACAATTCACTCTCGAAAAACCAATGTATTAACCACTATTCCTCCAATTCACAATTCCAATTAAATTTTACACGACATAAGCATACAATACAAAATATCTAATCCCGCAGATAAATGCTAAACCCGAGAGAGTACCGTAAACACATTCAAATTCAACTTCAAAAACTATGATTATGACTCAACAGGGTACATTATACAAAGAAAAGAAAAGAAAAGAAAACTCACAGCTGGGAGTAGTGAGCTTCAGTGTTCGGAAGCAAATGTCGTAGAGCGCTTCGTTGTCCAAAACCATACACTCATCTGCATTTTCAACAAGCTGGTGAACTGAGAGAGTTGCATTGTATGGCTCAACGACGGTGTCGGACACCTTCGGCGACGGAAACACGGAGAATGTGAGCATCATTCGGTCCGGGTACTCCTCACGGATCTTGGAAATGAGCAGAGTTCCCATTCCGGACCCAGTCCCGCCACCCAAAGAGTGACAAACCTGAAATCCTGTAGCCAAACAAGTCATAAACCTCACAATTCGCACACACTAAACAAAGAAATTGTTTCCAAACAGAGTCTAATCAAAATCTTGTATCCAAACACTCGAAATTTCAAAAAATGCACACGGATCTAATGATCTAGAAACTAAAATCGAACTCGAAATAATACCTTGTAAGCAATCGCAGTTCTCGGCTTCCTTCCTGACGACGTCGAGGACCGAGTCGATCAACTCGGCGCCTTCGGTGTAATGACCCTTAGCCCAGTTGTTTCCGGCGCCGGACTGGCCGAAGACGAAGTTATCAGGGCGGAAGATCTGGCCGTAGGGCCCTGATCTGACGCTGTCCATGGTTCCCGGCTCGAGATCCATGAGGACGGCCCGTGGGACGAACCTCCCGCAGCTGGCTTCGTTGTAGTAGACATTGACGCGCTCGAGCTGGAGTTCGTTGTCGCCCTGGTATCGGCCGGTGGAGTCGATGCCGTGCTCGGCAGCAGACAACCTCCCAGAACTTGGCGCCGATCTGGTTGCCGCACTGGCCTCCCTGAATGTGGAGAATCTCACGCATTTTGGTGGAGGAGAGAGAGTGAAGAAGGAGAAGAAGATTCTGGAAGAGAGAAATGGTCAAGGAAGAAGACGAAGGGTTTTGGAGAGTGAGGGACTGACGTCTGGTATTTTATAGCGGGTGAGATGACGGACGTGTTTGACGGCGCCGTTTGGTTTGAGTGGGAATTTAAATTTTGAAAAGCGAACGTGTAATTTTGGAAGCCAGAAGGGTCCGATCCTGTGCAATTACGGTAGGAGACTTGAGAGAATCTCAACAGTTAATTTGGTTCGGTATGTTTGAGTCTTGTTTGGTGGACGGTTCGATGTTAAGGAGTACGGAGGACTGGTGCTGGTTGCAGGGATGGGGTGTTTAACGCTTGAGAAACGACTGCAGAGATTGTGTTCTACGCGCTGTGAGGTGAATGACGGTTACGCGCCAGCGGAATTGTGGGTTAACTGGGTAATGCTGGATTTGGTTTGGATGGGGGCAGAGAAAAGAGAAACTCTTGCAGAGTCGCACATGAGTTCCGCGCCGGGACACGTGACTGGAATGGACTATAGAGGGTCGGTCACGTGAGTAGCACTTTTATTTTTTTTTTTTAGTATATCGATATTTTTATATGATGAGAAGTTCGATAAAATCATACAATGGGCAGCCTAATTTGGTATGGAATTCGCCATCCACGAAATTCGAACCTAAAACCTCTCACTTCCAAATGAAGAGGAATATCATCCGACCGTAATACTGAGTGACCATGAGTAGCACTTTGAGCCTTTTTGTTACTTCTATTTTAAATAATCACTAAAAAGGAAATTTAGTGTGTGTTTATGTTTTAATTTTGGTGAGAGTGCTTTTTAAGCAAGTGTTTTTATCTTTTTTTTTTTCTCAAAATTTGGGATACATCACCAAGCATGTGTTTATTCCTTCACACTATGTCTTAATTCTTAGATCAGACGATCAAATTATGTGATTATTTGGTCATAACCGTAAAACATGTCATCTTTTTGTATTATGATCCCACCCTTCTTTTACGATCTCACTTTTAGTGTATAGTGCACAATGTGGCCATTCGAACACAAGAATATCTCTTTTATAAGGTTTTAGCATTTGTAATATTAGAAAAAAAAAAAAAACATATCCTTGATGGATAATCACTTATAAACTAGTCCTAAGGCATAGTCTAATCGTATTACTCATTTTCTTTTTGTAATAGTCGAACAGGGTCTTAAATTTGAATCTCTATTTTCATTAATAAAAAACAGCTAAAAACAATTTGAGAAAATTTAGAACAAGTCGTCGATATATAAATGGTGGTTTGGACTCTCACATCTATTGAATATGAACCCAATTGCATGAAGTGTAGGTATATATTTATCGACACTTAAATTAAGAGACTTTATTTAGATGGTTTAAATGTCACATTTCAAGCATTTTCTTATTATATTTTTGGCCCACGAGTGAAGTGAGATCCTATTAGTTGGGGACTAAAATAAACATGGTCTATACCAACCCTACCTTTTACTCAATCTTTGATGAGTGAAAGTGGCCCACAAGAAAATTGGGTAGTGCTACCCACACAATCTTTTTTACATCGCATACATTTTTTTGTTAATTTATGTCATTTAATATTCTTCAATTCATTTGAGTTGATGGCGATATCTTTTTTTTGTTTGGGGTTCAGGAGAAAAGAAAGGAACCACCACCCAATAATGCTTTTATGAAAGCACAATCACCGATGGTCCTCCACGGATTCAATAGTCAAAAATTGAGAAAAATATGTGAAAGGTAAAAAGAGATGTGTGGATCACCATCTAAGAGAAATAAGCAATGTTGTCCTCGTCATCATCATAATCATCATGGAATGAGATGGAAGTAGCTAGATCAAGTGTACCCATCATTCCACCCTTCGTGCCAAAGCTAAGAAACTCCATGATTTTAAAGCTACTAAGATATGGCAACAACCCACTACCAAAGAAGACCAAATTTTGTTAACATTATCACAATTTCACTTGATTGCTATTGATTCACGATGTGCACTCATTTGTGCAGAGACTTACTTGTAGCCTGTTTCAACTTTATTTATTTTACGTGATGAGAATGCAGAGAGATGAAGCTATAAAACCTGTTACTTACAACTTATCTTTTATATAGAAAGCCAAAGCCCCATTTTGGGGTCATGGCTTCAATAAAAATCCATAGGACAAAATTGCCCCTCAACCAAAAAAATTCAAAAGGAGTCTAATATAATATATCAAATAATGCATGGGTAATTTGGTAATCTGGTCATTATAAAATATAATATAAATATAAGTGGGAAGAGAGGAAAAAAAAATAGAATGATGAGTGAAAGTTGATGGTGCCCATGAAGGGAAAAAAATATAATAAAAAATAAGAAAAATCATGAATGTTGTGTTTAAAACATCTTAAGAGGCGTGTAATGTCGGTTATAAAAAAGGTATTTCGAACACAGATAATAATGTGATTAAATAAGTTGTCAAATATTTTTTTTTTAACAAACAATATTATCTACGCTAAGAGAAATGGGGTGGGTTTAGCCTCACAATCAGTTAGCAATAATGTGATTTAAATAGTTATTTATTAAATATTATTTTCTTTATAAAAAAAAGTATTTCGCTCGCGGATATTAATGTAATTAAATTAATTGTCAAATTATTTTTTATTTTTTAAAACAAATAATATTACCTACACTAAGGGGGAGGGGGTTGGTTTATCCTCACAATGGGCTAGCAATAATGTGATTCAATCAATTATTTATTAAATATTATTTTCTCTATTCTTAATCTAAATTCTATAGAAACCGATTTTATTATGTGAATTCGGCTGCTTTAATTGGTTTATGAATGGTTTCTTCTAGCATAATATAAAATTATTCATTTACTTCAAATATTTGACTTTTCTGTTGTCAATTTATGCATACAAATACATTTAAAACATGTAAGTTGTAAGTAGCATACCGTGATTCAAAAGATGTCTTCTGCACACGCATGAGCGCGTGCATGAAGGCTAGTTTTTTGTAATACGAGGATATGAACTTATAATGAAAAGGCTATATATTACAGTACATATTGAACTACAACAAGAATGCCACAATTGTTGTATCCAAAGCGAATTATGCATTACCACGCGTTTTCATGCTTCAAATACAAAACCAATATATGATTAATTTGTAATTATTATAGGACCGCAACAATAACAATTCCGTTATACAAAAGTTATTCGCCGACTTTAAAGGGCGGTTATTGGCTTAGGAGGAGGCCAGTGGCAAAGAGCTGAAAAGTTATAGCTCTCACATGGTTCAGTGCCACACCTTTAGCTTGCTTACATTCCAAGCAAACCCAACATTCATGTTCTTGAGTTCGGCAGTTTCTCTTTTGATCCTTTTTTGGTGGGTAGGAGGTGTCAGATAAGTTAATTGAAATGAATGAGCATCTTCTTCGGATCCTGGTTGTGAGGATCCTGGAGATTCTCAAATCGTGTTCGTTCATCGTAATTGTTTGGTCAGAAATCATTTTAAGTACTTTTATTTAAAATTAAATATGAGTAGTATCTGACGAAAATTGACTACACGATATACGATGAACAGACATAATTTGAAAATCTTTAAATCCTCACAAAGAAGATCCGGAAGTACTCTCATTCAATCGAAATGTGCAAGAAAAATCGGATGGTCATTTTATAGAGATTGACCGAGGCTGAAATTGTATTGGACCCAAGGCCCAACAGAATCGTGCTGAAGTTCGAAGGCCTGGCCCATTTAGTCATCACTCCTACCGGACCAACACAAACAACGCCAGGCCCATGGGGCCCGTGGCTCAAGTCAGTAGCTTGATACGAAGAGTTACCGTTCCAGTTCCCTTGAACGGTGGAACCCTTTACTGCTTCTCCCAAAACCCTCCAGAACCCCCAGAGCTCTTGTTTCGGCGTCTGAGACAAAAATGGTGAGCAAGAGACAGAGAGAAGCTCGCAAGAAATTCCGAGCAGAACACCCAGAACTGGCTAAACAGCCGACTCCGCCCAAAGACCCAACTAGGAAGAAGGACAAGAAGAAGAGCTCGTTCAAGCGCAAAAAAGCACCCAGCGACCCAGCCAAACCCAGCAAAAATCCCCATAGAAAACACCCCCTCAGAGTCCCCGGCATGAAGCCCGGCGACAGCTGCTTCATTTGTAAATCCACTGAACATATCGCCAAGCTCTGCCCCGAGAAAGTTCAGTGGGATAAGCACAAGGTGTGGTCTTTTTTCAATTGTCCGATGTAGTTTGAGTTTTCTTTATCTGGGTATTTCTCCTATTGATGAAACTTGGTATATGTCGTCGAAATGAAATTCATGTGTGTAACTGGAAAAATGGATTATAATGCATATGGGTTTGTGGGTATGTTTTGTTTAGCTCTTAGTAATTGGAAACGGCGGTGGATGCTTGAATCGAATTTGGCGTTTTGAATGGTTATTTGCAGAAGTTAATGGAATTGGATTTTTATTTGAGACATGGTTATTTATGGTGTGGACTGTGGACTGTGGAGTGGATGAAATTCCAGTTTTGATATCGTTGTGATTATCTGATTCTTGCAGATATGTTTATATTGTCGACAACGTGGGCATAGCATCAAGAATTGCCTTAACAAGAAAGATGATTCTGTGGCTGAGAAGTTATGTTATAATTGTGGGGAAAATGGACATTCGCTTTCGAACTGCCCCTACCCTCTTGAAGACGGTAATCTTTCTAATCGATTAGGTTATGTTAACTTGGCTTAATAATTGGATGGTGCATATGGGAAGCTGTTAATTGGCTGTTCTTTAGTGGGTCTGTGTAGTGGTGGTCAACCGGTCTTTTAAACATGACAGCATGCATTTGAAGTTTACATGAGTGATGCAATGGTTTATAGCATCACGATTCACAAGTAGCATATATTATTGGCAAGCACTAGGTTTGAACAATTTCCAGCTGAAACCATTTACCTTTACTGAAATTAGTAATCCTTGCGCTAAAATCTTTGGTTTCACTGTTGACGTATTATCCAAAAAAATTTATAGAGGGACATTGAATGTAGCTTGAATAAACATGAACTTGAATATTTAGGAGGGTTGAAAACTTGACATATATTATGTTGTTCAGAACTGCATGCCACTGAAAGAAAAAGTCTAGAAGAGGATATTTGTCTAAAGCTCATATGAGTTGTCGAATTCCTCCCACCACCGGTCTTTCATCATGTGTTCTTTTTCTCCAAAGTTCTACTGGGCTGTACACATTACTCAGATAATTGCAATGGATATTTGTTTGTCATTATCGAGTTTTTAATTATACATCGCAAGTAGCATATATCATGTTGAGTGGGTTTAATGTCACTTTGAGTACCCAATTACATATGGGGGACATGTGCACTCTGATAATAACATTTTTACTCTATGGGTATGTTACTGCTTTGTTAATCATTTTGTTTATCTGGTAGTGCAGGAGGAACTAAATTTGCCAAGTGCTTCATCTGTAATGGGACGGGTCACTTGAGCAAGAACTGCCCTGAAAATACTCATGGGATTTATCCAAAGGTAAATGAATTAATATTTGTTAATTGACTTGTCATAGCAAAGGGGTTGAACTTTCAGGACATAGATGTTATTGATTGAAGTTTGAGCCATCCGAGCCAATTTACTTCATGAATGAAATCTGACACTTCCCTATATGAATGAATTTCATCTCTCAGGGTGGTAGTTGTAAAATTTGTGGGGGTGTAACACACTTGGCGAAGGATTGTCCTAACAAAAGCATCAGTTCGATGTCTGCTGGTAGATCTGCTCACTCGTGTAAGTCTTCCATTAGAATTCCTTACTTTGTCTTTCCTTGGAGTTCTTGAGTTCTCAATTTACTTTTTCATCATCTGATGTTCTAACCAACAAATTAGTAGTAGATTAAGGTGGCATAAATGCGCAGGTCTAAGTTTTAAGCAATTTGATGTTAGACCAAGGCGTTGGAAAGAAATATCTACCTTTTCCTTACTCTTCTGATTTCATTATCTTATGGGGAATACTGACTCCCTCAGGATTAGGCAAAACTACAATCACCTTGATCATGTTTCTGCAAATGATTCTGAATTTTTTGTCCAATTATACGATATCAATCATATTCTTAAATAACGGGTTTTAATTCTTGGGCAGGTTTGGATAACCTACTTTAGAAAAAAACTGATGTCGGCTCCTCCCTTCACCCTCTCACAATTTTAGTACTATATAATGACAAAAGTTGTGGTATTTTCAGGTCTTTTACAAAGTACTCTCGTCGATTTTGAATATTTTGTGCCTTCTACTTTTCAGGGAAAGAAAGTGATCTGCCAAGAGGAAAGGTTACAAAATTTCTCAGTGGAGATGACCTTGAGGACGATTTCAGTTTCATAGATGAGAAGAAAAGTGGCGGTACACAAGACAAGTCTGCAGATGTAGTTGGTTCTGCATCTCTTTCACAAGAAAGTACTGTAAAATCGAAGAAGAAGAAACAAGGACCCAAAGTAGTGAATTTCGTTGGATAATGAGGTTTCACGAGCGAAGAGTCAATTTTCCAGTCGTTCTTTTGTATGGCACGGCTCACTTCTGTCACGTAGCATTGGCACCATCACGATTTTGCCGTAGTCTAAAATAGTCCGACGGTGTTCAGAAATGATTTTTGTAGTTCTTAATGTATAAACCTTGAGTTGTTATTTATCATAATTTGTTTCGAGTTCTCTTGCCTAAAATAAATGACTCTTTATTTCTTACGAAAACTAATGAAAAATGTTTGAAAACTTTGAGTTTTTACGATAAGGACAAAATAAAGGGTAAAGTGAATAATATCAGGATTGATTTTTTAGTGTAAAAATGTGGTTTTTCGTTAAAATGAACAGTACGGGAGCTTTTTGTTAAACTTCCCTTTCTTCTTTTCTTTATATGTTAAAGTATCCAAATCAAACATTATAACATAGTTAAGGAGTTGATTAGTTGTGGACATCATCAGCCATAGAAGCTTCAGACAATTCTCGACCTCTGTTTCGTCCCTTAAAACTCTCTACTTCCCCGCAAATTTCTGGTATCTTATGCCCTTCTCCCCCAAAAAATAAGGCTCTCTTTCCCTCTGCTGCTATACTTTCCATCTCTCTTTCTTTTCCGGCGTTCTTCTTCATTTCTCACTGCACTCCCGTCTCTTTTCCGACGACAAAATGGTATGTCTCATCTCTCCCTCAAAATAAAATAATTAATGACAAAGGTTAAGACGCATGTTACAAATTTAATCTAACTTCGCTTTAACAAAAGCGTTTTGAAATCTTTTTTGTGAGCAATACATAATTGGCATAAATGATCGTAGCCAAGTTGACCGGAGCACGGGCTTCCCTTCCCTATAGTTTGGATTAGATTAGAATATCGCTCTTGCAACGTCCTCCCCCCTCAGATATGTAATATGTATAAGGTTTTTAATACGGTTTTTTGGTTTGGTTTGGTATGGGGTAGGCGGTGTCTGGCATGGCTGTGAATGATGAATGCAAACTCAAGTTCGGGGAGCTAAAAGCGAAGAGAAATTACCGATTCATTGTATTCAAGATTGACAAACAAGAAGTGGTGGTAGAGAAACTTGGCAGCCCAGATGAAACATATGAGGATTTCGCGGAGTCGCTGCCTGCTGATGAGTGCCGCTATGCTGTCTTCGATTTTGATTTCACCACTTCTGAGAACTGCCAGAAAAGCAAGATCTTCTTCATTGCATGGTAATCAATTGACTGAGCTAATTTGTGTTAATTGTTTCCTTTATTAAGCGTCATTTTATAAGGTGCTAATGTTATGCATGAAACTTGATTTTCTTAGGTCTCCTGAGATATCAAAGGTGAGAATGAAGATGGTGTATGCAAGCTCTAGAGATCGATTCAAGAGGGAACTTGACGGCATTCAAGTCGAGTTGCAGGCAACTGATCCGAGCGAAATGAGCCTCGACATTATTAAAGGCCGAGCTCTTTAAGCAGCGGATCTTCAACCCTTACTGGACAATTACATTCGTCCATTTTTCTGAGAAGATCTTTTGTTTTTGTAATTTTCTTCTTCTTTGTATGGGTTCAATACCAACCGTGTACTTTATTGTAATATTATGAATTCTTTTATGATTTGCAACTTCTTGCATCAATGTGTTTAATTTAGTCAATACAAGGTTTCATCTCTGCTTCAGAATCTCAAAGTACAAATTCAAGTGGTCGAAAATTCACGATTGGAATTAAGATGACAAGTTCAGAAGAAGAAGAAAAAAGTAAATTGAGATATGTTTGTTCAGAGAAAGACCTATGAAGACTGGGACAAAGACTTTAAGAAAAGATATAAAGTACTAGGAGCTAACAAAAAGCCTGACGTAAAACCGAGCACATTGACGTTCTAGGATTCATATAGCCAACTCCACTTATGGAATCAGGCTTTGTTGTTGTTCTTGTAGTGGAAAATCTTTCTGCTAGTAATATTTAGAAAGGAGTAATCATAAGACAGGCTAGGTTGTAAGTACTCAAAACTAGTTGTATACACCAGTACATATATATATCTATGTGTATGTGTTTCTATGTAACCCTCTCTACGACTGCTCATGATCCTTCCAATAATTCTTCTCCCATGTTTCTACTTGTTTGATTGAACTTTCTTTTGTACGAAGCACTTCAAAAAGAGACGCCGGATCATAAGGCGGAGGCAAGCTGCAAGGTTCACCGACTGCAGGACCCTTCACCAAAGATTCCATCATAAATTTCTTTTCTAACCCTTCTGCTTGGCAAGCCATTGCCTCCGAGCAGAGTTCAATCGCTTTTTGAGGTATCCTAGGCTTGAATTGTAAGAGGTTTGCATACTCGTTTAAAAGATGAAACATGTAGTCATACACATAGTCCATCTTCAAGTCCTCTTGAATTAACTTACTTGATGCCTTTCCGATTGCTTGCGCCTAAAGAAACCAATGAAAAGTAATGATATTAACAAAAATGAATGTTGAAATCTGCAGAAAAGGCGTAACGATTGAATTACAGTACCTTTTTCTGGTGACTGTTGCCCCAATCAACAGCAAACTTGATAGATCTGCACTTGTCATCATACTTTATGGGCCAGTAGTGGTGCAGCGGCATCAAAGTTCTCGTGAAGAAATCGTAGTAACGGGGCTTTACTATCAACGTGACAGAATCACATGCAAGAATGTACTTTTCACTCACAGACCAAGCAGAGCCTTCTATGTAGATCTTGTACCTGCAATATCGTGCATGGAATGAGCAAAGTAGTGCAATTAGGAATGTCGAAAGTTCAAAAAATACGCAGTCGTAAACTGTACCTATGAACGCATTGGCTTGCTAAATCGGATCTCTTGAACCCTTCCTGCGCTTCGCGAGACCAATCCTGCATTGATTTTTCAGGAACAATGTCAGATTCTGTACTTTTGGTCTCAATGGTAAAACCGGAACAGTAACAAAATGAGATGGAGATTACTAGGTAAAAGTACCTGAGCATAAAGGCGAGCATACCAATCATACTGGTCAGAAACATTGCATGTCATGAGTTCTTGCCTGTGTTCAGCAATAGTTGGATTTCCCTTCCAATAAGCATAAGGTTCTCTATCTAGCCATTTGCTCCTCTTGTTGCCTTCCTCTAGGTTCTTTAGCAAAATCTCCCATGGCCTTATATTGATTTCAGCCCTACACAAGGAAGAAGGTAAACAAATTTCACAAACACGTTCAAACAATGTATTCCTTCATCTTTGGACCGTCGATCAGGCCGAAACCCTAATGCCTGATTCTCAACAATCTCAAGTATACGCTCCCCTCTTTGTAATCACAGAACCAAGTAACATGAGAAGAGAATACATTCAGAAGGGGATATGAAGGGGATATTTCACCAATTGTCAACTAAAAAAACAGATTTTCTTGCGAAACAAGAAAAGAAAAAGTCGTGAAGTCTTACCATCCCCAAAAGGACCAATCTGGGAAGACAACGTCAAGTGTGTTGTCATCCCCACAGTAGCGAAACAACGGTGGTGGAGTAGTAGAGTTGGGTCCGTCATAATCCCCTGACAAAATGACGGGCCAGTCAACGCAGTCAAACATCATCTCCAGATCCGGCACTTTCCCTGGGTACCTCCGTAACAACTGTAGGATCCCCCATATTGTAAAAGTATCTCTGGTCTGAAACGCCTTCTCATATTGCTCGACGTAAGCCTTGCCATTCACAATCACCAGCTTGAAATTGGCCGTCCGATTAGCCCTCTCCACCATGTCCCGTGTGATCCCGGTGTGGGCCCATGGCCGTAGGTCTTCATGTATCCAACGAAAGTATTCCGGACACGTGGGCGATGCTGGACGATCAGGATCTTGCTCCGGGTGGAATGTGGTAGGGTAGTTCGAAGGGCAGGTAGTTGTGAGGTTGTAGGCACTGCAGTTGAGTGGGATTTCCAATTGGCTCGAGGGGTTTTGGGGAATTTGACCGGTTTTGTTAGGGTATGTTTGGGATGTTTTGGTGGTTAATGTAGGTACTTGAGATGTAGTAGTACTAATTAGAGTCTCTGTCTGTTACAAATGGAGAAACAGGAAAACAAAGCTCATCAGTAAAATGCTATATAGACCAATAAACCTAAAGAGAGCGTAATGACTGATCTTATACGACAACACACTCATAGGGGGTGCGAATAGTTGGAGCGCAATTTAGAAGGGTTTTAGTAATCAACTCTACTCGATATGTGGCCCAATAATACCTACGAAGTTCACATTAACGAATACACTTGCAACATATGCTAGAAAAAACTTCTATGTAACAGGTTGATTGCCTTCAGCCTTAGAAGAGAGAGGAAAGGATACAGCCTTGTGGGATGGGTATCTCCACTTGCAAGAACATTGCTTAGTTAAAACGTAAGAGGATACATCAGTCTAGTTTTGTAACACGTGTTATATTTTGACTAAATAATATTCTAATCAAAATTTTTCTTAAAAATAGAAATGAGCGGCATAAACCCATTAGAAGTAAGTGATTGCCCGAGGAACATATACTCTCGCGACATACGACATTGATTAATGTCGTTTTGACAAACATCGTTTGCCTTGTACGTTCTTCATGATTAGAAAATATAAAATAAAAACAAAAGTAAAAGATGAATATTGGAAATAATGGTGGCAGATAGTGATATATATGATTACTTACGGAGGAGTTGAGCAAGCGTGTGCAAACAAGCGCGCCGACGAGGACGAAGAGGAAGAGGAAGATGGCAGATAATCTTGCAGGCGACTCCATGAAATGGCCGCAAGATAAAGATAGTGCCCTTGTCTGAAAACTCAAATGGCTATAAATATATGACCCGGTTGACAGAAAAATCGTATCTGATCCGTACGATGACAAGTAGTACCCTTGGCTCCCTCGTATCCCCGAGGTTATTTATCCGATCCGTACGACAACGAGTAGAACTTTTGGCTCCCTCATACTGCCGAAGTTTTCTTTAAAAAAAAAAAAAAATTACTTTTGGCTCTGAATGTCTGTATATTCTTTTACAATCTTTGTTAACTAGTTTTTGGGAGTCCTCGTAGTTTTGTGGAAAACCATGTTTCTAAATCCGTAGTTGGAAACCAAATTCCACGGATCTAAGTGGTGGTACTTATTTCTCGAAATAGTAAGATCGTTTTTGTTTTGACTGGTTGAGCCTCATAAAACTCAAAGCACTGAATTTTTTTAGGGCACACACCTCTTTTTATTTTTCACATACTATCCGACAGCCAAAAATTTAGATAATTCAGTATGTACATTAAACTGAATTAATTCAAGAAAAAGAAGATGCCGGAGAAGGTGACTGTGACATGAATCAGCCCCACAGAATGTGAGGCCTTTGGCGATCGCCTCTTCCGAACCTCCTCAGGGCCGGCCTTGGCCCGAGTGAGCAGTAATATGTATTTTTAATTTTCTTTCAATTCCACTAAAAATATCATAATTTAATAATATCCCATTTGTCATAGTTTGTATAGAATTCTATTTGCATGGATGGAACAAATATATGGAAAATCATCTGTATACATCAGTCTACGAAACCCTATCTCTATGATTGCTTACTCTGATTCTCCCAGTAACTCCTCTCCCATGTTTCCACTTGTTTAATTGAGTTTGTTTGTCTCCTAAGTAATGCAAAAAGAGACGCCGGATCATAAGGCGGAGGCATCGCGCATGGATTCCTCTCGGCAGGACCCTTCACCATAGAGTCCATCATAAATTTCTTCTCTAACCCTTGCGCTTGGCAAACCATTGCCTCCGAGCAGAGCTCAACCGCTTTTCGAGGTATGGTGGGCTTGAACTGTAAGAGCTTTGAGTATTCGCTTAACAGATGAAACATGTAGTCGTACACGTAGTCCATCTTCAAATCCTCTTGAATCATTTTGCTTGCTTCCTTTCCAATGGATTGTGCCTGAAGAAACCAATGCAATAAGTAAACAAATATGGAAATCTGTGGAAAAAGCCTAACAATCGAAATTATTACCTTTTTCTTATGATTGTTGCCCCAGTCAACAGCAAACTTAATAGATCTGCACTTGTCATCATCTTTTATGGGCCAGTAGTGGTGCACCGGAATCAAACCTCTTGTGAAGAAATCATAGTAGCGGGGCTTAACGATTAAGGTAACAGAATCACATGCAAGAATGTATTTTTCACTCACAGACCAAGCAGATCCTTCTATGTAGATCTTATACCTGCAATGATTGTGACATAGAGGAAACGGAAGTCAGGCAATTAGTTACAGCATGGGCAAACTGGATCATAGATATGTTGACAATAATTAAAGCAGTTTCAGCCAAATTAAACTCCAACTGATAGTTGGATGTTTCTACCTATGAACGCATTGGCTTGCCAAATCTGATTGCTTGTATCCTTCCCTTGACTCTTTAATCCAATCCTGCGATTTATTTTTCAAAAGCATTGTCAGATTCTGTACCATTGATACACATGGTCTGAATTTTTTTACTAAGCAGCAACTGTCAGAACTGTTAACCGAAGGAGAAATTGGTTAACGGTACTATTGCTAATAGGCAGATTAGAGGTACAAAAGGAACAATTAACCAAAGGAGAAATTGGTTGACGGTACTTGAGCATAAATGCGAGCATTCCAGTCCGTTTGCTCAGAAACATTACATTTGAGCAGGTCTTTCCTGGTTTCAGCAACAAATGGATTTCCCTTCCAATAAGCGTGCGGTTCTCTGTCTATCCAATTGCTCCTACTGTTGCCTTCCTCTAGATCCTTTAACAAAAGCTCCCATGGCTTTATATTGATCTCCGACCTACAAAACGAAATGGGAACCTACATATCATTTTTGAACGGATATAAGAATAAAATTACACCAATCTACATTTGGCAATACACTCAATCTTTGGATCGTCAACTGTGATACATTTAGTGTAGGACTGATACTCTAAGGGTGCACTGTGCACCCAATTGAATAAATTCATTAGCATTACTAGCAGATTATCAGTATGTTCACTTAACTTGTAGCACAAGCCATGAAGGGCTAAGGTTATGAATTATATGTATCAATGAAAAACATGATTTCAAAAGAAAAAGAAAAGGCCAAGAAATCATACCATCCCCAAAACGACCAATCAGGGAAGACGATATCGAGTGATCTGTCATCACCGCAGTAGCGAAACAATGGTGGTGGAGCCGTGGAATTGGGCTGGCTATAGAACCTTGATAAAATGACGGGCCAGTCAACGCAGTCAAACATGAGCTCCAAATCAGGCACTTTCCCTGGATACCTCCGTAACAATTGTAGGATCCCCCACAATGTAAAAACGTCTCTCGTCTGAAACGACTTCTGATATGTCTCCAAGTACGCCTTGCCATTCAGGATCACCAACTTGAAATTGGCCGTACGCTTGGCACTCTGTACCATGTCTTTTGTGATCCCGGTCTGGGCCCATGGCCTTAGGTCCTCGTATATCCAACGGAAGTACTCCGGACACGTAGGTGGTGGTGATGGACTGTCGGGATCTTGCTCTGGGCTAAAGGTGGTAGGGTAGTTTGATGGGCAAGTTCGTGTGAGGTTGTAGGCAGTGCAGTTGAGTGGGATTTCCAATTTGGGTGGAGGACTTTTGGGAATATTAGGAGTTTCGGGAGGGTGCTTTTGGGATGCTCCGGTCGTTACTACTGATCCTTGCGAAGTATCAACTAGAGTCTGTGTTTGTCCCTCGACGCAAAAGCAAAGATGCATGTCAAACAGTATAACCAATAACCTAACAGAGGTAAACATTTTTTACGTCAACACAAACACCAACAAGCATGCATTCCTTTGTCATCTAACGACGAGAACAACATTTTTCATGTCACAATTAGTCATAGGGATTCAACATGAAAAATATAGTGCCGGCTGTTAACTATATGACGCACTCTTCCTTCTTTTTTATTCGGATTTGAGATCGACAATATAAGATAAACTTACACAAACAAAGTTTTTTCACGTCACCATTAGTGTTTGACTAAATATCGACAACTGAAACTATAAAGACCAAAGTGAAACTTTGCCAAACTTGTTGGGCCAAAATAATTATTTGTCCATTTTTCGAAGAAAAATGCTGTTGACACCATGATTAGGATTGGGATTAACATAATGTTTTGGGGGTGAATTAGTCAATTTGGATTAACGACGCACACTTGTCGTCAATTAAAAATAAAAAGTATAGGTGCCCCAGTTTATAGACGTCACGGGTGAGGTGAGACACCACCCTACGTGCTGGTCCCATCATGGCATGCTAGGACAGCACTTTAATCGACAGTCACGGCAAATGTTAAGCAGCCCTACATTATTCTCACGACGTACGACATCGATTCATGCCGTTTGACAGACGTCGTTTGACTTTCGTACCTTCTAGGCTCTAGCTTTTTCATAGTTCTTGACATTACCATTTGCAGATGATATTACGTTTCTACCATTCAACTATGTGAGTCGAAAATAATTTTTTTATTTATAAAATAGGGTTTTTCTACATAATTATTATTGATACTTTAAAAATCTTATTTTGTAATATAAATTTTTTATAATTACAAAGAATAATACATTTATGAGGAGTGTAGAATGAAATTGTTGAATATTAATAACAGTTCCCTTTTAATAAATACAAAAATGGTCCTTAATAGTCTAAACTACTAAAAAATAATCCAACATTAGATCAATTAGATTAACAGATAAGGAATCGTTATTAGCATTCTAAAAATCTCATTCTACACATCTAACAGACAGATGTATTTTTCTTTCTAATTATAGAAAGTTTAGAATGACAAATGAGATTTTTAAAATATCAATAACAATTCCTTATAAAAACCCTATTTTATAAATGATAAAAAAATTATTTTCGACTCACATAGTTGAATAGTAGAAACGTAATATCATATGGAAATGGTAATGTCAAGAACTAGGAAAAAGGTTAGAAGGTACGAATAACAATTTCTTATAGATAATATAAAAATATAACTAATAAAATTATCAATGTTTGGAAAAAATTAAAAGAAAAACTATTAATAAAAAACGAGGAAATAAAAAATGAATATTGCAAGCAGGTGTGTCAAAAACAGTGTGGAGCAAAAAGACTCACAGGGAAGTTGAGAAGGCGCGTACAGACAAACGCGCCGAAGAGGAGGAAGACGAAGACAACGGAAAATCTCGCAGGCGACTTCATAAATGGCCGCAAATATAAGATAGCTTCTGTGAAGTGAGTGTACAAGGAGTGCCTCTGCGTACTTTCGTTCTCTCTCATCCCTTTTCTCCGCAAACACTCTCTCAATTATCCTTTCGCCCTCCTTCTTGTTCTCTGAGAACCGAGATTTGACTTCACAGGTGGAAAAAATCCAGGGATTTGGTCAACTGGGTAGGAGGAGGAACTTGTTTCCTGAAACGGGTCGGGAATAGTTTTGGCTGGTTGAAGCTGTATGGAGCAGATGAAGTTGGTGCGTTTGGTTGGGAGCCAATGAGAAAAGGTTGAGTTTTTGTTGGTTAATTGAGCGTGGAAGTTGAATTAATGCTGGAAGTGGATGTGGGAGGCGGAGGCAGAGAATAAATATGATATGAGATCTAGATCGTGAACTTGCTTAGGAAAATGGAGAAATGACCGAATTGAAAAGGATTGTTTTGGTAATTAGCAAAATTTGGTACGACTAGCAGTAGATCGGAGACTGAGAAAAAGGGCAGTTGGTTAAAAAATGTTGGATCGAAAAAGGAAAAATAATAGAAGGAATAAAGAAAGAAGAGATAGATGAGAGGTGGGGGAAGGAACACGAACACAGGAGGTGAATAGTTAATATTTTTCAAAGTAAGACTTTTGGGATTAAATTTTGTAAACTAAATCATATGAAAGTTGATATTAGATTATTACTTAAACGTTGATAAACGTGTTCATTCCTATTCGTGACACATCATTTAATTTATAAATTTTGTCTATAAATTTAATTTACCTAGCATTACCTTTTTTCACGTGATCATGTGACTCCTCGTTTGTTGTTTGCTTCATATTTTTGTTACAACAATGCTTGGTTATGAGTGTGAACTCTATTCAAGGATGGATAAGACTAAGAAGTGTTCAAATCATGAAGTTTTATGCTTGTGATCAAAATCTTTCATATTATAAATCACATTACAAAACTTACTTAAAAAAGAAAAAAAAAGAATTAAAATTAAAGTCGTTTAGTCAATGTATTATAAAAATATATTGATGATTCGTAATATTTTTACAAATTTCATTCGTACAATTCAACGACTAAATGATCTATCATAAACACGAAGTTTTATGAATCGATAACAAACAGTTTTGAGTAAGAACTCGTACTCATCTTTTAAGTAACCAAGTATTATTCTTTTTGTTATTTTACCAACATTAGGATATTTACAAGACTTTGCTCCAAAATTTGATACCAAACTCTCTGTGAGCAGGGACCAACTAGTCTTGAGTATTTATTTTCACCATAACTTGTTGGGTAGATATGAGACGTTTTCCAACTGAGTGGGGACCAACTAGTTTTGTTTTCATTTTATACCGTCGAGAGTGTATGACAAGAATAAAAAACAAATGGTGCAGGAATCATTTTCCAAACTGAGTAGGATGAGGGGAAACAAGTGGTCTTAACTTAAGGCTTCGTTATCCGTTTAATAATAAATAAATCACCTAGTCCAAGTGAGCCTAAGTCAAAATTTAGCTGTCAAACTTTAATTGGTTAGGAACATCATCTATCCTGCTTCGGTGTGTGTTCTCGTCACTTCCAAAAATTTCTTCATTTATTGCAATATATTTTGTTGTAAACATTTAGGTAAATTAATTTTTGTTATACAATATATTTCTATGTATTTTGTCTTATTCATTTAGTTATATTAAATTCATTATAATACATTTCAATGCATATATTTAGGTAGACACATTTCGGTATATACATTTCGATACAAACATTTAAGTACATTAATTCAATATAATACATTTTGGTGCATACATTTCAGTACACATATTTAGGTACATTAATTTAATATAATATATTTCAGTGCATATATTTTGGTACATACATTTTGGTACTAACATTTAAATACATTAATTCAATATAATACATTTCGGTACACATATTTAGGTACATTAATTGAGTCTTTCAAGTTTGAAGAATGTTAAATAAAATTAATAAATTAAAAAACTATTTTTTGGTCAAAAAATAAATTAAAATTTGTATATTAATAAATTTAAATATTTAACTGGGAGACATTAAATAAAATGCACATTAATTATTTCAAATTAAGGATACATCAATAAATTATAATTAATATGTAATCTAACACCGGATTTATTATAAATTTCAATCTTTTTAAATGATTAATGTTAAAAAATTCCTTTATTTTATGATAATTCTAGCAACAATAATTTTTTTTTTTTTTTTAACGTTATGGGCCTTATGGCCCTTCTAAATTGGACTTGAATTCATATTTGTGGAGGTGGAGCCAAAGGTTGTTACCTTTTTATACATTATCTTAAAATCATACATCAAATTATAGCAACATCATCCTTGTCTTGAAATTAGACAATAGAACATGGCCATGGCTTCACCAGAACCAGGCTTATTTTCTGCAACTTTGGGCCCCCATCTAACCAAAAATTTGTTGAAGCTAAAACAATTAACTACGAGAAGTGATTTTCGCAATTCTTTTGACCTTGTGCGTATTTTCGTTAATTTTTTCAATGATTTTCTGTTGATTTGTTCGTCAAAATGTACAAGAGATGAAAATATGGATGCAAAAATCACTCCCCTTAATCAGTTCCGAGTTCATTTCAACCAGTAGTGTTCATAATCCAACTTGTGTTTTTTTTTTTTTGTTCATGTTAATTCATAAATTTGAGATGCTCAAAAACATTGAGATGTGACAAATTATATCTCGTTTGAGTCACATGATAAGTATTATACTTACACATAATATACCCCGGTACGATGTAAGAATCTGTCTATGAATGCCAGCAGGGCCAGCACCAAAAGCCTTTTCTTCCTCAAAAAACTATTGTCACGATCATTATGCTCCCGAAGAGAGGCGTTACAAATTATGGCAACGGTAAAGCCTCTGATCTTGAAGAGACATAACACTGACCTGACTGAAGAGAATAAAATTATGATAAGATATCAATTCCAACATATTAACGCTACAGACTAGGCCTACCAATCCTCTCCTTCTCTCTCTCTCTCTGTCTCTCTCTCTCTATATATATATATATATATGTATGTATGTATGTATGTGTATAGAGCATTGTTCATTTTTGTTTATGTTTCTCCAAAGTTAAACTTTAAAGCTGCAGATTCCTAGGGATTCTGTAACCTGTGTTGAAAAACGAAAGCAGTTTTGTTCTGTTATGTTGTGAAATTCTCTTCGAAGTGCTAAAGCTGATACAGTTTTCTGTTCTTTGTAAGCAGTGGAGACATAAAAAACAAAAGCCACTGAGGAGTTCAGAACCTATTTTAGACAGAGACTTGACCTGTATGTCATAGACTCCTAGATGCTTTTAGGAGATCAACATAGAACTAATTTACTAACATTGTAGCGTTTCAGTTCAATAATGTATTGTCATGCGGAGAAAATTATCGAGGATTAGAGCCAATTAAACAAGTACTGTTGGATTGAGCCACTTGGTCATTAAGTATTAAGGTCCTACATGCCATGCCATACACAAATGGGGAGATAAATGATGGTTTTGATTAGTGTTGTCCATCATTCCCATTGGAGCGTGTCAAAACAATTGAAAATGCACTGTAGACTGTGTTGTTAAAGTGATACAGATTACAGAAGAAGAGGATTAGCTTTGGAGGTTGAGCTAACTACCAAAACTCACGCTTTCCCGCTCCACGCGTGAACCTTCTTTCTCATGCTTGCTAGATATATATATATATATATATATATATATATATGTGTGTGTGTGTGTGTGTGTGTGTGTGTATTGGGTCTCCTCTTGCATATATAATACTAGAGTTGTGGTCTCTTGATACCTTCATTGGAGGCTTGGAGCTACACAACCATGTCTGTGAGTCTCTCTCTCTCTCTCTCTCTCTCTCTCTCTTTCAGGAGAAAAACTTGAGCGTAATCGAGAATATATTACCGTCTACTTATCTCACTCAATACTTTATTAGTGAGACTGTGAGATAGGGTGATACTAATGTATATCCGCGGTTAGATGTAAAAACTCACACATACGCAAATACAGAGTTATCACGGCGGAAATAAGAAAATATATTGACAATGTATAGATTTTGCAGATTGTGGAGGTGAGAGTTCCAAACCTTGATTGTGAAGGATGTGCTTCCAAGTTGAAGAAAGCTCTCTCCAAACTCAAAGGTACACAACCTAATAAACAGGGTGTTTTTATTCTTCGCTTTTGAGTGGCATATTATGTATTTCTTTCCACTGCAAACTAACTGCAATTTGGAACAATAGAACTGGAAATACATTATAAGCAAATAATAAGTCATATCGTATATAAATTACGGTTTAGTATCTCTTTTATTAACGTCTTAGTCTTCCTTAATTTTTCATTTTTAATTATGTATTCATTGCTTTTGAGTCGCATATTATGTATTTCTTTCCACTGCAAACCAACTACAATTTGGAACAATAGAAATGGAAATATATTAAGCAAATAATAAGTCGTTTCGTATATAAATCATGGTTAGTATCTTTTTTATTAACGTCTTAATCTCCCTCAAATTTTTATTTTAATTAAAAATACAAGTGAAATATAAAAAAACATTTTAAGTACTTTTACAACTTAAAAATATTTTTCTCAAAAACGGTTTCAGCCAATTTAAAAGCGTTTTCAAACAAGTCATTATTGTTTGTGAGATATGGGCCTACCCAGCATTTCAAATTATAATTTATTATTTTGTATTTCACTTTTAACAAATGTAATTTACAATTTTAACAGGCGTGGAAGAGGTGGAAGTAGAAATGGAGATCCAAAAAATAATAGTGAGGGGGTATGCATTGGAGGAAAAGAAAGTGGTGAAGGCAATTAAGAGAGCTGGGAAAGCAGCAGAGCCATGGCCTTTTCCTGGATACTCTCACTTTGCCTCATTTTACAAGTACCCTACCTACATTGTCAACCATTACTACGACACTTACAAGAACGAAACCACCACCGGCGTCCACACCTTCTTCCACACTCCGTCGGTTTATTCCGTCGCCGTCGCGTCCGACGAGGCCATTGCTTCGCTTTTTAGCGACGACAATCCGCATGCTTGTGCTATCATGTGATTAATTATTATTTTTTTTTAAATTTGTTAATTTTGTACCTGTTTTTGAGCTCCTTTCGCTTGCTTTTTTAATATCACGCTTTAAATTTGAGTTGTTCATTTCTTTTTAAGGAGTTTTAAGATTTAGGGTTCGTTTGATATTCATTTGATTTTTAGTTTTCAAACCTTGATTGTTCAACTTAATAGCGATAAAAAATAGGAGTGTTCAAAAAGTAAAAAAGAAAGTGTGCATAAATAATTTTCCTTTAAAACTATTGAGATGTATTTGTATGAATTAGTTAATTTAGTGAAGTGGTAGTCAATTTTAATTGAGACTAGATTTAAAATTTTAAATCATCACGATTACATTTGGTATCATTAGATGAATTTGGTTTTTGAAATTCGTGAATCGGAAAACTTATTCAAGCTTAAACAATTGAATCATTTATACGTGTTCAAAGTAATTAAGTCTTGGACTTAAGTTAGACTAGTCATTTATATTATGTATCATTAAAAGAATTTGATTTTTGAAATTCGTGAATCGGATAACTTATTCAAACTTAAACAATTGAATCACTTATATGTGTTCAAAGTAATTAAGTCTTGGACTTAAGTTAGATTAATCAAACGTTACACTTGGAGAAGCATGTTGAGCTTTCAACTTGCAGTTTGAACATTCACGATACGAGTGGGAATGAAATAATAAAGTTGGATAATTGAGACCACGCAAAAAGTTGTGCGTTGAAGAGAATCTTGAAAAAGAGCAACAAAAAAAGTCATCATCTTTTCTAGTAGGTGTGCCCCAAGCAACTTCACTGCCAAGTTTCCAATGCCATAATTAGAAGACTTATTTACATCAATACCTTATAAAACTTGATGTTTGTCTCATTTTGTAAAATTTTCAACGATACTAACCAATGGTTTTTGTTGATAGATTTCTTTTCTTTTTTCACCTTTTCCTCTTTCGTTGGATGTGTGAGTCACATGCATGACATGTCAACAAAATAAACAGAAATTTAACAAAATTTAATGGTAAGGGGCAGAGTGAGACACACAATAAACATTTAAAGAGTTATGGGATACATTTGGATTTTTATGGGGCAAAGTAAGAGGAGGATTGAATTTCCAAAGCCATTAGTGTAAATAAGCCTAATTAGAACCCCAACGTGGAATTTGATTGGACATTTCATCTTCATGGGCACCTTGGGGCAGAAGGTTGAATTTGAAAAGGGGACTCGATAGCCCCAAATTAATGAGTGATGTTACATAGCCAATTGTTCATGTACATGCTGTATGGTAAAGTAGTAATTATAAAGATTTTTCAGCGACAAAAATAAAAGTTAAGTTAGTTGGTTAATATTAAAGTCAAAATTTTTAAATTTCCAACGACGAGTACACCATTTTTAAGTTGTTTAGGCAAGAAAATACTATGAAACTTAAATATGTACATTCAAAAGTAAAACAACGTCGTAGTTTTTCTTCTACAAAGTTGATTGGTCATTTGAAAGTAATGAAGTCTTGAGCTCCAAGTTGCATGTTTCTTTCTCTTGAAATTTATACTCATTCAACCACAATAAAGAAAGATACATTATGTAGTAAAATTATTTTGCTAATTGTAAGGTCATCTCCAACTGAAGGAGGGCCAGAAGGCTCGTTTTAACCCTCTAGCCCTCCAATAAATTAATATTTGAATGAACAGTGCATAGTCATATTTCTTACCATCTTCAACAGAGGGGCCAGAGGACCATAGGCCAAACATAGCCTTGTGAAAAAAAACATCTCCAACCGAGGGCCAAAAGGTCATAGGGCTAAACATAATTTATTATTTTAATTGAATTACCATGGTTACTTAAATTAAATTAACTCAACAATTTTATGTTATAGATTGTCAATAATTTTCATGTTGTTAAATGTTTTTAAAAATGTTGTTTGAGTTTCATGTTGTTAATTTTTTTTTATGTTGTTTAATGTTACTTAATGTTATTTAATGTTGTTTCATGTCACTTAATGTTATTTAATGACTTAGGAAGTTATAGGGAAGAAAAATAGAATTTTTAAATTTAAAAAAAATAATTTAAATATGACGTTAGCATGTGGCCTGGCCTGAGGCTGGCTGGCTGGGTTGGGCTAGTCAGTTGGCCCTTTGACTTGGCCCTCGATTAGAGACGATTTTCAGACTATTTTTTGACCTTCTGGTCTACTGGATATTTCGGTTGGAGATGGCCTAAGTGGCTAAACCGTACCTGAGGAACCATTTCTGTTGGATGTTACTTCTTACTCACATTCATGCATGACCCACCCGACCCCAGGCCCAAACCCAACCCCAAGTCCAAGCCCACTGAACCTTTATAAAAAGGCGGCCGAATCACAAAATCTCAAATCTCTCTTCCCTTTTTGTTTGTGTTCTTCCATTCCTCCTCTCTCAAAGCAATATGGCTCAGGTGCTTTTCTAACTTTAATTTTCTTTTTTCGATTAAATTTTATAAATTACAATCCCTTCAAGTATATGCAGATACAGATACATATGCAATTCAGAACATAGAGCATAACCCTTCCTTTTGTTTTCTGTAATTGTTTGTGTGAATTTTGCAGCAGAAGGTGGTCCTGAAGGTTCTGACCATGACCGATGACAAAACAAAGCAGAAAGCCATTGAAGCTGCCGCTGATATTATTGGTATTTCTTTTCATTTATTTTTTCCAAGTTTTGTTTGGATCTTCAATTGTTCAAATATATCCAAAAAGCACTTATTTTCACAAGCGTTTCACTGAAAACAAGTGCTTTTTTATTAGAACCAGAAACAGTTCTAACCTTTTCTGTCAAACATTGTTAAAAGAGCTTTTGATACTAAACCTAATTAAAGCTTTCTTTATTTCTCTTATTTACTTTGTTCTTGGGTGTGAACAGGGATTGATTCGATCGCGGCGGATCTAAAGGACCAGAAGCTAACAGTGGTAGGACTGATGGATCCGGTGGCCGTAGTGAAGAAGTTGAAGAAGGTTGGTAAGGTGGATATAGTATCTATCGGACCAGCCAAGGAAGAGAAGAAAGAAGAAAAGAAAGATGACAAGAAAGATGGAAAGGAGGGGAAAAAAGAAGAAAAGAAGGAGGACAAAAAGTAAAATATAGTTACCAAATTTTATCTCTCATGGTAATATTTTCTTTTCTTGTAAGTTGGCGGTTATGTTTTTTTTTTTTTTTTTTATGGTCATAGAGTTATGTATAATGTTTTGTTTAATTTCATGGGATTGGGATGTAAAAAAGGGCAAACGTACGTACTCTGATAATATTAAGCAAATAAGTAAGCAAATGGCTTCCGTAGAGAGGTTAGATTTTTTTATACATGATTTATTTTAATTTAATTATGGTGAGTGTGTTTTCTGTTTAATTCAGTGTAAAAAAATCAAATGTGATTACATCTGCATCATTTGGTAGGATTTATTTTATAGAAGCGATATTCTATTTTATTTTAATTTGATTTTAATTACAGTGAGAGTGATTTTCGATTTAAACTCATTGTAAAAAATCAAATGTGATTACATATGCATCAGTTGATAAGAATTTTTTTAAAAAAGTTTTAACGAAAAACTCCTGTTACTGTTCACTTTAACAAAAAATCACATTTTTACTCTAGAAAGTCAATCCTGGTATTATTTACTTACAATACATTTTTGTCATTTTCGTTAAAATTCAAAGTTTTCAAATTATTTTCTTTAATTTTTAATTTTTTAATTTTTTATGCAAGCGTTATTCTATTTTAATTTGATTTTAATTACAATGAAAGTGACATTCGATTCGAACTCAGAATCAAATATGGTTACACCGTCGAAGTCCAAGTCAATTGATAAGATCGTCGATTGTCTTACTTGAAATTAGGAAAAAGGTGCGAATAATATGTTGGCGTTATAATTTGTGGCGCCTACTAAGCCAGGGCACGCCCCGTGCACTCACCTGAAAAGGAATTCCATGAACATGATTTCATGATTCTTGTTGGTACGAATGTGATTGATTATGGCGCAAAAATCAGTGTATTTTATTAATTTTATTAATTATTGAGATGGATATGGTTGCAATTAAGCATTGAATTCTATAATTTATGTTAGCGTCGAGCTGGAAATGAATGATTTTGTTGAGTCAGCCCCATGCCTTTTTTGCACACACTGCGTAAAACGAGTCTCATACGGTTATGAGTGTGTGTGGTAAATGCGGGAGACCTGTTTCATGCTATTTGATTTGTGTTTGTCGTGTTTGTGCAGTTTTGAGTCATATTTGTTATCTTAATGAATTATGTCGTGTTAAATTCTTTACGAGTTCTTAACAGATGATCCGTTAATGATTTGATTTGTTAACGGGTCGTATTTTTGTATCAGGTTAATAGGTCATGCAATAAATTATCATGTTTAATGACTCGTGTCATACTTATCTTAACAGATCGTGTCGTGTCAAACATTTTATCTTAACAGATTTTTAACGGGTGACCTAATAACGACCTAATTCATTATAAGGTCATGTCATATCTAGTTAATGAGTCATGTAAGAAATTATCATGATGTCTAGACTTGACAAACGGATGTTGTTTGTGTCATGCTCTTTATCTTATCGAGTTCTTAATGAGTGACTCGATAACGACTTGACTCGTTAACGAGTTGACCCATAACGTGCAATTCATGTCATTTTGTGTCGAGTTAATGAGTCGTATAAAAAATTGTCAGATCTGATGACTGATGCATGAAAGTTTTGTATTGGATTACAGCCTTGGGAAATTTAGATATGTTGGGATATATGATTTTATTAAAGAGAGGGCCGGTGAAAAGGATATATAATCTTGTTAATTCCAGCAGTTTTTCAATTGAGATATAATCTAAATAGAAAATATTTAGTGGTTAAATCAGCAACTTGTTACAGTTGGTTATTCGTTTGTCTTTGTTAGGCTGTGACGCTTAATCTGTAATAACTACAAACAGCAGGAGGCCAGCCATAGCCAGTTCTATAGATTCTTGCGTTGGAAATAAAATACTTTCCCGCGTGCGAAACGCACAAAATTATAGGAAAGGGATCTCTCCGATCCTTTCCTCCTAATTCATTAAATTCGAAGATTCGGACCATTGAAATTTGATTCAACGGCTAAAATTATTATAACTTTCAAAGTAAGCCCCTGTTTGTAGCCGTTAGATCAAATTTCAACAGCACAAATCCTCGAAATTGTTGGATTAGGAGACAAGGATCCAGAGAGGAACCTTTCCAAAATTATACGCAAGAAAAAATCCCCTTAAAAAAGTGGTGATTTTAGTTAAATTTTATAATTATATGACCATTGCAGAAAATATAGAATATTATTTATAGGAAACTATTATTAGCACTCCAAAATTTTCATTTTATACTCTTCACAAGTGTATTTTTCTTTCTAATTATAGAAAGTTTGAAGTGCAAAATAGAATTTTTGAAATGCCAATAACAATTCCCTTCTTTATATGGTTTCTATTATATGCAAAGGTCATATCAGTATGTGTTGGAATTGGAAAGCAACAAAAACCTACTTACTCGTTATGTCATAAGACTTGTCTGAAAGTGCTTTTAAAATGGCTGAAAGCATTTTTAGTATAAATGTTTTTTTAAACCAATTCTTAGTAAAAATACAAGTAAACTTGATTGGAACCTAAAAACATTTTCTCTAAGTGTTTTCAGTCATTCTAAAACCAGTTTTACACAAGCCCCTAGAGTGACAACGAAAATAATACAAAATTGTCCACAATTTCAAGCGTTTTTTGTCATGTTTACTTGCGAGAAATGAGAGAAGTAAAGGTATTGCCATGGCGGAATTGTACGAGGTATTGCTACACCATTTCGGATTACACCCCAATTTAAGGTATAAACTATGTTAGCTTAAGCTTCCAGTTCAGCATATTAGTTACAGTTGTTGTAACTATAAATCTGTATTTTCACAAATTTAGATTACATGGTTCAACAACCTTTTAATTTATGTGTTGACACCGCAAACTTAAGCGATACGTACCAGCCATGAAAATCTGCAGATAAAACTTCAGTTCTCCCTGTCGATCCTTGCCTTCGGTTCTCACTGCTTACCAGCAGAACGGTGCTACAGTTTCCAAGCATGAGAATCTAGTCTTTCACATACACAGAGCAAAACAACACTTTGATTTATCAATCTGTCCACCTATTGCTTCATGTAACTGGAAATGAAATTTGTATGCAGCTATGCGTACGTGCAACCGTAATGTATCACTGGGTGTGTGCGTGTGTGGTGGTTTATGAATCTGAGAAAGATCATAAAAATGACATGAAAAATTGAAAAGAGAGACCAGGAAGTCGAAAGAGAGGTGGTGAGGGAATGCACAGGAGTGTGTTTCGAACATTAAGTGAAACCTCCAGCACTATATCTATGTTCTAATGAGAGCGTTGCCACTTCTCGTAAGCAGTATATTGACAGCATAAGTGCAACATACAACAAAGCAAAACACTTAAAAACTGCTGTTTATATATATGGATCATTTTGCACTAGAAAAATAAGATAAAAAGATAATTAGTGCATACTTTACTTTTCTCCTCGAGAGACAACTGATACAAGGTGTGGGTACATTGCATAACTGATAAACCCTGGAGCTACATATTGTTAACCGAGCTGAATGAATTAATTTTTACCACTTTAACATCTCCTATATCCCTTGAACTTCGAAAGTAGATGGGTATACTGCCCTTTCTCCGTCATGCGTGTTATTACTTCATGAGCTTCAGCAAGCTTTCCAGCATTTCGCAAATAACTTACAAGGGTGCTGTACACAGTGAAATTCGGGTTACAACCTCTAGATTCCATAACCTTGAGCATGGAGCATGCTTCCTCAAACTTTCTTGCCATACAAAGTCCACGAATCATGGCATTGTATGTAAATACATTCGGAAGCTGCCCATTAGGGATCATCTCATCAAACACTACTTGGGCCTTCTCAAGCTCCCCAGCCACAATATACCCGGTGATCATTACAGTGTAACAAACAACATCCGGCATGCACTCGTGCTTTGTCATCTCATCAAAAAAATATTTGCAGGCATCCATATTTCCAGCCCTGCTCAGTCCATCTATCAACGTTGTGAAGTGAAGAACACTTGGTTTGAAACCCTCTTCCTTCATGTGATTCAAAAGATTAAGAGCTGCAAGCGGTTTGTCTCCCTTACCAAGTACATGAAGAAGAATATTGTAAGTATGAAAATCTGGAGTGAATCCACTCCTACCCATTTCATCAAGCAGTCTGTGAAACTGATCCAACTTCCCCAATCTATATTTTGCACACATCATCACGTTATAAGTTAGAATATCTGCTGAGTGACCCTCCGCCAACATCTGTTGATAGACCCACTCAATCAACTTGTACTGCTTCACCACAAGAAGGGAATGCAAAATCGCATTGTACGAGTGTTTAAATGGCCTATAATTAAATGTCTTCGATTTGATGAACCTTTCCACGACTTTCCTAGCCAAGCCTGCCTCACCACAAGTGCGTATCAAAATGTTGAACGTCTGTGCTGTAGTCGGATACCCTTTCTCAGTCATCTCATCAACTAACCTCCACATTGCTTTAAACTCTTCACAATCAGCAAATATCTTCATCATTAAATGATATGTGTTTGCTGTGTGCTTGTAATTTTCAAGCTGACCAGACCACACAAAAAACTTATACCCCAACTTCGCACACCGCATTTTACTCCCATAATCTATCTGTTTCAAAATCTCAAACAGAACTTCCCTCACAAGAAGCCCTGAAACCTCTATATGCAACTCACCCAAAGCTGCTTTAGTATCAAAACCAGGTCCATCTTCTCTAAGAACCTTAAGAACCCTCGCCGTATCCATCTTCGCATTCTCAAAAAAGTTCCGTCGCAGCGAGAAATGTTCCCGGGGACGGTTCTCAGATTCATAAACACCATGTTTCTCATCCAAACCCGAATCAAATTCCGAACTTTTCCACATTGTCTTCAAGGTTTCCTCCACAACCTCATACCCATTATCCCCCTTATCGCCGCGAAAGCACCCGTCACTTAACTTTCGTACTACGACAACATAACACGAAATTTTTCGAATAACCCTTGGACCAAACAGATATATACAGTTCATGACTGGTACCCATTATCTCTGTAACTTTGCAGCACTTATCAAATCCGATAAACCCAATAATACAGCAGGAATTGAAAGCAAAAATAAATTTAGATGCTTTGTATTAAAAAATTGAGGGATGCCCATTAAACTGGAGGGACTAAATTGGGGGAAACGGAATGAATCGAGCAGAAGCAGTTCATTGAGTTGTGTAATCTTCGAAGAGTGAGAAGAGGTGGTGGAGGACTTACCGGAGATTAAGTAATTTGATGAGGGCGATACCGGTCTTTTGAAGCTTTTGGCTTTCGAGTACCGCCGGCGGTTTTAGCTGTGCGAGTGAGTGAAGCATTGGAGTATTGCAGCTTAGGAGACGAACCCCTACGAGCGAGGGGAAGCGGGGAGGGATTCGGTGTTTCGAGGGTAGAATCGCCCCGTGAAGCACCAAACACTATATGCCACGGAAAGGGATCGGATCTCTTCTACCTAATTCTCCTCATCAAACAATCTGAATCTTTGAAATTTGATCTAACGGCTAAAAACATCGGCTCACTTTAAAGTTATAATAACTTTAGCCGTTGAATCAAATTTCAAGGGCCCAGATTGTTTGATGAGGAGGATTAGGTGGAAGGGATATAGAGATGATCCTTTTCCATATGCCACGCTCCTAGATGGATAGGGTTTTTTTCCCCTGCAACCTGGCATCCTTCGTCATTTTTTGTCATTTTGTTAGCTGAAACTCAAAAGTTATCACTTTGCTTTTTGAAAGTCGATTTCAATCCACTTTGTCTTCTGAAACTCAAAATTTGTCACTCTACTTCTTGAAACTTAATACTCACTCTACTTTGGATTGTTTCTATATTTTCGTTGAACAATTATTAAGTTTACTTATGTGGCACAATTAAGGCCCACTTATGACTGACGTGGCACGAGTATAAAGCTCACATATCAAATAAAAGGGTGTCAGATAGATTGAAAAAAAAAACAAACAAAAAATCACAAACATTACATAACACACTAAAATATGAAAAGTAAGAAAAATAGCAAAAACACTTTAGTTTTGAGTTCATGAACGAAAGTTAAATCAAAATCAAGTTACATAAAGTAAAGTTATGACTTTTAAGTTTCAGAGAATAAAGTAAGATCAAAATCAAGTTTCAGAAAGTAAAGTGATGACTTTTAGATTTCAAGGAGCAACCTCATGCTCCTCGTGGCCCATATGGTATTCTTGGCCCACGCCCTCCATTTTATCCTCATGGCTCAAGCTTTGTTCAAGTTCCACGATTAAAATCAACTTCCAGAGAACGAAGCTCAAAATAAGTCTAATAGGTTAGTAAATTTGCCTATTATATAGGTATATATGTAATTTATCTGTTTTCCCTTATCATTTAAGCAATCTTTTGAGGAAATTAGATTGTCACGTTTTTAAAATTGTATATTGATCGGGAACGATTCTAGGTTTGTGCTCCACACGGTATCTCATAGACTTGATTATTAGCGCTGGTAAATCACATAATGCGGTCAGAAAGAACCTGAAATGTCTCCTTGAGTTTTTCGGACCTCAAAATGATTGGAATGAAGAGGCAAAAAAGCTACTAAATGGTGTAAAAAGAAAACAAGGGTACTAGCATGCCATTTGGGGAGAAGTTTGAGTCCCGCAATTGAAATGAGCCTTTCTTGTGGGACAACGAAGCTAAACATTGCGAATCATAAGACAAAAAGGCCTAAAGACAATAGCATTAACAAATGCTTACAAGAAAAATCATTTCCAAACTTGATCGTAATTTAATTGTAATTTAAACGCCGAGGATAATTGAAGGTGCGCACAGTTAAAATCCCATGCTTTTAAGTTAAAGTACCCTCCGTTTCTAATTCATTAGATAGATGATAGTATTACACGACTTGGGAACAAAACATTCAAGTTCACAAAACAACTCTTCAAACTACAACACATTGTCTAAGTTCCCACGTACTACAACCCTAAATATCCCATTTATTCACCAACAAACTTCCATCCGCGGCCATCTTCAGTTGCTGGACCCCTGAAGTATCTGCTGCTCCGCACCACCACGGCCTCGCCGCTCCACCACTCCACTGCCAGAACTAGAGAAACCCTCTGTACCTGTCAACACCAAAACAAATCGTTGCTCACATTCAAATTAACCAAGTACTCTTAGGGAGGATAACGTTCAAATTTTACCACTTGAAGAACCAAGGGACTGAGGAGAAGTGGCGCTTTGATCAGCTTTCCCAAGCAATGAACCAACAGCCCCTTTAAGGGTATCCGCAACAACTTTCCCATAGCTAGACTGCTGGACGTCAGCATCCCCATAATCCGGCCCCAACCGCTGAGTCACCTCCATGCTCTCGGTCACTTTCCCAACAGGCCGGGCACCGACTCCCAGGGTGCCCTGCCTTATGCATGTGTAGGGTTTCTGATATCACCTCGGACAGCGCCCTGTCCTCCTCACCAGGCTTTAACTTCTCAAACAAATAGCCCTTCATAGAAATTCCTTTGTCCTGCCCGGCTTTGTTATACTCACCCCCTGTAGTAGTGGTACCAGTACCCCGGTGGACTTCTTCTTTGCCAGCTGTCCCAGCACCGCCGGGGAGTTTCGACATAACTGCACTCCCTGCCCCGGCAAACTTCTCGTAGACAGGTGTCAGCTTCTCAGTAACTGCGGCTGTAATACCCTCATCCTGTTGCCCAGGTGCAGCTGACCCGGACCTAACGGCTGCCTGATCTCCATGTTGCTGTTGATCAGTGTCCCCACCGTATCCTAGCTTTGAAGCGACGGCGTTTTTGGCAGATATTGCCTTGTCAACAATGGCAGACGTGGCGGATGAAACTTTCTCTGTGTAGCTACCGCCCTGGTTTGATGGGTGCTCAGGAGAAAATTGATCATGGCTTCCAGTGCTCGGGTTTTGATTTGTTCCAACATAATGGTGTAATCCTACTTACACATCAACAACGTATAAGTTATAACCATATCGACTACATATGGACAACTTAATTAAGTACTAATCGCGTAGTTACCTGTATTAGTCGAATCATTTGCTGGAGAATAAGCATGCGGATTAACATCTTCGTGTTGATCATTGTTCCCTCCTCCATACCCAAGCTTGGAAGCAACTGCATTTTTTGCAGATATCGCCTCTTCAGCGATAGCGGAAGTGGCAGACTGAAACTTTCTCCGTGTAACTACTGCCCTGGTTCGATGATGGCTTGGCATCTCCACCATGAATGTTAATCTTACCAAACGAATGGAGAATCGGCGAAATTCCAATTTCTTCACCACCTGTCACATGACTCACATGTAACAAAATTATAAAAATTATAATCAATTAGCAAAAACTCATATTAGTTTGTAGCTTTAGCAAAAAATTTAGAATTTATGACAAGATTATATATATATGTTACAGTTTACCTGCATGAGTTGGATCAGTGACTTTAGTCTCATAGTTTGAAGGAGTATAACCTTGAGGATTGGCCTTTGGCGCATGTGGATCCTCTTCCAATCCTCTCGGTCGGTCCAAATTTACCCTGGACTGACCGAAGTGCCCTTCTTTCTCTGTAGCAAAAGCATGACTTGGGTCGGTGACATTGACATTGGTCTTCTGGTAATCTCCACGAGAAGAAATAGAGGTGCGATCGTCCAAGCCCCGGTGGTGCAAATGGACCCTGGTTTGACCCAAATGACCCCCGGTGGGCACATATTCCTTCATCGGTTCGGTCCTCTCCAAATGCGGCACTTTGGGATCGCGATCCTGAATCGCTGCTTTCGTGTCCCCGAATTTCACCATTGGCACCTTCAAAATATCTCCTTGCCCTGGTGCACCACTCCTTATGGCTGCACGTCATATTCACAACATGTCCCATGAAAGTAGAAATTATAACTAATTTAGATTAATTTTTATTGACGCACACTGGCATTCTGAATTTCTAAACTGCTCTAACGTAGATCGAATCTGGATCTAACTTTTGTAATCTATAAAGATAATCAATTCGATTATATTCAATCTAATCTAAATTAAATCGATCTCAACAAATACTACCTCCAACCCACCTCTAACCAACTAGCAAACTGACATGACCATGCCCTAAATTATTAAGATCAAAATAAATCAAAGGAAAAACTTACTTGTTGCACCGTGCACTTCAGGGTCTTCGTCTTCTTCATCATCTTCCTCGTCGAGATCATCTTGGTCGTGTTCGTGTTCGTGGCCATGGCCATTACCATGCTTTGTGAGCTTGTTCTTTATCTTCTTCGCCTTCTCCTTTACCTTCTTCAGAACCGACTTCTCCTGGTGGTCCTCCTCTTCGCCTTCATCCAAAGTTAACAAATAAAATTTACCAAAAACACAAAACCAATCACCATTGTTAAGTACTTGAACTAATTCTACCAAAATGAGGTTTCTCGTTTTCTACCTTGGTGCGTGCCAAGGTGCTGGGTGTGGCGGTTGTCCTCGTGATCGTGAGGACGGGCCATTTGTGACTCCATGATTCAAATGCGAGTAAAAGATTGTGTTGCGCTTTAAGTTTGCAGAACAGATCAGTGGAAGTGGAGGTTTAGAGGGACTGGCTTTAACGGGAAACACAGAGGCTCCTTCTGCCACCTTTGCATGGCTCTGTCGCTCTGGGAGCGAGACACGTAGGAGAATAACCGGCCACGTATCCCCTACCCACTATACGTGGCTTTCTGGTTTTGTGTAATGGATAATCTCATGCAGTTTTGCCATAACTGGTTGCTAGCTAGGGTTACAACATTTGACATGTTGGAGATAGGTAACTATAGAGGATATTTTTGGTAATATAAATAGTAATGTTATGTAAATCAATTTTAATTTGTAAATCAAGTGATATATCCCTAAAATAAATAAATACATTAATTAATAAGTTAAAGAATCTAATTATCAACAACTACATCATATAATTTATAAAATTTAGGTTAAATAGTTGATCTGTTTAGCATTATCCTGTAAAAAAATCTTAGTTTAAGAAAAAAATTGAATATTGACGCGATAATGACTATCCATACGTATACTATTGAAAGTTTGATTACATTATTGTCCATAATTTTATTTTGTATTAGAATATTAAATTGTCTTTTCATGCTTTTTTAATTGACAAAGAGGGAAGAGGATCTGGAGAGGATCATTTTCTTAGGGATCCCGTAATTGTGTCTGTTCATCATACATCGAGTGGTCATAAATTATTTAAAATTCAAATATAAATAGTATTTAACGAAAAATGATCGCACGATGTACGATGAATATACATAATTACAGAATCTTTGGGATCTCTAGAAAAAGGATCCAACGAGGATCCTTTTCCGACAAAGAGAAGTTTGTTAGCTTAGATGATGACAATATATTGATAAATAAATAAAACATCAAAAAAATTTATAAAATATATTCTCTTAGATAAATGTATAGATGTATTATATGAGAAAATATCACCATAATGTTAACCGTGATTAAACAGATACCGTTGGATGCGAAGACCGTTTTAGACATAATCCATCTAACGCAAGATAGAGTGCCCACGTTCCAGTGGTATAGTGCGCACCAAGCGCCATTTAGCTCAAACGACCCATCGTATCAATATAACAGCGGAAATTTAACGCGCCAAACTGTATTCCTCTGAAACCAAACCAGTCCGTCGCGTCTCAAAAATTTGAAGCTGAAATGCGTACTCGCTACCTCAACATCGACTACTTCACCGCCACTCCAACCCAAGCCCTAGAATCCCTAACCTTCCTCCACCTCCCGATTCTTCCCCTGTCTCCCTCCAATCTCTCCACCGCCTTCGACGGCCTCCACCTCCTCCTCTTCGACTCCGAACTCGAAGTCTCGCTCCAAATCGAGCAATTGCCGATCGGAGCTGCTCTCACGAAGTTCTTCCTCAGAATATCGTTCTCGATGTCGCGGACTTCGAGCCCGGCGATCCGTCTCCGAGTTCTAGAAATTTCGGTTCCGGAAGCCGTGGGCTGCAGTTCTCGGAGGTAATGTGCTGAATCAGATTAAGAATTTGTTAATTATGCGTAATGCAGTTGATCATTGAACTTAATTTGGATTAAAATTTAAATTATCGGATTATTGCGTTTGTTATTGTTGAAAGAAAAATAGATTACGGAGTTTTATTATTCAATCTAATCATAGGTTTTGTTTGGCTGCTGTCGTATTATGTATCAGAACAAAAATAAATCCAGAATTGTATGAAGTTTATAAACTACTCCTTTAATTAACTGCATAGGGCAGCTCTTGCTTTGATGTCAAAGTTGATAGAAGTTTACGAATTCTGAAACTGAACTTATATGCTAAAGTAGTTCGAGTAATTAGTGGTATTCGTCTGACGTGTTTGATTGTTATGACCTGCAGAAGAAAGCCGAGGACCTCAAAAACTAGAAGGGGTTGGAGCATCAGATAACTTTTGGCTCCGAGACTGTGGAGACTGCATTCCAAAAAGTATGCCAACGGAATTCTCATATTTAACGGCTTTTTATCATGTTTGTGCTTGTCTGACAAATCAAGCTTATGTTAATGTAGAAGGATAATGGCAGAAGAGATGCAGAGAAAGATGCACACCCATATGAAGTGCTCCGATTTGAAACACCAGAGTTGGATGTGTTCTTGGTAAACTGAATGTCTACTAACCGGTTGCTAATGGACAATTTGGTTCTGCATCCATAATATCTTGTCTCGTATGTGCAGGAAAATGCTTACATTTATGATAAAGAGGAGCTCCCGTTTCTTTCAGAAGAAGTTCCAGAAACTGAGAATAATTTAGCATGTTTCTCATAAATTTATGATTCAGTTATAATTTGCTTCAGTCTTTCTAATTAGTTGACACATGACAAATAACACTGGCATGTCCCAACCTCCCGGTGACTTGTCCTTCTTAGACGTGTTATTAAATTTTAATATTGACATTGTAATAAGTATAACCGTAGTTTCTTTTTTGTTGATTATCATATTAGATAAAGTGATTCCAAGGTTTTTAACTTACGTCATTTTTTGGATAGACATTTGATGGGAAGGGGTGGATCTTGGAATAATTATAGTTATGGAAGCAGTTGGTTTGACTAAGTTTCATTTTGGGATTCATGTAATATATCAAGTTTACGGTGCAAATTTTGTTGTTTTACCATTCTCCTTAGTCAGCTTGATGGTTAACAAGTCACTGATATTAATTTTTGTGTAAGTGCTGTTATGTGGTAATGTGTCTTTCAGGAAATGCTCAATCTTACAGTGAAGTGTCCTTGGGAAGTTCATGAGTCAGTTCATACAGTTGAAGACTTTCATTCAGAGTATTCCACGGATCAAAAGGCTTATATGTTTCAAGATGATTGTTCTTACAAGGACCAAATGCAACTCTATCAGAATTTCCCTGTGTTAGAACCAAATGAGATAACTCTGCCAACTTTCACGGGTTTGTCTGTAGAGGGTGAACTTTCTTCTGTTTATGAAAATATTGAGCCCCAGCAATGGGATAAAAAAGATAATCTGAACTGGAGAGGAGCTTTTGGGTACAAAGGAATACGGGATATCAGAGTATCTTTTAGATCTTCGATCTGATCTCGGGTCCCTTGACATTACTCCTGAAATGGATTTATTAAGTACGGTGGAAATGTCATAGATTCAGGGAGACATCACATATCAAGGGGCGTCCACAGTTGCTTCTTTCCAATCTCTAAGCCCGGTTGTTTTTGAAGAATCTCAGATTCTTGATTTGGACTCATCTCAGCATTTTGAAGTCCTCATTAGTACACGAACAGCAAATGAACCAGAAACCTGTGACTGGATGTTTAGTGGAGACATAAACTTCAATACTTTGATTGTTAGTCATGAGCTAGCCCTGGTTAATGACACATTCAAATCATTGCCCGTGCCTGTTCTCTCTGATCATGAAAAGAGATCGTCATATGTTGTTATGGAGGAAACACTAACTAACTTACTGCTGCTGCCCCTATCTGCATCAGATAGGATTTACTTGGATTGGCATTTTCTCGAGAAAGATAAATGTAATTGTCAAATTTCTTTCTCCCATCAGAAAATCTTGGAGGATACAAATTCACTGAGCACCTGTTTTGATTGGGACGACTGCTATAATGATGGAATGCAGGTGTGTGATTTTGCTTTCTCCGATGATGCCTGTAGAGGAGTTTAATACAGAAGAAACCAAAGAATTACAGGAGTTGCCCTCTGATGGCATTCCTCTGCTTGCTGGTCATCTTGGAGATACTTCAGCTGAATTGTCAGGCAGCACTTTTCCACAGAAGAAAAATGGAGAGCAGATTGATATAAGAGGTGCTGAGAGGGCTTCCTCACTTTTCAAGTCTATGTCACGATTCAATGATATCGACTTTTTCTTGAATCCCCAGAAGGCCTCTACAGGTGGAAATAGTAATTGTGCAGTTACCAGAGTTGCTAATGCTACATTTCCAAAGGTTTAATCATTAATTATTTGAATCTATCAGTCCCTCATTAATCTCATTATTTATTTGTTTCATTTATGGATAGCTAATTAATTCTAACTCACTTACCTCTCTATTCAAATATGCTAAGACCAGGTGTATGCCCAGGGAGAGCAGTCTTATTCTATATCTCCTCCAGTTGTGAACATGAATGATCAGCAATCAGAGGAACTCTTGGACATTTTTCCTGGTCATGAAAAGAATGATATGAGATATAAAGAAGGTGCAGATGAAGCAGAAGCTAGCAGTATGCCCCTACCTAATCTTTCTATGTCATCTGCAATGGAAGCTGAGCGTTTTCAGCACAGCATGGCGTCTTTCCCTGAGATGGTCATTGTTGTAAACACTCAAAATCTTGATAAGGAAGTGATAGTGTCTAGAAGAAGTACTTACCAAAAAATTCTTGCAAAGGAGAAAGAAGGGGTACAATTAGTAGAACGTGATTCAGATTTACCTGTGGATATCATAATCAGTTCTGCAATTTGTTTAGTGTGGTATGACTCTAAAAACATTGGACAGAAAGCAACCACTCTTGATGAAGCTTCTTCATACTTACTTCTGTGCATTGATAACATTGCCACAAATGTTTTGACGTTGCTGAGTTTCACTTTCAGTGGCTGCTTTATGGTAGTTAACAAAACTATATTCGTAGTTTTTACTTTTTTTGTTTGCTTTTTCTACATTGAACTGATAGAAATTCTTCTTATTCTTGTATTTCTCCAACAGGTCTTGAGGGAGAAAACAGCTTCCTCTCCACTATAATGGAGTCCTCATATGGACTTTATGCAGCAGCAGCGTGCCTGGGAATTGATTTGCAGATTTTCAACTCTTATTCATCTGAGTTGACTGATGTAATTGTACTGAGCTGCATGGGACATGCCACGAAGTTGACAAGGTTTATGTATCCTCGAATGCCTGAGTCGGAAAGTCTTGCAGAATCATTCCTTACCAAACTTCCTTCAGTAAATGCTTTAACAGCTCATGCAATACTGTCTTCAGGAGGCTTGCTCAAAGAGTTTCTTGAATCGTCCCATGAAACCAGGGTGAGTGTACTCCAAAAATATCACGTTTCTGATGAAAGTATCACACTATTAGTGCTTTATGCAAATATGGTGAACCGGCAGTTTCTAAATCAATTATGACAGACTGCTCCTCTTCAGTGTCCTCAAGTCTGCACTCGGGAAGATATAATTGAATATTGTTTTGGAAAGAAAGAAGCGAAAATACAATGGTAGTCCTGACAAATATGAGTTACCAACGAATGAATTCTTGCACCTGGAGCCGTTAAACCAATTCAGTACCGGCATCTTGCATCCTTCAACAGCTTCCAAGCTAACTGATTCATGTTTGTCAAAAAGCCCCAAAATAATTGATGAGTTCCGAAAGTCTAGGTTCTCTCAGAATGACTTGTTTGATCAAGAGGGTTTGGATATGGATATGATGATGTATCCTTCTAAGGTTTTTGAGCCATATGATTCTCAAATCTCCAGAGGGCCTCAGGTATTAAACAAGATAAAAAGGTCCTGTTCATCGTTGAAGGATAAGCTGTCAGGTCAGAAACGAGGATCAGATATGCCTATCATGAAGAATTTTGATTTCTATAACAAGAAGAACGCTGAGGTTCTGCATGAGGACCTAAAAGAGGAAGTTATTGACCTAACAGACAGTCTTGTATTAGATGAGGACTTTTCTTTTATTGGCAACTCCATGAACTTCTCAGATGCCTGAGTTGGAAATGGATCCACAAGGAGGTCTAAAGCTGCAAGAAAATTGTCATTTGCCTCGAGCAGTCACTGTACTTTCCCAACAGCTGCTGAAATCAACTCAACTCCAACTGTTTGGTGTTCTGCAGAAGGCCTGAGAAAAATTTCGCAAGTTGGAGCCAACAATTACTCAGATGCAGATCTTGAACATGATGTTTTCCACTTAACAAACCGTAACATGCCCTCAGAGGAGATTTTCATGAAGAGTTCTGGGGGAAATCCCAAGGGATACATTTCCACGAGAATGATATATCACCTTATGGATGAAAGCAAGGGCTACATATCTACGAGAATGATATATCACATTATGGTGGAACACCACTCTCAAAAGCTCTCCGCTCAGGCAGTTCACAGCAAAATACTCCCTGGACAATAGAGGTTCTGAAGAGAATCAAGGAAAAGAGCAGGTTGCGTCAGCGTCTCCTTCCTGGTGACTTAACCGGCCCTAGTTTGGGTTATCCAGAGAATGTATCGAAGGTTAGCAAGAGAAGAAGTCAGTCTATTCTTGATTTTTACAAGTACCAAGGTGGCAACACTCCAAGAAAATTACCAGAAGGAAAGAGGCAGAACCGACCTTTACAATCGTCAAGCTCACCCAAAAATGAAAATTACTCAGCTGCTCCTCTTACTGCGTGGACACCTCTTGACAAAAGAGCAAGACAGGTTTGTCTCATATCCCTTTTTGGCATCTTGGTAGTCTGTTTTTCTTGTATTATAAATCACATGCATAGACGGTATTCCTATCATTGAATCATTGACAGTTTCGCACTGAGGTCTTTTATATCTTCACTTGATCAACTGCAGACGCTATCTTTTGCAACGAATGATAGTGGAAACCAAACTAAGCTGGCGTGGAGTGATGGAGCTCATGGTGTCAGGAAAAAGTTTCAGATTCAAACTTGAAACGGCAAGGTGTGTTGGTTCAGAGCTTATGGTTTAGGATCATGGTTTTAGGTTGCTTCCCAATTACTACAGAAAAATGGTATTTGTTTCTTTTTATGTTTACCTGGCCGGAAAGTAAAATGATATCTGTTTGCATCTCTGTTTCTGAGTCAGTACTTTTGTAGCTCTGTCTGGAAGTCCCAAGTCTGTAATTAATATTAATGACAAAATGGTTGAAATATATTGGCCTCTTATAGGTAAGATTGAGCATTTTCTTAAAAGCTCTTTTGAGAAATTCGTGTCACAAACTTTTCAGTTTCAGAAAATCAATAAAGTTTTCTATTAAATCCTTTAGACAAATAGCACAAATGAATGAGTAATGCCTGTGTGATACAAAAACTGTGTTAATATAATGAAAATGGTACAATATTCATGAAATCTCCACTCAATTATGAATCCCGGATCTTTATCTTTCGGGGTTCCAGACTGCGGTGATTCTGTCGAGATTCGAATTGGAAAATGATGAACAACAGGTTTGTGAAAAAATAATGTCTATTGCTTCACAGCCTAGTTATTAACCTTTGGAAATTCTGCAGTCGAATAGTCCCACCTGGATATTTGCTCTAGTGCTCAGCATATCCAGCTGTCCAAGGTTCAAAACCTCAGAGGAAGCTAGTTCTTACTGTTTCTGAGGTAACGCACAGTCATTACTAGTTGTTGCCTTTCACCTTCAACCTCTGCGAATCTAAGACTTATCTCAGAATATCTTTCTTCCATTTCCTTCAGTTCGTTTTCCATAGATTTGTTTCTTTCTTTCAGTAATGTCAATTCAGTCATCAAATCTGTATACTTCTTCTCATCACTGGTGGCTTTCAACTCTTTCTCCGAGCAATCTTCTACTTTCCTGTGAAGTGAAATGAAGTTAAATAACTATTCCGAAAAGTTGCAATCTACTTTGACTGGTGACTGTTTGTGTTTGTGCTCGCATGTACATGCATATTGTCAGCACAGAAAAAACAAAAAAAAAGTGGTACGCAGATAAAATGATATATTTAGTAGAGATAAGCAGAGATGTCAAATTTTGCTTGATAAAATGAGTGTACCTTTGTCCATTGGTATTCTTAACCGTTCTCTTTGAATTGCTGACTTTCTTTTGTACCTCAGCCTGTAATTGAGATATTTGTTTCTTCAAGCTTTCTTTTTCCAATGCTTCCTTTTTCAGCACATCCTTCAACTTGCTGTGCTGGGTCTTCAGGTTTTCCACTTCGGAGTTCAGAGAAGTGATTGCAGTTTCCTTCTCGTCTTTCAAAGATCTAATGTTAGTAAGTTCCTCATGCGTTTTCTCTGTTTCCCGCTTTGCTGAAGCAAATCTTTTCTCCAAATTGTCCTTTTCAACACTCAGACACTGGATCAGCATCTCATTTTCTGCAATTAATTTCTTCGTTTGTTCCAAATTTCCTCTCAATTTCTCTTTCTCCTGTCTGGAGTTAGAATTCTCATCTGTGAGCCTTTCTATCTCAGTTTCGAGCATTTTGATTTTCATTGAGAGAGCTTCGTGCTCTTCCTCCTCATGCTTCTTTACTTTTTCAAGGTGCTTTGATGTATTGTCTAGTTCCAATGACATCTGCTCTATACGCTTTGCTTTCACTTCATTCTGGTTGTCAAGATCTTGCAATTTTACTTCAGTCTCGCCCTTAATCAGCTCTAACTCTTCGTTGGCTTTCTGGAGCATCTCTTCCAAAACTCTGTTCTGCCGGCGCAGTTCATTAGCCTCTGCCATCGCTTTTGTGGCCTGCTTCTCATTTTCATCAACCTTAGACGTCATTTCAACAGAAAGCTTTCTGAATTCCTCTTGAAGACGCTCAGCTGTATCAGAATTATTCGACTGTGTCTTCTTCAATTCTTCCTCGACTTGGATGGCCCTGTATTCCTGCTCAACTTTGGCATTCATCACTTCCTCAAGTTTTTCTTCAAATCCCTTGGCCTGCATCTCCGTGTTCCTTCTCCAAAGACTTAAGTTCACTCTCAAGTTCCTGAATGGACATCAAACATTCTGAGAATTCATGTGCTTGCTTCTCAATTGTTTCTTCTGATCTCTCTAACTGAGATTCAAGCTCTTTTATAGTAGCCACATAACCCGCTCGCTCATTTTCCATCTCTGTTCGTATTCTTTCTTGGTTTCGATCCAACTTCTTAGAGATGTCATATTTTTCCTGCTTTAAAAGGTCACAGTCCAAGGCGAGCTGTTTTATACGCATATCCTGCTCTTCCCTCTTTTTCTGGTGTGTGTCTATTTCACTGAGAAGTTCTCTGATGTCAAGCTTCAACGATTCTACTTCCTGATCATCTTCGTTTATTCTTCCTGCGGAATATGTTCCCATCATTTTGGAATTTTTTTCAGCTTCTAACTGGCTTGAAAGATCAGATATTTCTCTATTTTTCTTTCCCAATTCATCTTTCAGATCCTTCACGACAAGGACTAACTCAGAATTTGAGTCTTGTGTCTGCGCGAGTTGTGAGCGAAGATGGGTTCTTGCTTTCTTCTCAGAACTAAGCTCTTGCTTCATTGCTTCTAACTGTGCTCTTGTATCCTCAGTCTCGGGCTGCAACTTTTTGAAAGTCTGTTTCCCATTACTACGTCCCTGCGAGGACTTAAGTTGTTCGCATACCATTTTGAGTGCATCTCTCTCCTCTTTAAGGCTAACAATTTGTTTAGACAGATTCTGCCCTTGATTGCTCTCTTTGGCCATCTGTTTCCGAAGAGACTGCAATTCCAGTTCCGATAGGTTCGCCTGCCTCTTCAGAACAGTAATTTCATTTCTGAGTTTATCAACATCTGAAACCGCTTGCACTCTTTCTGCCGGAAGCTTGTCTTCAACAATGTCTAGTGAGTCAAATAAGCTTTCATCTGAAGACCAATCCAAGCTTGATTTTTGATGCATATGGGTTTTCCTTACGTTGGCACCCCCCTGTCCATTGTGAGGCATGGAATTTTGTACTTCAGGGGGTGACAGGGAACTAGCGGCGTCCCGTTGGACATATCCTCCATTCTGCAGCAACATAAACTACACCTAGTCAGGTTCCCATACTCGGATTCATAAATTTAGGTCATCTGAGTTAACTTCATCGAAAAGAAAATGCTATGGAATACCGTACTTCATTGGAACGGAGGTGGTTGCTTCCATCTGCATCCCAACTGCCGTTTTGGTTCCCCACGCTGCTATGGCGTGACAGACTTGGACCGTCACTTTCTTCGATTTCCCTGAATATCAGATTAAATCTTATGTCTAACTCGCGCAAGCAAAGGAGACAGCGAAGAAAAACCGAAACAAATCAAAACTAGAGAAGCAATAGAGTGAAGTGTGGATTCTCATTTCTCACCTTTGATCACCATCTTCCTGAATCCTGTGAATTGTCACATGTAAAACTACACCGGAATTTGCAAACTTAAGGGGCAGAGTGACGGTTAACGGTTCAGTTTCCGCCACAATGTCTGCAAAATCGATTGAAGCTTCTCCGAGATAACCCGATTTCGAAGATCCCTGCAACAATCCCCTTAGTATTAGAACGTTACCAAACGAATCCCTTAAGAACTCTGAAAACTAGACGCTTCCTTACATTAGAAACAATGAAGTGATAAATCTTCTCTTTCAGTTTTCCTGTTTTTGCTTCCTCAATGAGCTTCATTGACTCAAAAACTGGATTCTCCCAAATGCAGGTGCCGTCCTGAACCGCCGCTTTCCCCAGCTTCACCGTCGGCTTTCCGACGTCGTCCGGCACCAGCGACAGCATCAAAGCAGGCTTCTTCAGTTTCGGCACCTGAAATTAAAAAAGGTCAGGAAAGAAAATCCAGGTACGAATGTGATATCATCTCTCTGTATAGCGTCTATATATACATAGATATTATATATATATATATATATATATATGAATATGTATGAAAAACTAGAGCACATTTCAGCTGAACTCGTTTCGAAAACTCGAAAATTTCGATATAAATCCATCTAGAACAGACCAATTTCGAAATAAGTGACTGGAAAGAAGATGGGTTTAGTTTCTGAGTTTGAAAACGATACCTGAGTTGCCTGAAACTGCAATTGGAATACAGCTCTTATCTTCTTCTTCTTGCTCCATGACTTGAACATGTTTTCTAGCTTTCTGAGTCCTGAGTTTTCAGATCTCAGAAGTTTTTTTTTTCCGAGATTTTAAGCATACGATGCTGTTTTCTTTGAGGTTAGAGCAGAAGTTAGGAACAAGCAAGGTATTTTTCAGTCCACTGTTTTTGAAAACAGATGAATATTCTGAAAACGACTAGAAGGCTGTGTGGCTGTGAAAATCTAATCTCTAGCTGTAAGACTAGATGCTCCACGGAACCATTTTTGAAGACGACTCAGAAACGAATTCAATAAATAAAAATGTGATTAGAGAAACAAAATAATTAGCTGTATAGGATTTTAATGCAATCATGTGTTTCAGGGAAGATATCTGAATTTCAAAATTCTTCAGAACCACCAAAACACAATTTTATACGTCAACTGTCATCACATAAGTGATTAATTATTTTATAAAAAATTAAACATTTTATATGAACACACATAATGTACCAAATTCTTTTGTCGACACATGTAATTTCTCCCATCCATGGCCTTGGATGGCCCATTCAGCAGCGCAAAAGTCTGAAAGATGAATAAAAGTTGCTACTTTTACGCAAGTGCCTTGTCGGTTGTCTATTCTAAAACAGTAGCTAAATTGAAGAAATTTTTAGTTATGAAGAGAACACAAGTAGTATACCACGTGTTTTAATAAAAGTGGTAAGAAATTTTATTTTTTAAGTTATCAACTTTTTAACACATATATCTCATCATTTGTATAGTAACATATGATGTACCATTCCGTGTACCGATTACACTGAAAAATCTCTGCTATTAATAAATTTATAATTCTTATCATAATTGAGGATGCACATGGCGAGGACTTGGATGTCAACACGTGCCTCAGACTTTGTGCTTGTATTTTTGTGCATTTTCTTTCATATTTTAACGTTAATTCTCGTGTCAATACTAAAAGTTTGGTAGTGCATGAAAAGTCCCACTTTAAAACTTTGAAATATCTCTTGAGCATTTCTTGAATTTTAAACAATATAACGTGATCGTTAATGGTTAAATTCTCTATAAACATTAAAAATGAGTTTAACCATCAATTGACGTCATGTTGATCTACAAAAGAAGTTTAAAAATTTGGTTCCTAACTTTTTTTTTTTTTTTTTTTTACCGCTTAATACTATAGTTTAATGATATTTATATTTATACTCTTTTTTTTTTCCTGGTGAAATATCTTCCTTATAACTTTGGAAAATGGAAATTGTTTAACATGATTTCTTATTTTCGTAAAACATAACAGCTTCTTAATTTGTATTTTTTATTTATCTGGTATAGACTGGACCAGACAAACATTTTCAATTGACTTTCTTCGCACCTTAATTACAAGATAACTACGTAACAGACTTCGAAGTTCGCAGGCTGATTTTCCAAATCCAATTGGTACCATACATGGATCAATAATGAATGCTATTTTGGTACCATACTTCTAAATGCTTTGATGACTAGAGACCTATCTTCATCCAAAACCCAAAACGTTATAGTTGAGTATTCTAAATCAATAACGTATTAATGTTTGAGAAAGTTGGAAGTAATGGACCGTTGGCTTGCGATGCAACGGTGGCATCAGACCAATAACTCGGCATTACTTATTCTAAAGTTCTCATTTGACGTCACTTATTCTATGTTTCTAAGTTAATGTCGTGTTATTAGGTTAGTATCCTCTTTCATATGTCCTACTACAACTGGTCCAATATGTCCATCAAATGTCTCTGTTCCCTTCCTGGAAGCTGATTTCTATGTTGTGAACCACGTTCAGCCACCAACTAATTCAGCAATTTATTGCTTAGGATTTGAAATGAAAAACCACGTAGCATGTCCAATACAAGTGGCCATTCTAGGAGAACTTTTTTCTAGTGGTTATCCAGTTTATTCAAAAATTATATGTGGCTCACCATCACCCGGCATCTCATTCGATTGTTGTCAAATACGACTTTGATTTATATTATTGTTAGCTCATTGTGAGATTAAACCCACAATCTTCTTCTTAGTGTAAATAATATTGTTTGTTAAAAAATATTTTTTTATTAGATAGAATTTTCAGTGTGCTTAGAATATGAGATGATACACTACATGTTATTATATATTGGAGGGATGCTTGAAAAATAAAACTTTTCCCCACTTATATAATAACATGTAGTGGTCACTTAGTACTACGGTCTAGTTGTATTCCTTTTTACTTGTAAGTGAGAGCTCTTAATTCGATTCTCGCCGAAGGTGAATTTGAATTACATTATTACTAACTCATCATGAGACTAAGTCTATTATTTTCCCCTTCCCCTTCTCCTTCTCCTTGGTATAGATAGGATAGCCCATTGGCACGCCATATAATCTTTAATTAACGTTTACATAGTATTTCTTTGTTTATTTATGTTTTAATAGAAAACTATTTACTAGGAATAGTGGGTGGGTGGGTTGTATTTAAGTCCAACTATTATTGAATGCTTGATAAAGTTGAAAATCATTAAAGATGAAAGACATTGTTGCCTCTACCTGTCTCTTGATTAACTATTCTAAACTAATCCTATTATTAAACTAAATCATTGAGATTCACGTATGATCCTTCCTATTCTTAATCAATTATGCTCGATCGGGTGCACCCACACACCCGATCATCTGCAGACACAAATTAGAGGATTCCCAGTACTTGGATCCCACACAAATTGTGTGAGATTTCAATACAGGTGGCCCCTTAGTTTGTGTCAACAACCAAATTAGTGAGCTGATTCTCGTTGGATTGGAAAATACACGTGTTAGGTAAGTTATTCTCTTTCAATTTGAGGAGGGTCTTGGTTGAACTTGTTTGCGCTTCTTTTCGTGTGTCAAGTTGGGCCTAGAATTTTTAACTTTTCTTAGCGCTCAACTGCAATCACATTCAGGCCTCAATTAATCGTTGGGCTGAATGTCAGGGCTGTGAGCCTGAAAGAGCGAGACCCATGTTATAATTGTCCCTGTATGAAGCTGGACGGAATCAGAGGATTTTCATTGAATGGGTCCCCTTTTAATCAAAGTATGAGGTCCACGTGGCATCTATCTTATGACGTTTGTGATCCCAATCGGTGCAGTTGGGTTGCAATAATTTGGTGGAAATGTTTGAAGAGACAGAGAGCAAGAAACAAGATAAAATCCTCCCGTGGAAAATATATATTTACTGAATTCGTAGAGAGAGAGAGAGAATTAAGAAGAGGAGGGCGGAGGAGGAGGAGAGAGAGAAAGAGATGGCGTTAAAGGTACCGGCGGTTGCGTTCACGTTTGTGGTACACACGCTCGGGGTTGCGGCTTTGGCTTTGATGTTGGTTTGGACCATACATTTCAGAGGAGGTTTCGCATGGGAAGCTACCAACAAAAACCTTATCTTCAACGTACGTCTCTCTCTCTCTCTCTCTCTCCCCATTTCTGGGTTTTCTTAGGTGTAGAAATAACTTCTTATTTTGTATTGATTTTCAATATATGTGCCTTAATTTGATGCTAAAGTTATGCTTCTTCTCGATTGATATACTCATTTTTGTAGCGCTAATAACAATTTAGTCATATACTAATTGAGTTTAGTGGTATTGTAGGACACGATTAAAGTGCAACTCGTTCTAACATGCCGGTCTTAACGCAGGCTGGCTCTTTTGTTAACAATAGTAAGCTAGGGTTGCCTTTTGCTTTCTTGTAGGTGAAACTAATGATGCATGGACTCCTTGAACCCCTTCTAATTTTCTGATTATTTTTAGAAACGGTTAAGTACCTTTCACAAGTTCAGCCACCATTCTTACCAAAACTGCGTCTACGCTCGACGCAATGCGATTATTCTACTATGACTGTGTTTTTCGAAGTGTCAATAATAGTTTTCTAATAATATATTTTATGGACCACGATAATTGATTATTTTTTAAATTTCATAAGAATAACTATTATACCATGGGGTTATTAGGGTAAATCAGATCATGGGAACACGTATGGCATCTGGCTTCCATAAAAATGGTTGGTACTTGGAATTAATGGGATAGAAATTAATAAACGTGAGTGTAAGAGTATAGACGTTGACATGCCTGTACAAGTTTGTTGTGACGCAGAGCTCAAACTACTCACGTATTTATCTGCTTCTGGAAATATATTCAGAGGATTATCATTGATTACATGTAACAGCTTCTTTCCCTTAATGTTGGATTTCTCCACAGCTTTCCACAACACTCTTGTCCTTTTCGATTTCAATCTTACGATGAAAGAGAATAATTTAGAATTATATACAATGTTTTACACCGAGAGGTATAAGAGCCCAACTTCGATAGTGCCATTTTTGCACGTGAATCGTACAGTTAAGTGTCATCATACATTAACGAAGTTCTTGACGTCCAGGCTAATACAATTATGAATTTAAAAGCAAAACGTAAGTTCAGGTACAAAAATGAGACTGAAAAATTTTATGAGCAGCAAAATGTGAAGTTCACAATACTTGTGAGTAATAAATTGAGAATTAGCGGGTTCAGATCTTGCTATGTCATTAGTTAACATAAAGTTAATGGCTAACCTAACGGAAGTGCAAAGTGGTCATAAATCAAACCTTAGGTATAAAAGTGAGACAAAAAAAATAAATGTAGTAAAGGCGATTTTAGTGAAACTTGAGAGTAGTAAAGAGAGAATTATCCAATTTTTTTGTACAACAGAGAAAAAAACTAAGATATGTACTATCCGCACTGCTCTTTTATATAGTCATTCTAAATTCTTAATATTAATTTCCTTGTTTTTTTTTTTTTTTTTTTTTTTTTTTTTTTTTCTGGTACAGCTTCATCCTTTTCTCATGTTACTTGGCTTAATTATCTTGGGAGGTGAAGGTAATTAAAACTAGCTTGTGATTTTTGCAAAATATTTTTGCAGCATGATGGTTGATCTTGTGGTAAATTTTACGTGCTGAGTTTTTCATTTGGTCTAACTGTCGAACCTTGATTCGTAAAACCAAAATTGCAGCCATTGTTAGTCACAAATCACTGCCTTTCAATAAAGAGACGAAGAAAGTGATACACTTGGTTCTTCATGCCCTCGCATTGGCTCTTGGGATCATTGGTATTTATCTTGTGTTCAAGAACCACAATGAGAGTGGAATTCCCAATCTGTACAGTTTGCACTCCTGGATTGGAATTGGGGTGATTGTTCTCTGTGGAATTCAGGTATTCCCTAATCTCAACTACGAGGATTGTTTTCGACAGTTGTCCATGCTCGTGTGAGTGGCTTTAGTCGTTAATGTACACATGTCAATTTTATTGAACCATATACATGCATCAACAACTGACAGTCACTCACATGCATGCGCAGACACTTATGGTTAATATTTCTCGTGAAACTGGATATTTAGGGCTTTTATTTATCTACGTTAGAACATATTGATATGAATGCAGTGGATATGTGGGTTCCTGACCTTCTTCTACCCCGGAGGAAGTCCGACACTGAGGAGTGAGTCTATTCCATGGCATGTGGTATTTGGAATCATTGTGTACTTACTGGCTGTTGGCAATTCTTCATTAGGGTTCTTAGAGAAGCTCACATTCCTCGAGAACTCGGGACTCGATAAGTTTGGGACCGAGGCCTTTCTTGTCAACTTCACTGCAATCATCACAGTACTTTTCGGAGTCTTCGTTATACTCTCGGTAATTTCTGAAGCTCCAGCTCCCGTTGAAGATGACAACAGCTTTTCTTCTATATATAAGGACTGAAGCATTCATGGCTGCATGTGGTTTCTATAATTTTATGTGTAGCTATTTATGCATACATAATAAGAAATGTGACCACTTTTTTATCCATAATTATTGGCATGCCCCTCAATTTATTTTTTTCTTATTTAATTGGGCGAGGGTGTAATTTATGTAGAGATAAATGAACCCAATAATTAGTTTTAATTTGTTGGCCGGATTATGAGCATAATACAGCACCATTATGTTGTGATGTAATACAGCACCATTATGTAAAACGCATGTTGTGAAGTAATACAGCACCATTATGTAAGATTTCGAGCAATCTTAAAACGCATGTTGTATTTTATTTCTCGATCATGAGCATAATACAGCACCATAATGTTGTGATGTAAATGAAACCAATAATTAGTTTTAATTTGCTGGCCGGATTATGCAAGACCAGCGATTTTATATATATATATATATATGGTCCCAAGATTGTTCATCATTTTCTCAATCAAGCAACAAGAAGGCTACTTATATCGATCTAGTGTTTAGGTACGAGTGATCATCAAGGGAATCCTTATATGGATCTAGTGTTTAGGTAAGAGTGATTCATCAACGGAATCCGAATGGCTCAAGGTATATATTTATACACTCCAAAGATCCTTTTAATAATATTCTTTTGCTTTCGTAAACGTCTTATACATAGTTTTCAAGTTGCGGGTTGTTAACGCGGATCTACGTAATGACCCGGTCCCACTCTTGTCCTATTTTTGTGAGTGAAGACTCCTTGACTGAGGACTAGATGACCATTGGATGAAGGAAATCCTTTGGCACGTGATAGACCACTCCTTCAGAATGCAAGGAATGTAGGGTGCTAGGCAGTATAGTCCTAGCATCAGTGTTAGGCAGAGTGCTAGGCTTGCAACACTAGGTAGAGTGCTAGGTATGCAGTGCTAGGCATACATGGTGCTGTACCGAGATCCCAAGACTAAGGTGCTCTATCAAGACCACCTGCGCAAGTGCTCTATTAAGCCTACCTCCCCAGAGTGTCTACCGAGACCACAATACAAGGGTGCTCTAATTATCCCACCAAAAAACAGTACTTTCCTCTAGACGAAAGCTGTTATCTTGACCATCTTCTCCTCTAGCATAGTTATTTCTTCGAACAATTGCTCCACAACTGAAACTCAATCAAGAAAATCTCCTATGCATTCACCACCCTCAAAATGAGGAATCTTCCTAACACCAAATTGATGAGTTTGGCTTGAGGCAAATCCTTCAGCGCATTCTTCATCAACAAAAGATTGTGTGCAACCACTGTAGAAGATCTTTGGTTTGCAACAAATAGCCTTCCTCCCGCAAGCAACCTTGAAGAGAAGTTTGTATCTCACACGATTGATTGCCATTAGAACATGGCAATGGAATGATTTTGAATATCGATTTATTAGTAAAAAAAATCGTCTCCTACATTTGAATTGCCAAAACAAGAACTTTATCATGAGAGTCAAAGCCCCAAAAGGAGAATTGAGAATTTTTCTTGTAAGGGATCAAAGTGGTTTTCGTTGGAGGTGGAAAATTCGCCCACCGAGTTTTGTCACTTTGCAAATTCTTACGCAGTTAATTAAAAGAATGAAATTGGTCTTTGCTCATATACCAATTGATGCAGCTCGAAACTAAAGGATTACAAATTTAAATCCTTGAAGAACCAAAAGTCTAAAATCCACCGGTTTTGAGACAAATCTCAAAGGGTTGTTTGATTAAAGATTGAATTGATCATTACAATGGAAATCAACCAATGGTTTAAATAATCTATTTCCAACACCTTGGGGCAACTCAAAAGCCTTCGAAAATTAAAGGAAAGCAAATTGAAATTAATCGAACGACAAATGAAAAGTCCAATTTTTATTCCTCAACATATTATACGCCAAATTCTGGCAAAATGATATTTCTTATTGCCTTTTTTTTGTTGCCATATCAATTAAATTTGATGTTTTCCAACTTTAATTATTCTTTTCCAAAATTTGAAACATTTTATTTTCTTTATATTTCTTCGTCAAAACTAACTCATACCTTGTCCTACATCACCTTATGTATTTTGATTTCACCTGACTTCAAATAACTTTTTTCGATTTGAGAAATACCTAAGTAAGATAATGCTAGCAAACATCTTTTCTTTCGCGTGATGACCGAATGGGAATACGAAACCACTTAAAATTTTCATGCCACTTTGAAGCAAAAGGGATGAAAGACACGAGCTTCGCTACACCTAAACCATTATGTATCTTTTGCAAAACGTTTTTTCTTTTCTTCTTTTGACAATGATTCGGTTTTTAATGGTACAACTTTTATCAAAGGTAAATTTTATTCAAGAATGGAATTGTTAGAAAACGACAATCCTTAATATCACATGTATCTTTAAACGAAATTGATTTCCTTGATGAGTTGATTGACCAACATATGGAAAAACAAGGGGATACCAACCAAACAAATGTTTAGAGTCCTAACACGTCAATGTGAACCAACTAGCTTTTAGGTTAAATTGTAGTAAAGGTCTCTGATCTATGCCATGAGTTTAGTTTTCGTTCTTGAACTCTACTAGTAGTTTTTTTCGTCCTCGTATTTATATCTTTTGTTGCACTAGTAGTCCTTTTTAATAACTATGCCAACTTTTTCATTAAGTTGAGAGATAAAATAGGATTTTCATCTAGAACATAAGAAAATAATTTTTTTAAAGAGAAAGACTTGCTCCTCAAGGATGAAGGAGAAACTCCTCCTCAAAATACCTCGTGACTTATTCACAGAACTCCGTGCTTATGATTTTGGAACTCCTTAAGGATTGACTAAACGATTTTAGTTTTATTATTTGCAAAGATGATCTTTATATAGTGATTTATAATATGAATGATTCCGATCATAAACAGGAAATTCTGTAAATAAGTCACGGAGTAATTTGAGGAAAAACTCATCCTTAAACATAAGGAGCCAAGCTCTACTCTTTTTTAAATAAATTAGATTTTTTTGGTAATTTTTTTATTTATTTTTATGTATGAAAAGACCATTATACTCTAAATTTGGAAGAAAAGTAAACAAAATTTGACAGAATGATTATTTATGCAACACAGAGTTAGATTTAAAGGACAGGAGAATCTAATATTGAAGTTCAGAGACAAAAACTAAACATGAGATAAAGTTCATGGACCTTTTCTACCATGCATATGTAGCTTTTAATTTTACTGTTAAAGGAATTCGGTTCTCTCATCTCAATCTCATTGATAAAAAGAAAACCACTACAAAATGACTAATTGTGTCCTACTGTAATAATCTATTAATCAATATCGAATTCATGTTAAATCGTTACATTCAGAAGATTTTAGACAACGGAGATTTTTATGATTCATGAGAGCATCTCTTGAAAAATAGGTTGCAGAAGATAGAGCTAAAAGGCTTAAAAGCCAATAGTCATGGCACAATAATTCCTTGAGTAGTCAGTCGATCTGAGCTAATAATAGAAGCCCGCAAACGAGAGCAAGAGAAAGGTTTAACCAAAGGAGTACATATAAACGAAAGAACGACACGAAGTTTGGTACACCTAGTCAGCAAAGTCTCCTATGGAGGAGGTCCACGTCGCATCCATCACAGGACATGTTTGTGATCCCAATCCAACGGTCCAATTGGGTTGCCATAATCTGGTGGAAAAGTTTGAGGAGACAGATAAAATCCTCCATCAAAAATATAATAATAATAATAGAGAATTTTTAATTTCGGTCCTTAATGACTAAATTTTATATTGAAACTTATTAATTTGAATATTTTGGTCGAAGGGAAAATATTAAATTTCAATTAGGAATATATAACAAAATTTTTAAATCCTTCCTAAAGAGCCATGCATGCAATGATTAATATTAAATTGGAATTTTAATTTTTTTTTCCCTCAAATTTGAATTGGGTGAAATCTAATCAAAATTTTTATTTATTTTTAAATAAAAAAATATTTTTTTAAATATGGGTTCATTTTAAATTAAAAAGAGTACATTTTATTATAAAATACATTATAAATGAAAAAGTGAATAGATTTTTTACATAAAGAAAATGGGTACATTTTCCACATATATAACAAAGTGGATCATATTTTATGAAAAATATGTGCATTATAAATAAATTATAGTTACAAATAAAATTAAAAAAATTACGAGTACAAATAAAAGTTTTAAAATATGGACGCAAAAAAGTTAATTATATGGGTACAAATTAAAAATAAAAAGAAACATTGGTACATATTACAAAAATGTCACATCCTAGTCTCAACTCTACCGTAGCACGGTATTGTTTGCTTTGAGTCCTAACCACGCTCTCATGGTTTTGTTTCTAGGAACTCACGAGCAACTTCCCAGTAGATCACCCATCCTGGGATTGCTCTCGCCGTAGCATGATTTTGTCCGCATTTTGTCCGCTTTGGGCCCCGGCCACGCCCTCATAGTTTTGTTTTTGGGAACTCATGAACAACTTTCCAGTGGGTCACCCATCCTGGGATTGCTCTCGCCCAATCTCGCTTAACTTCGGAGTTTCGATGGAATCCGAAGCCAATGAGTTCCCAAAAGACCTCGTGCTATATGGAGCTGGGCATGTACATATAAGGCACATCACCCATTCTCCGTTGGTCAATGTGAGATGTTACAATCCACCCCCCATAGTGGTCCGACATCCTCGTCAGCACACTCACATCACGGCAGAGTGGCTCTGATATCATTCTGTCACATCCTAGTCTCGACTCCGCCATAGCATGATATTGTCTGCTTTGGGCCACGGCCACGCCCTCACGGTTTTGTTTTGAGAACTCACAAGTAACTTCCCAGTGGGTCATCCATCCTGGGATTGCTCTCACCCAATCTCACTTAACTCTGGAGTTCCGAAGGAATCCGAAGCCAATGAGTTCCCAAAAGGCCTCGTGCTATATGGAGGTGGGCATGTACATATAAGGCACATCACTCCTCTCTATTGGTCAATGTGAGATTTTACAAAAATGGTTGCAAGTTAAAAATAAAAATATATGATACAAAGTTTAGTCATAAATATAAATATATTAAAAATAGTGTTATTCACACATTTATTTTTACCTCCCACACACCCTTGTTAATTGTGGCCATTGATCTTCTTTATATCATTCAATAATGGTCAAAAACTAAGAGGGGTGTGTGATTGGTAAAAATGAGCGTATGGATGTTATTATCCAATATATCAAATGTAATGTTCCTAACACTAAATGAATCTATTTGAAAATGGTTAAGGAAAACTAATGAAAAAGGCTTGAAAACTTTAAGTTTTAACGATAAAAACAAAATAATGGGTAAAGTGAATAGTATTAGAATTGACGTTTTAGTGTAAAAATGTGGTTTTTAGTTAAAATGAACAGTATCGGAAACTTTTCATTAAATTTCCCTTTTAATTATAAAATTTAAATATGTTGACATGTAAATATTGTATTATTAAAATAATGACGTGGATAAAAGCTAAAGGAAAATGAATAAGGTATCAATCAATAAAATACAAAAATGAAGGTGAGAGCCTAATTTCTTCATAATATATATTTGACTGAATTCGTAGCGAGTGAGAGGAAGAAAGAAATAAGAATAGGAGGAGGAGGAGGAGGAGAGAGATCAGATGGCGTTAAAGGTACCGGCGGTTGCATTCACGTCTGTGGTACACACGCTCGGAATTGCGGCTTTAGTCTTGGTGTTGGTTTGGACCATTCATTTCAGAGGAGGTTTGGCATGGGAAGCTACCAACAAGAACCTCATCTTCAACGTACGTCTCTCTCTCTCTCTCTCTCTCTCTCTCTCTCTCTCTCTCTCTCTCTACATTTCTGGGTTTTCTTAGCTGTAGAAACAACTTAGTTTGTATTTTTATATATGTGCCTTAATTTGACTATATAGTTATGCATCTTCTCGATTAATATACTTGTTTTTTTAGCGCCAATGACAGTTTAGTCATTATACTAATTGAGTTTAGTGGCATTGTAGGACATGATCAAAGTGCAGCTCTTTCTAACATGCCGGTCTTAACGCAGGCTGGCTATTTTGTTAACTAGTAAGCTAGGGTTGCCTTTTGCTTAATTGTGGGTGAAACTAATGATGCATCATGCATGGACCGCTTAAACCCCTTCTAATTTTCTGATTGTCTGTAGAAACAGTTTAGTACCTTTCACAAGTTCACTTACCATTCTTACCAAAAATATGGTATGCCTACATTTAAGACTCTGTGATTTTTCTAATATGATTATCTTTTTGACATGCCAATAACAGTTTTTTGTTTTAACGATTATGATAATTGGAATTAAAAAAAAAATCGTAAGAAAAACTATTTTACCATGGGGTTATTAGGGTAAAATCAAATCATGGGAACACGTATAGCATCTAGCTTCCATAGAAATGGTTGGTACTTGGAATCAATGGTATAGAAATTAATAAAGGGAGTGGAAGAAGTAGCGGGCAATAAAGGGAGTGGAAGAAGTAGTAGGCACGGGTGGAGGGGAGTGCATGTGGACATTCACATACTTATCCAAGTTTGGTGTGATATGGAGCCAACCAATTCAGTTTAAGCCTCAAAACCGCACTGAATTAAACCGTGAAAAAATTCAGTTTTAATTTTGTTGAGAATGAGTACCACATTGATGGGAAGAGAGATCTTGCATGAGCTTATAAATAAGTTGGGCTACTTCCCATATTGCCAATTGGTTTTATGGTAGAATCTCAACTTCTTCAAATTTCACTTCTAAACCACACCAAACCAAACTTGCCCATCCTATATCATAGTACCAAGTGACATAAATAAGGGCCTGTTAGGTACTTTCTGACGCAAACTTTTAGGTTATAACACCTTGTACTAATGGATTTTTCTTTAACAATTTACCTGTTCATTTGGTCATGTGCACTTAAAATTGGATCATGGGAATTATAATGTTCAAACATCATTGGTGATATTTCATTTGTGTTATCATACACCTGCTCTTATGTTGTCATTCTAAATTCGTAATATTTTTTTTTCCTTTCTGGTACAGCTCCATCCTGTTCTCATGTTACTTGGCTTAATTATCTTGGGAGGAGAAGGTAATTAAAACTAGTTTGTGATTTTTGCAAAATATTTTCGCACTTGCAGTATATTGAGTTTTTCAGTTGGTCTGACTATCGAACCTTGATTCTTAAAACCAAACATTGCAGCCCTTGTTAGTTACAAATCACTGCCTTTCAATAAAAAGATGAAGAAAGTGATACACTTGGTTCTTCATGCTCTCGCATTGGCTCTTGGGATCATTGGTATTTATCTTGCGTTCAAGAACCACAATGAGAGTGGAATTGCCAATATGTACAGTTCGCACGCCTGGATTGGAATTGGGGTGATTGTTCTCTATGGAATTCAGGTATTCTCTAACACCAACTACGATGCTTGCTTTCAACAATTTTCCACGTGGTGCGAGTGGTTTTATCGTTAACGTATGCATGTCAATCTTATTGAACCATATACATGAATCAACAACTGATAATCACTCACATACATGCGCAAACAATTCTTGTGAAACTGGCTATTTAGGGGTTATTATTTGTCCTTTTAATTTTTCTATTTCCTCTAAATTTGGACATATCGATCTGAATGGGTAGTGGATATATGGATTCGTGACCTTCTTCTTCCCTGGAGGGAGTCCTACACTGAGGAGGGAGTCTATTCCATGGCATGTGGTGTTTGGAATCATCGTGTACGTACTGGCTGTCGGCGATGCTTCATTAGGGTTCTTAGAGAAGCTCACATTCCTCGAGAGATCGGGACTCGATAAATTTGGGACCGAGGCCTTTCTCGTCAACTTCACCACCATCATCACAGTATTGTTCGGAGTCTTTGTTATACTCTCGGTAATTTCGGAAGCTCCACCTCCCGTAGAAGATTACTACAGCTATTCTTCTATTCGATGATACAAGGACTGAAGCTGTGAAGCATGCATGGCAGCATGGGGTTTCTATAATTTTATGTATACATAATAAGACATGCATGCGACCACATTTATCCATAACTATTGGAATGCCCCTCTATTTATTTCTATTAATTAATTGGGAGAGGGTGTAATTTATATGGAAATAATTATAAGATTTCGAGTGTTGTATTTTAGTTATCGATCATAAGCATTATTAGGGCTGGTTCGGGTCGGCATCCCAAACCGAAACCCTCAACCCAAATCCCAAACCAAAACATTTTGGGATGGGATTTTATATCCCAAAACCGAACCAAAACGGTTCACTTCCTGAAATTCAGGATTCCCGAAACTGTTTCGGGATTTTCGGGTCACTTTGGATTGGGCCTTGAAGCCCAAAATGTTGGGCTATTTAAACTTTTTACAATTTTAAGCTCTTTAAACAATAAGCCCACCCATTTTTCAGGAAAGAAAGAAATAAAAAAAAATGTTAACAATTGCAGGCTTACAGCCCACCTGTTTCACAATCACATAAATTCAAATCAATCAAAGTTTACAATCTCATTTCGTAATTTCAATTTTCATACCAAGCAAGCAACAACTAACAAGTTAAGCTTAAGTTCACAATTGTCTACCAAACTAGTTAATTAAAAGTGCATGCAACCAAAATGAAATAAGTTAAGTTTTACAATCCAAACTTCCGAACGAATTTAGATTAAGTTACAAACCAAAAGCAAACCATATTGGCCACTTGAATGACAATATGTTAGTTGTAAATTCCATAGCTAAATGCCACTTCACATTGCCATGTCTGTGACTATTTTCCCACCCTAATCCGAGACCCCCCACACCCACCCACCCTAAACGATCTAAACTGCTTTGAGCAACTGCTACTAGCTATAGGCTGCAGAAATCAGGAAGGAAAATACATGGCTAATGGGACCAAAATAGGGTGACATGTATCTTCTTTCTGGTGGAGGTGGGATCCCAAGTCTCTCCAGCTCGTCATACGGGATTGGGCGCCTGGTTACCAAGATAAATAAAAGGTAATGAGTCCGTACATCTAATTCACTGCAAATTTACGGAATATATTACATAATTGAAAAAGTTAGGGATACAGGGGAGCTCGAAATGGTTTTTCTCGTCCTCCAAAACGAAGCTGTCCAGATTCCTTCTTACCACAGAAACCACCTCCTGCTAAAACAATAAAATTACATGAACTAGACCTTTATAGGCATTGCAAACTGAAGGTAGAAGAATGGTGAGCTTCCTGCAAACAAGCAACTAATCTAAGCACATCATAGACACGTTATGACTTGTGCAGATCATAATTTCACGTTGGAGCACCTTATATGTATGCTGCACCTTATATGAAAATAAATGCAGATACAAATTCGTGCACCCATCCTAATTCGAAACCCACAATCCTCAAACCCTCACACATTCGACAAAATACTCAGAAATCAAGTTAATTAACATGAAATTTGACCCTAAACACTAAAGAACAAAAACCCTGTGAAAATCAGAAGCCCTTACCTGGATTTTGGGACTCGATTGGTCTCGGATTGGCCTCTTCCTGCGTCTCTGTGTGTGTGGCCGCTGGATGAGCGCCGTTGAAGTGGACGGAGGATGGGAGCAGCGGCGTGACTCGATGGAGGAGCGGCATGACTCGAATCGATAGAGGAGCGAGCGGCAGGAGCACCAGCAGTGTTTGGGAGATTGAGTGAGAGTAAGCGACAGAGAGCTTGTGAGGATAACAAATGACCCAACTCAATGTACGGTTGATTAGGTCTTAAAACCAATCTAACAGTCCAAGTAATTTCTAATTATAAATTAAAATAAATAAATAAATAATATATATATATATATATTTGGTTCAGTTCGGAATTACCGAACGCTTTCAAAGCTGTGGTCGAATTCCAAACCGAAATTTTCGGGAACGGATTAGGGATTTTCGGAAAAAAATTTCACCCCTAAGCATTATACACCACATTGTGCTGTAAATGAAACCAATAAAAAGTTTTAATTTGTTGGGTGGATTATGGAAGACCAACGACAATATATATATATATTTGGTGCCAAGATTGCTCACAATTTTCTCAATCAAGCAACAAGAAGGCAACTAATTCCATCGATCAAGTGTATAGGGTAATCTCTGCTTATTCATTTCTCATCTAATTAATCTGGATTAGGTCAAACTATACTTGCATATGATTATACATAACTATTTCATATAATATTTATTAAGTTGCTGAACTACTTGGTAACACTACCGGTGATGAATAGAGCTAACAAAAGGCTGGCCATCAATGAGGAGAGAAAGAACGCAGATCAAACAGACCTCGAGGCCCAAGAGAAGAAGATTGAGGTAATTTTTGTATTTATTTAGTTAGGTCCTGTTTGAAAGTGTAATTCTAGAAGGACCGTAATTACATACGAAGATAAGCATATGAGATGTGTTTTTCCGTAAAAATAGTTAGCAAAACTACTTTCAAATGTGTCCTTAGATTTTCTTTTCTTAGTTAATCACTAATCATGTTTAATTATGAGCTTGTGCATGCATGATGAGCAGACAAAAGTTGAGAAACAAAGGGAAGTGGAAAAGCTAAAGAACAAAGAAGCTCGCTTGGCGAAAATCATAGAAGACAGTAAGGTTAGAATTGAAGCAAAACGCAGTATAGGACGCTTCAATGTCGAAAAAAAGGCTGACAAATTTCGTAGCACCAATATTATATATGCCAACCAAGTGTTTTGGCATGTGCGTGGACAAATAAAGATTTCACGTTTTCTCTTCCTCTACGTGTATGTTTATTTTTACTGGTTGATTAGCAAGTAAAAAATTACAAATAAACTGAGATGTGCTTGGAGATAAGGCATACGGGGATTCACCTGAGAAGTTGAGTACTGTGATTATACAAATAATTGCCCTATTTTAATATTTTAAATGACATTTGTCTGTTTTTAATCAATCTAATCGGTTTTACATAAACTAATACAACCCATGAGATTAAGCTACACATGTGTTCAGTCATACAGCACACGACGACGACATGTACATGGTCATGCGTACAGACTACATAGATGGGATGGACTTTTGTTTCAAGTGGGACAAGTGTATGTTTCTGATGTCGACACGTCAACACAATGGTCGGAAGGGGGTCCATAACGTGGCACTGTGGCAGGTTGGTTCTTTAACGTTTTCAAACTGCAAACAGGACTTCGCTTTCTTGCTTGCCGAGTTGTACGTGTTCTTGGAACTGAAAATTTTCGTGGTAAAAAGCCTAAACTAAAGGGAACAAAGCGTACTGATAAAAAAAAAAAAAAAAAAGGAAAAGAACAAGAAGTGGTTTGGAGTTAAATTGGCTTATTACTTTCACTTTTGAACACGAGATTTTGAGTTTAATTTTTTTTTCTTAAACATGCACGTATAAAACGTATAAACTCGTAATTTAACTTTATTTTTAGCTTAAATAAAAAAGCTTAATTTAAAACACGATATGTAGCCATATCATCTTGTTGCATAGAAGTTCTTTTTGATTTGTTGGGATCAAATCCATGTTTATCATTTTCAATACTTGTCAATACAACTGTAAGGATGTGCCCTGGGCCAACCTCTGTGGTCCTTTGGCCTTTTGCCATACCTTACAAGTTATAAGTAAACTACTAACCACAATGTGAAGATCGTATTTGATCAAAATTGAAATCTCTACACGACAGACTGAGAAAGTTATTGGAGGAAAGTACTTTCTCTAACACTCACAACTAAATTAAGAAAAAAATATATTAAAAGCTTTCTATATGTATATTCTTCTTGACGTTATATAAAAAAAATGATATTTCTAGATAAAAAATAATTAATAAAGGAAATGAAAGGAACAAAAAGTAGTCTTTGACGCAAGTAGTCATTTATTACAGTGATGAAAAACAAAAAAATGTTATCGCATTTCGGTGTGAGTTCAAACTCCATCGTCTTTCTAGTCTAACAACTAATCACTAAGCTATTGTCTTTTAAAAATAAAAATGTTGTCTTTGATGAACATGAAAGGAAATTTAAGAAGGTTACAGTATATGGCGTTTAAACGGGGGTGGATGGAAAGTAAATTGATAGGGAATGGTAGCAAGTCACCTTTACATCGTGCTCCACCAAGATTCCTTCACCAATGATTTCATATCACCATAGAATCTTCGATCATCTCTTGTTATTCTTTTGCTCGTACAAAAATGAATTCCCCTATTAATTGCGATGTTGTTAAATTTGTCTCTTATATATATGGAACCAAAGTACTCCTTTGGAACAATCAATTAAATTCCCTAATAATAATCAATTAAAATCGAAATCAATTTCAATGGGAAACCTTTCAATCGGCTGGTTTTGTAGAAAACGAGTAAACAGTTGGAGCATCAACTCAAATTCGAATTTTTATATATGTAAACTTTTGTTTTAGTTTACCGTTTGATTTATAAGCTAAAAATACATTGATCGTCTCATACGATGCTAAAACTGCACGAGAATTGGAATTAGTCTGTCACCCATATGTAGTGAAATACCTCATATATTAAAAACAAAATCCCACAAAATAAAGAACATTAACTTTAATTACCAAGGCAAAGCCATTATTAGTACTTAATCTAGATACGTTGTCAAGGTCTTTGTGCAAATATGGAAATTCATCATTATATTGAATGAATTCAAACGGAAAACTATCTCAAAAAAATAGTTACTAATTGCTTCCATTTTTGGACCAAAATCATATTCAATTCGTTCTTGTACGCATAAAGTACAATAATCACATGCACAGCACGCAATGTTTTAGAAAACAACAATGTGATTTTGATTTTTGACAATAAAACACACTACATACCTTGTTACTCCTGCATAGAGAGGACCGCAAAAGTATAACATCCATTTTATTGTTTTCACAATTGAATCTATTTCTTAATTGTTTTGATTAAACCTGTTACATTACGTGTTTCTTGATTCATGTGACAATCATGCTGATACTTACGATGACCTGCTTTAAAATAAGTAATTAGATAACTCAAAATCAAGAATGAGATCAACTAAGGGAGTAGTTAATCCGATTTCCATTTATTATTTTTCATATTTTCAAGTTCCGAATTCTCTTATTTTTTCTATTATTTATAGGTAAACATTCACGCGAGTATACCATGTGTGGACGAACATGGAAGAGTGACAAAGGGAAGAGATTTTTCTGTGTGCTAGATACACGATCTGATACATCAAGTGTAATAATATAATTGGTTGAAAACTTGAAAAACAAATTTTAAACTAATTGTATTATGATACTTAATATATCAAGCCGTGTTCTTGGCACATTAAAAAATTTCTCGAAAGTGACAATCACTCCGTCTTCTTACTCCAAAGTATGCCGACTCATAATACGCCACTTGTACCTACCATCCACCTATGCAATCCCAACCACTATACCACCTATACAATCCCAAACATCTCTCTCTCTCTCTCTCTCTCTGTTGCTTGTTTAATCTTCTCACTCTAACACTACAGTAACTTCCATTTGAAAACTTTGAGGCTTTTTCCACTCCCAAACCAACTTTTGCAACAAAATCAACATGGCAGAGGCAGAGGAACCCAAGAAACTAGAACCCGAGTCATCCTCAGATCCTCCACCTGCTCCGACTCCAGCTCCGGTGGAGGAAGAGAAGCCGGTTGTGGAAGCTCCAAAAGATCCTGGGTCCCACAAGGACAAATCTGAAATTCCACCACCACCTCCTGAAGACAAGGCTGAGCCTGATGAGTCCAATGCTCTTGCTATTGTTGAGAGTATATTTCTCTCTCCTCTCTCTCTGAATCTTTTCCACTTTATTATATTCTTTTGTTGTTTTTTTAAAGTTGATAACTTTATCTGTTTAGTTGGTGAGAAAAATAAAATCTCAGACCATCAATTCTTTTTCCCACGAAAAGGAATTAATCTGATTTTCTCGATGACTTAGGATTGCTTGTCTGACATATATGCATGTAATTGATTGTAATTTTGTGGTTTTATTTATAATTATTAATTTGATTCTGTCCTGCTTCTAGTTCTTGGCTTCTTGCTTGGCTTTCTCTTATTTTTCTGAGTTTATTTCCATCTCCAAAAATTTTGCCCTGTATTTTTGTTGTGAATATCTTCAACCTGGTCAGAATTATATTTCATATTCAGGAGTTTGATTAGATTCCAACATCTAATTGCTATGTCGTGAATTTTTTGTCACTATGTTGTCGATATTAATATTTAATGAGTTCAAGAATTGAAATTTGATTTTTAACCAGTTTCTCTTGATAATTTCAACTGCTGTTCAGGCTGTGTTAACTTAGCTACAAAATTACAGAATTTAACTCATAAAAACTAAAAACGAAATGTTCATCGAACGGTCTCTTAAAAATCTAAAAGTACGGAATCTCCCTACTTCCATTAGATGGACCAATTTACCATTGCTTTTACTTGTTATATTGTATTCTTTGCATATCAAGTTTTGAATGATTCATTTTTTTCCTTCTCCCACAGAGCCTTCTGAACCTGCTGCAGAAGAGAAAAGCAAGGAGGATTCCGTCGATCGCGGTGAGTGTATAGGGGTTGATCATGAGGTCCTTTGATTCCAGCTTGTTTGTACACATTATAATCAACTAGGTTAAACTTAACTTAACCACATATATCATTTTCTTGTTCAGATGTTGTGCTAGCAAGAGTTGCAACAGAAAAAAAGCTGTCACTTATCAGAGCATGGGAAGAAAGTGAAAAATCAAAGGCAGAGAATAAGTAAGGGCTTTCTTCAGTGTTGAGCCTAATTGAGTAATCATCATGTTTGATATGTCATTTCTTGGCAAGACGACATTCTACTCTAAATTACTATAATTCACGGGGAGGGGGATTCGGAGTTGGGGCAAGGGGTTAGGCACACTGCCCTGTTTACTGACCTAACCCACGTCTGCACGGTGTTTTTTTTTATATATTGAATATTCGATAAAGAATCTTGTTTTCTGATATGATTTGATATACTGAACTGAAAGTGCATGTGTTCGCTAACAGAGCTCACAAGAAACTATCTGCCATCGGTTCATGGGAAAACACCAAGAAGGCAACTGTGGAGGCTGAGCTGAAAAAGATCGAGGTAACAATTCATGCATTTCTTCCTAAAACCTTAACCTTGTGCTTGAATTCTGATACGAAAAGCTCTGGTGTTTTACACTCTGTTTGTTTCCAATTCTGACATTTTCACTTTGTGCATGAGCAGGAACAATTGGAGAAGAAGAAGGCCGAGTATGTGGAACAGATGAAGAACAAGATAGCCTTAATACACAAGGCCGCGGAAGAAAAGAGGGCGACGATTGAAGCTAAGCGCGGGGAAGATCTTCTCAAGGCGGAGGAAACTGCTGCGAAGTACCGAGCTACGGGGTATGCTCCTAAGAAACTTCTTGGTTGCTTTTCTGGCTGAACTTAATGTTCGGGTCCGATGGATAAACATTTGATGATTTGTATATTTGGTTTATTTGGAGTACATTTGTTTATTTAGATTTGTTTGTTTCTTCACATAATGGGGTCATTGTTAGTTACTGTGTGTGTTTGTGTTTGTGTATATACCCTAAATTTGGAGAAAAATAAACTTAATTTATTTTGTAAAAGATCAATTTTGTGTTTCTATGTATCTGCTCAATGATCAAGCACCTTTAGCAAAAGCTTTGAGAACTAGAGAGAGTGTGTGATAGGCTTGTGATACTACCACTGTCGCATTGTATGTATGAGATAATAAAGGGCGATCCTAAGCCAACAAGGCTTCTAGCTTTGTGGGTGGATTTGGGGTTTTGTTTGTTTTGGGGGGGGGGGGAGAACGTCTATTATACGCAATCTTACCCTATGTATAATATAGCAACATGAATTTTAGCTTTCAATTTGCACTGTCACGTATTTTAATTGAAGATACTACTACAGTGACATCTCAATTGGAGTGGGATATAGCAGTGGTGGTTTTCTAATGATTAAGAGTGATTGATAAGTATAATAATGAAAAGGCATTCTGAAAAAAAAAATTTGATTATTAGTATTACATATATTTGAGAATCATGAATGTTCAAATGTGGAATCTTGATGACCATTATTGTTTGTGATACGAATGTAACTTCAAATTCTTCCTTTCCATGGAAAAAGGAAGGAGAGGAAACATTGCTTGACACAGATTGAGAGCAATAGGGGAAAGGAAAAGAATAGTTCCATGGCTTCCAAATCCATTACCCCACGGAATAACTTGATGTCCAAGTTATTTCTTTCATTTGCCTTACCCTCTCATCCCTCTATAAATAACGCTCCTTAACTTCCTTCCCCTAAATGGTAGATATGGTCAAGCTTACAATTGTTGGAAGGGTAAGTGATAGCCTTTGTCTTGCCAAAGGACCGTCTTATATGAACGAAGAGCGCGAAAACTCTTCGTTTTACAAGCAACAAGGAGAGTTCATATTCAAAGAAATCTCCAGAGGAGCCTTGCCTCCTTCCAGGATGACCATTCGTGTCGATCATCACTGCTTCAAGTATCCCTTTTCTTCTTTCCTTCTCTGTTTTTCAATTTGCATTCTTTTTCCCTTTTTGAATAGAAATCCTGAAAAAATAAAGGTAAATGAACTGTACATGCTTTGAGAAATCTCACCGTCATAAACAGCTTGTGGTGTTTATATGATTTTTACTCAATCTTTGCTGTAATGAAGTTACTTGGTGGAGAAGGGAATCGCCTTCATCACGTTGTGCGAATCTTCATATCCAAGAAAACTAGCTTTCTGTTACCTGCAAGAATTGCAGAAGGAATTTGACGAGTTTGACAGTAGCCTTATTGACAAAATCATAAGACCGTACTCCTTTGTCAAATTCGGTAATTTTCATCACCCGCTGCTAAAATTTGATACTGATTGCGCTCTAATAATTATTAATTAGAAGATTGAACAAATAATAATTTTGGTCATAACCACCCCAAATTTTAAGTCCTACAGATGATTTAATTGGGAGTATTAGAAAGCAATACATCGATACAAGAACACAGGTTAATCTGTCTAAGCTTGATGCTAGCCGGAAACAAGATTTAGACATTGCAACTGAAAATCTTTCAGAAATCATAGAGAGATGGAGACATTCAGGTAACATCTTTTGCTCCCTTCATCGCTAAGGCATGCATGAACGCCATCCGCTTCCCTCTTTTGTTCTAAAATCTTAAAATTACAGATCTATTGGAAAGGCCATCGACCCTTCCTCCTCCTCCTCCTCCTGAAGCTGTTTCATCCATCTGGTGTTCACCGCTCCTCGAGGTACATTTACTCGAAACTCATACTTAATGGAAAGATAATGTACTAAACCAATTAATTTCTTTGCATCTTTGATCCAATGCTAATTTTTCTGAACAGGTTATTGCATTGAAATGGACACCAATTACATTGATCATTGCTGTTGCCACTGTTATTCTCTGGGTCACCATAATCCATGCAGATGAAAATTTCATGATTTTAAACTAATTGGGGTATCGGGAACGGGTGAAGAAACCTCCAATTCATCGTGTTGGGTTGCACCGATTTATTTCTTTGATCTCATTCACGAAGGTCAATGTTTTTGTTGCCAAGATATACAAGTTTAGAGGAAGAAAATAATCAAATTATGCACATTGTTCAATTAATTTCATGTCTTGAAACAAATAATCAAAAGATGTAAAATTCAAATAAATTTGCAGGTTATTCTTTCACTGTTTGCCTTTGGAAATTAAATTTTTGACTCCCTATTTATAAAAATACATTGCATCATTCTGCAAGTTGAAATCACTGTACAAATCACCCGCTGATACAAAGTCAACAAACCCTGGTCCTGAAATCTGTTCCTCGAACTTAAACTGCGAATTGATCATCTCCAAACCCAAACCATGATGATGGCTTATTCCATGATGAAAACCACTGCCAAATATTCCCTCATCGTTCAACACAAAACCATGTCCTAGAGCATGATCTGCTTGCAGATTATTTGAAGTAGTACTATGATCAAATTCTTCCTTCAAAACCCCGGGATCACTGATGTTGTTTGCGAAGCTCCCACCATCAACCTGGTCTAAGGAGAGCCACTCAGCAAACAAAATCTTTGGTAAAGGGCTTCTTTGACAGCTCTGATCTTTGGACAAGTCATCGGAAATGGCGGTGATTTTTGCATTGATTCGTGACTCGAATTAAAACATGTTGTGGGCTTTTGGGGAGATAGTGAACACTCTAAGATTTCTGAGCTTGAAGTACTTGTGTACTGGGATTTGGTTTGACCTTCCATTTCCTCAGCTTTGGCCACTTTCTTCTTCAAATATGAATGCCAGTAGTTTTTTATCTCATTGTCTGTCCTTCCAGGCAAATGCTGTGCGATTTGAGACCACCTGAGATCATTGAAAAATATGGATTAATCACCTATGGCATTGGCCCTGATGTGTAGCTCTGCTCGCCTAATCCTCTACTGCTTGCCCTCAATAATATTAAGGTTGAATAAAAACCAGAACCGCTTGAACAAATGAAAGTAATGTCATTTTTAATAAAAATAAAAGATGGGATTCTCTTACTTGTTGCCAAACATACGATGAAGGGTCAAGATTGTCTCCTCGTCTTGTTTGCTAAATGTCCCTCTCTTTAACCCTGGCCTTAAATAATTTATCCACCTTAATCTGCAGCTTTTTCCATTCCTCTGCAAACCTGCATTCAATAGAATCATAGATTATTATTTATGAATAGAGCCATGTTAAATGTCCCACATCGGTGGGGATAAAGTCTCACAATGAGTTTAAATAGAATTACCCTACTCTTAGAGTTTGATAATATATCTCATAGTTTACCCCAAAAACAAATGAATAAATTAATTCTTAAAACCTCTCTTAACTGAGGTCATTTTCACTTTTCATTGTAAAATTTACATTAAGAAATAATAATAGGTATTTTCCCTCTTTACTAGGAGCCGGACTCCAAATCGGTCCACGAGAATGTGGACATATTGCCTACCTGACCTAACACACATTTGTCAATTAACAACAACCAAACGACTATAAATTCTTGATCATAGTATTCATCTAAATTTCCTCTTGTCATTTTGTCCCAATCAATCTCAAACATTAGACTAATATGCCAACAAAAGAGTACTCATTTGGGCTATATATAAGTACTTCAATGAAATATAGCTCTGAGGCATTCATGAACGACTAATACCAGGCTGAGTTGATCATTTAGGGGTGTGGCTGCAAAACAAAATGGGAAATGCAAAACTCACCGGTGTTTATGGGACGGTAGCTCCAGCAGCCGTGGCCGTTTTTGAGGATGTAGCTTCGAAGCATTAGGTCTTCTTCGGGTGACCACAATCCCTTTCTATACTTTGCCTTCGGCTTATCTGATGCCTTGCAGCCCATTTTTCTACAAAGAATGAACTTGCAGCTTGTAAATATGTTATGAATTGTGAGAGAAACAGAAAAAACTGGGGAGGTAGGCTGCAGAGCAATGAATGAAGAGCTGACCTCAATTTTGCTCTGGTACTTAAAGCAGTGATTAGTTCGAAGTCTGCTATTTAAAATGAATTAACAAAGCATGAGCCATTTTTTTATTTCAATAATAATTAGAAAATTGTATATTTTATGCTTATTATTGTACGTTCATATTCGACCATGAGCCAGTTCTTTTTATTTTTTTATTTCAATACTAATTAAAAAATTTATATTTTATGCTTAGTATTGTACGTTCATATTCGACCATGAGGTCATATGAAGCTTCAAGGGTTTTAAGAAGTCGTTAGTTGCTGCCAAAGAATACAATTTGCAAACCTAACCCTATGTAAATAACTTCTAAATACCTAAGAAGGACCTGATTGGATAGAGTTGCAGAGGTTGATTCAAAGTCGGTTTTTGGTTTTTGACTGAAGTTGGTAAAACACGAAATTTTTTAGCTTTTCTTGGTAGTACATTCTTTTATAAGAATAGGTTAGAATACAGATTTTCTAGTGTTGTTTTACTCGTTAAAACTAAGTCGATGGATTTGTGTAGCCACCGTTGCATCATATGATTTATGAGAGCTCTCTGTGTTGCATATCATCTCTACTAATTAATAAAATATTTATTGTTAACCAAAATTTTATGAAATTACCAGTATAATCCTCAAACAAAACATGAATAAGAAAACATGGGGCAGAAATGTAATTTCACATAACCAAATTTTGATGTTTTTTTTTTCAAAGTCTCACCTATATGTCATCCTAACATATCTCTAATTAAAATAAAAAATTAAAAAAATAAAAAAAATAAAAACAAAAGCTTCCCACACTCATATTCTCTATCACTCTAATTCTTTTATTTCAAAAATAAAAGTAAAAATTTTCTCACACACTTTATGTGTACTCATATGCTAGTATGATTTATGAGAGCTCTCTGTGTTGAAGTTAAAAACACACAAGAAAACGACCAACATGCTTGATGTCATATAATGCTCGAGTCACCCTTATTAAAGCCATAAACAATGTTCACTACTCTCTTCCAAAACGTCACTTGTGATGAGATCATGGCACAGTTGACTCCCAAAAGTGTTTCTCAAAACATTTTTCTTCAATGAATGAAGAATATAAAAAAAAGCTACGAAATTAAGGAGATTTTATATTTTTATTTTTTTATAAAATTATATATTTACATTAAGAGGTGGGGAATAAATTGATTACGAATTCACCATTTACGAGACTCAAACCGACCTCACACTTACAAATGAAGAAGAATATTATTAGACCGTAATACTAAACAGTAAGATGCTTTGTTAAAGCATAGAATGCATTGATTTCATAAAAAATAAGTATAAGAGTCTACAAATCTTCTAGATTGATATAAATGACAAAGTGCTGTCATGAAGTTAATTACTTTGATTAATAAATTGATAACAGCTCTACTGGTAAAATTGTTTATGTGTTTATATTATTAGGCAAGCTTAATGATACTATTGGGGGAACTAGTTGACATGCATTTCTCTAAATCATTATCATTGTGTATTATTTTAACCACCTCTGTGTTCTCTCTAAGCCACCGACAATTTTTTTCCCCTTCAAAAGGAGGTTTGTTAAATGGGTTCGTTTTGGTTATATTTTATTTTGAAAAATGTTAAGGAGACTATGTCAAAAGTAAGATTTTTTGTAGACTCTTTGCTACCACATGTTTTTGGCATAATATTTTATAATGTTAATACATGGTTGACATTAAACTATGAGGTATTAGAAAGTTCATAAAGTGTCTCACTTGGAGTGAGTCTCTTTAACATTTCTCTTTATGCTAAGAAAACTTTCTCAAAAGTGTGACTCTCCGTCACCTCATATTTTTGACACAATTCATGTGCAAACATTATAAAACATTGTATAACATGAGGATGGCGAAAAATTCATAAAGTCTTACTTTGAGAGAGTCGATCCCCTTAGCATTTCTCTTTAATTAATCACAAATCGATTCCTTTGAAAGATTGAAACCTCATCGAGTGGAACTGGCTACATAAAGAAATGCAAAGGGGAGAAATGGACAACGGATACAAAGATCCAAGGCCAGACAGGATTAGATCTGTTGGATTATTCGATAATATCCTTTGTCCAAATTGTGATCATCAACCAATGAATTGATCACGTGAAAATAAAAAGAAAAAAAAAGCAATTATTCAACTTGTGACAGGCTAACAATAATACATTCGATAACGTAAGAAGCAAGGGAATCAAATTGAAAAAGACGCTGAAGAACAACAATCATTGTTCTCAACTTGTGATTAAGTTCAATTCACTTTGTTAAGGACAAAAATACATAATAATTGTGTGTATATTTAAATAAAATAGTTTACATTTAAACAGTGATAGGAAATTAGGAAGATCGTTTTGTTATAAAAAAAAAAAAAATAAATGCGCATGGCTCTATTTCCTTGGAGATACACAATAAGAAAATAATATTGTTTTGCCAACCGCAGCTCCCCCATTTGTCAATCGTTATTCTACTTATCGTACAAAGATTTTTAATTGTAATTCTTCTAGAAGGAGGTGTTGAAAAAAATGGAGAATCATATATAGTAGAATAATCTTATTAATAGTATGAGTTGTTTTACATTTAAGGAACTGGATCTTCTTTTGAGCTTAGGATGGGGATCCTCTTAAGCAGCTCATCCGGACCGTTGAAATTTGATCAAACGGCTCTAAACAGGAGGCCCATCTAAAAATTATAATAATTGTAGCCATTAGATCAAGTTTGAACGGTCCGAATGAGCTGCTTATGAGGATCCCCATGCATCCTGAGCTCAGGAGAGGAACCAGTTCCTATATTTAAAAGTCTCTCTCCTGTGTCGGTATCTCTAGCTACTGACCTAATCAACATGTCAAAAACTGAAATGTGTGTCGGTGCCCATTTGCACCTAATGTTCTGCATATATACTCTTTCAGACGAAATAAAATCACCTAGCTATTGACCTAATTTATGTGCCTAATTTCAAGTGGATCATCAGGTTGAATCTTCGTAAACATGCACATTCACATTGCAAGGCAGTTTGATCAGTCTTTTACTCTTATACTCAAGTCAGACAAATAATTCGCGCATAAATATATCGTTCTTTGCTAGAGTTTCTTATGTTTTTGCTTTGCTCAAGCATAACTCACCATCTTTCAATCTCAACACTTATGCTCTACTTGGGATTAACGTGAAATTTGGTCGGTAGTGTGTATGCACTTGTAAAATATATCGACTTCATCCAAAGTCGCCATCTGCTCAATTAAAACTGCTTCATATTTTATTTTCATGGAAAAATGATTGTTCAAACGACATTCAAATGAATATGAACAAGTAATTGGCAACGCTCATCATCTACAGTATTCACAATAGTAGTTTTTCAATTCACATATTTTAAATGGGTTGAGGGATAAGTTTCTTATTGTCTTCTTCTCCTTGTCATTCAAATGGGTTGTTGGATAAGTTTCTTGATGTAAATTTATTAAATCAAAATGACCTAAAAAATATATTAATGTAAATCCATGGCCAGATGCATTGATTTCATGGGGTGGCCTTTTTCTAAAAGCTTCATATGATTGGTATTAATTCATATTCCATGTGTTAGATTCTTACCTAAATTTTTATACCTCTTCGCTTATATTTTATATTTTCAGGGAGATAAAAGACAGTAATTTGGATGTTTTGAGGTTTGTCTGTTCTTTGTTTTTCTTGATACCTCTTCGTTTCGAAACTAGGATTACATCATTATAAATGAGGACAGTGTTGATTATGTTAACGATAATGATAGTTTTATTTAAGTAATTGGTGGTAAATTATTTGACAGCAAGCAAATAAGAACATTATTAATACATGTTGAAATGTCCCACATTGATCGTATTTATGAGAAAATAAGAATTTAAATACACTAATCTCACTCAACTAATGCTGAAGCTTAAAACCCCACACCTGACGGATATGAGAAAAGAAGAGTTTAAATACCCTAATCTCACTCCAACTAATACCAGTTGGGGACAATACCGGTGTTGTTGGAATGATTAAGTTATCCTCGATCGACTTGGGTGGTTAGACTGATCCTTTCATGTTCAGTAGGTAAAACCTATGTGATTAGTTCGATGGAGTTTATTAGTTGTTAATTATGCACGTGTTATCCCTTTGTGAAAAAATATTCCTGCAAAGTCTAAAATTATTTATCATCAATCCAAACTTTGACTTCCATCAAGATGCTGTGCTGTGGTCTATAGAGGGGGAGCTGTATAAATTAGGGTTTCCATCGTTCTAACTTTGCTAAACTAAGTATTTTTGTTTGGTTGGAAGTTTTAAATTGTTAAGAGAGAACTCAATTATGACAAATATGTAAAGAATGTGGTTATCAGAAAAACTAAATCGATTCCATGAATCAAGTCAAAGATTTATGAATTGGGAAGATTTGGCCAAACACCAAGCTGTTCATTTTTTGTATTACAACTCATTGGTCATCCATCTGCAGCTTCATATATCAATGGATGCAACTCTTTTTCATGGTTCTTCCGTGTTAGAGAAGACAGGGTTGTCTGCAATCTCTCATGCATGGAAGTCGGATCAAAATGAAGAACTACTGAACTGTAATCTTCGGTCACTCATGAACGATAAAAATTTCAGATCGAAAGAGGACTCCTAGATTCAGTGATACAGCATCTACCCTTAAACATAAGAAACAAAACCCTAATTCCTCTCTTTACAAAGTATTCTTTTAGCACAAGTGAAAACGACAGAGATTAAGACAGCATTTGATCTATTAATTAAGTGTACACTGTTACAAAGCAATTGGTTATACGTTGCTCAATGCTTTACCCTTCTGCTTAATTTCCACATTAAATAAGTTTGTTGGTTGCTTAAACAACTGAGTATTTTTCAGAGGCAAACACAATTAAGACAACTGGATATGACACAAAAAAAAAGAAACAATAATAATCATTCACCAACTCCTAAACATTGTTTTATATATGGGCACCATGGAAATGATGCCTTGGGGCTTATTAATCTTTATCATAATAGTTAATCCTATCTTTTCAAAATCTTTACCATTACATTACTCTATAAATTAGATTTGCTAAGATTTCTTTTGGTTAACAAAACCAATATGATCAAGCACAAAGTCAATGGATATTGACCAAAAAAAAGGAAAGAGAAGAATAATTACCAACGGCTATTACTTCCTTTGCCTTCATCACCCAATTCATAAAGTTAGTGTAGAATGAGGTTATATGAGTTCAAATAAAAAAAATTCATAAAAGATAAGTGGTTTTCACATTATTTACCAATAGTTTATAGGGTAACTTTGGATGCAGTCCCTATTTACCAATATTGTTTGATTGAAACCTTATTCGTTTTAAGTTGATCGAAGTCTCTAACTTTTAGTATTAATGTATTTCTATGTTAGTTATTTTATTTTAAATTAAAATTAGGATTTGTAGTTGCCTATATTTATGAGATTTTGAATAAAACGCATGATTTGTGATTTTAAAACTATTCAAAAACAAATTATACTCCCCACCACATGAAAAAAATTTAAATTAAAAAAAAATTATGTTTTTGCATAAATACAATATGCACATATAAAAATAACCATGTGTACATTCATCAAATCAAATGAAAAACCATGTATCATAAAGCGTTTGGTAGATTCTTCAAACCCAAAACATAGGTACATTCTTCAAAACAAAAATAAAAATAGATATTATGCTTAATAACATCGGTATAAATTTCTTCGAATAAACTTCACATGGATATATTCTCAAATCAATGAAAAAAAATGTACCCACGTAAGTGATTTCATAAATAGCAGCAACAAAAAAAAAAAACAAGGTATCGATACTAATATATGGGTAAATGTCATGAGATAATGATTTATGGTTACAAATTTGATATATGTACCATGAGTGGTAAAATAAGGTCGCACACAAAAGTAAGCTTAAAAGAGAGACTAGACTTGCCTCTAGTGGATGACCTTGATTCTAAGGTTTTGTGGCAGATTTGATTGAGCTAAACCCTAGAGCACATTTGAATAGCATTTGAAGATGAAGATAATCTTATTTTAAAATAAAATAATTTTGTTAATTAGTTAGAAATAAGTCGTCCAAAATTTATTAAAAATTATCATAAAACAAGGCTATAAATTAGGGAATAAATACTATGTTTCAATACCAAATCAACCAACTGCTGACATATATATATTTATATATATAAATATTTATTATAAAAGCGTGATGTGAAAAAGTGAAGAGATTTTGATCACAAATTAAAAATCTTAAGGTTTGACTCAACGAATATTAGTGACTAGGTCACTAGGGACCAAAACCGATCATATTTATTCATTCTCTCTTGTAATCTCCAATAATCTACTCTGTTTTTTTTCGAAAATAATAATGATTTTTATTTAGTATAAGCGATATTATTTTTTTGTCGGAATAATGGATACCATAGGATAGTATAAAAATGACAATTCAAAACCCATCGTAAATATTGGGAACAAGATTTGCATCTTACAAAAGATACACTGCCTGACAGGTATCACGAGGAAAACAACAAAAAGAAAACAAATGGAGCTCCGTCAGAAAACCCTTCCTGAAGAAAATCACAGGATAAAAAACTTCAAGATAGAAACAGGGCGTCGCACAAGACGCATACTGAAAAACATAAGTTCTTCCGTCAGTGCATCCACAACTCTACTTATCATCATCCTAAGCGATATTAGAACTTGAGAAAATCGAATACAAAATCTCGAATGGAGGGTTTTCGTTGTTTTCTATGCGCATTTGTACAGAACCGGATCCTTTTCGGATTCAAAGGAACTGAACATAATGATCAAATGATCTGGACCATTGAAATTTGATTAAACAGCTATAATTATTATAATTTTTTAAAAGATCCTTTATCTATAACCGTTTAATCAAATTTCAATAATTCGGATCATTTAATTTTAGGCTCAAATTTTTTGGTCCGGAAAGGATTCGGTTCGCACTTGTAGTCCACTCCCTACTGTCGTATCGTTGCTTTTTTCTTTGAACCCGAAAAAAAAAAAGGAATTAATAGGACAGACAAGAGCAAAAGAGCTAGTGAATTAGCATGCGAGGTTCCTTAGAGTTCACTCTCTCGAAACTATTACCACAATCCACGTTCAAACAGTTGAAGCAAATCCATGCCCTCATTGTCACAACCTCTATCAACCAGAACATCCAAATTTTCTCAAAATTTCTCCGGCGGAGCACCGAGTTTGGATCCATGGAGTATCCCTATCTCATATTTTCCCAACTGGGTCCTCAACTCAGTAACGACATTGTGATTCAGAACGCCATGATTAGAGGGTACGATATCAACGGTCCGTTCGAGCAATGCGTCTCAGTGTTTGATGAAATGCCTCTGAGAGGAATCAAACCCCATAACTTCACCTACCCATATGTCTTGAACTCCTGCTCTAAATTGGGTTGGTACGGAAAAGGAAAACAAGTGCATTGCCATATTGTAAAGCATGGGTTCGAGTCAAATCTGGCGGTTGCTAATGCCCTATTCAATATGTATGTTAAAATGCTGGATTCCTGCGACTCTGGTGTTGTAAATTATAGGACTTTGAATGATGCCCGCAAGGTGTTCGATTATATGCGTGTGAAACCTGTAGAATTGTGGAACCGCATGATCTCACGGTATGCGAGCGTTAGTGATGTTCAGAGTGCGAGAAAGTTGTTTGATGATATGCCTGACAAGGACGTTGTTTCATGGAATTCTATGATTTCCGGTTATGCTGCAGTAAGAGATGTAGGCAGTGCAAGCGATCTGTTTGAGAGGATGCCGGAAAAGGATGTCATCTCGTGGACATTGATGATCGGAGTGTATGCCAATGCCGGAGACCTTATTACGGCAAGAAAGTTTTTCGACACAATGCCGTGCAAGAATGTGGTGTCTTGGAACAGTATGATATCAAGTTACAACCAGCATAGACAATATGAAGAAGCATTGGATGTTTTTGTGCAAATGCATTCGGAAGGTGTGGTTCCGGATGGATATACATTTGTTTCGGTTCTGTCAGCTTGTTCCCACTTGGGTGCCCTAGAGTTCGGGAAATGGACACACAGCTTGATAGAAGATTGGTCTCGTTTCGGAACCATTTCAGGGACTGCCCTCATCGACATGTATGCTAAGTGCGGGGACATAAACAGAGCTTTTGCTCTTTTTATCAAGATAGGAAAGAGGGATGTATTTTGTTGGAATGTTATGATTAGATCGGTCGCTATCCACGGAAGAGCAGAAGATGCCGTCAAGATATACTCATTGATGCATAAGGAAGGGTTGAAGCCGAATGACTTCACGTTCACAGCTGCTCTCTTTGCTTGTAGCCATGGAGGCTTGGTAGAAGAAGGCCAAAGAATCTTCCATTCCATGGACAAAGAATTTGGGATTGTGCCAAAGCTTGAGCATCTTGGCTGCCTAATCGATTTGCTGAGCCGAAATGGTCGGGTGGAGGAAGCACTACGTATGGCAAAGGAAATGCCGTATAACCCCGACATTGCTATATGGGGAACCTTGCTTGGGGGTTGCAGAGAATCTAGTCACCTTAAGTTGGCAGAGGAAGTGATAGAGAAGGTTACTGAGTTGGAAACAGACGAATCCGGGGTTTATGTCCTCTTGGCTAACATGCGTGCCTCGGCAGGGCAATGGCCAGAGGCTCAAAGTGCAAGAGAGAAAATGGAAGAAAAGAAGATTTGGAAGAACACAGGACGCAGTCATGTTTACGCCTCTAATGGAACCCAGGAGCCCGAGATCAAAAGCAACTCAAAATACGGAGAGGAGAAGGTAGAACAAATTAGATTCACTTCAAACCAATGTGAGCCTAAAAAAGAATAGCAATTCATTCATTTTGCCACCAATTTTTGTGACCAATTCGGGTCTCGGCAACATTTGCCTAACACACCTGGACCAGGGGAACAAAGGCACCATGCAGCATTTTGTAAAAACATATAAAGAAAAAAATACACTTCTCGAAAAAAGGAAGAACTTTACTGATCAAAGACGAATTCTACAACGATGATTACATGCCACAAGGCTCCAACAGAACGCAACCGATAAGAATCCTATGGGAACGCATACATCGCCTACCCACCATTACACAAAGTTAAGACAGTTGTTAGGTACATTCTAAGAAGTAAGCGCATACATCTCCTCCTACGCATCGTTACAGAAAAGCAGAACAGGTTTTCGTACAAAATCTCAAATATTGAGAATCTGAAAACATAACTCAGACAACATTGTATGACTCCCGGTGTCTAAAGTAACTAACAAACCTTCATGCTAAGAAACAAGAACTTGCACAGCGCAACCACTGTTCAGACAAAGTTTCAAGAGTAATGCAAAACGCATTAGCAAATACGATCATAACCAAACATAGATGAACAAAACAGACCACAAGATATGCTTCGTTCATCTGGATAAACTGAAGGATCTCATACTTACCAACTTAAGTTCAGTTATAAGAATAATATCCGGTTTTGAGTTTAGGTATCCACGCAATGATGTCCAGACGTGATCTTCAGTATACTGAATATTGATATCACGGTAGCTTCATAATTCCTTCTTCATTAACTGATCATGTTGAACTGGAATCGGGAAAGCTGCTGTGGGATTGTAGATATAACAGGCCCATATCTCTGCAAGTACGAGACACCATGAGTTTACAGGAAAATTTAGATAATATTTACAAAATGGATTAACTTAATAAAAGGAACAAAAGGTTTAAGGTTTTCATCTTAGATTACAAAACAGAGAGATGGGTAAGCAGGGGAAATCATAACGAAGTAATTGTATAATACTTATGAATCATCATCCTGAGAATATTCTGATGCAGCAATTGTTTTTTAAGGCTTAGACTTCGGCAAACACAAGCCAAATTCCAATGTTATGTAGGAGAGCATAAGAATTCCACTATGATCATATGATCTTGATACCTGAACGTTATCATAGAGCTCAAACAATGGGACAGCAAGAAGTTTTAGGTTTTTGGGAACAGCGAAGTACTCCCTCTCAGATAAGTGAACAAGGAAAAGCTTCTTACACTCCTGCATTACCAAAATTAGGCAAATAAAAAATCAGTGAGTGGGAAAGAGAGGAAGGGGTAATCATATGCAGCCCAAAGTCATCAACAGAAATTGTCCAGGACTTGTTTTGACATATTACCTTGGGTTTTGTTATGTGAGGAGGGCAATATGGGTACATTATGGTTTCAAAGTTTGGCCTCCACCAGATAGCCACGCACTCTCCTATCTGCAACAAGGGAAGGCAAGTAAAATGAGAATTGACAAGATAAAAATGCCCTAAACCATAATTTTCAAGCTCCAACATTTCAAATAAAGTGGTGGCATTGTGAACTTGGCATGCTACAAGTTCTCATAAATCAAGGTCACTTTTATGAAATTGATCACTAAGGAAGCACCTATAAAAGGCCAATGTGTCTAGTAGTTATACTGCGTTTTTTGGTTGCCTTGAATGTCCATTCATCTTCATACATTTTCGCACTTCAACTCACTTTGAAGTTATTTTCTCATGTGTTTCCAGATAACCCTATAAGCTTCTAACATCATTTCTCTTACATATATAGTCAGAGAGATAGTAAATCAGAGAATCGTACCTGCCAATCTGGCACAAGGGTAGGTGAATTAGCGCCAAGCTTGCTGGTCAGCTTTCTTTTCAACCCCTCAATTTCTGCAACATAAAGAGACCCACCACCAGAGAGAAAACAAAACAAAACAGGTCAGTCTTCAACAAGATCAACTTACGTAAAAATGCATGCACCATGAAAAGGACCGAATACAAGATTAAGGTCATACCATTCTCCCCTGGCTTCAGTCGTCCACCAGGAAGTTTGCAGAATGTGTTTCCAATCTGCAGGAGAAGTATGTGGGGATGATTATGTTCCTGTACCTGCAAAGCAAAGAAGAGAAAGAATGTAAGTGTCAAGACATGTCCTTTGTATCAATTCCATGGTCAACAGCGATACAATTGACAACTATGAAAACTTGAATTGGGGGCTTGTAGAACGTTGAAGATGAGAGGACCAGAACACGAAAACATAATAAGCTAAAGGAACATCTAATATACATTCCAAAGCGTTTGTGAAGCCTCTTATCAGAAACCATGAAACAAACAAATCCGGAATTCCCGAAAATGAAAACTAAAGAACCAGAGCAGGAATTCCTCATTTAATTACGCCATGAGGCCATTCAGCTCAGAAAATAATCCCCTTGTGATAATTTCTGATAAGCATGCTAATCAAGAATTGTGTGTAATATAGTTAACTATCCAAAAACATTTAAACAAGAAGTGTAAGGGCATGTTATGGAACTCAAATAATGATCATTAACAAATACTGTGTCAATTAACCAAGAAATACAATATGCAATCGAACAAGTTCGTTCTTTTTCCTAAATATTTCACACATACAAGGAAGTTATGAGCTTTGCCCACCAAAATGAACAGTAAATTATGTGCAGAGGAGGGGCTGTTGATTCAAAGCATATACCAGTAAAATCGCTTCGACACTGGTCCGCATTCCCTCTTTCATATAGCTGCCGATTCAAAAATTAGGGTTTTAGAACTCAAAAGAACCCTTCAAAGGGACTAACAGCTTAAAATTATTGGAATCAATTAATGGGGGGAAATGAATATTGCAAAAAGGGGGAAACATACTTGACTTTCATACGGGCGAGGCGATCGGCGACGGAGGTGTCCTTCTCCATCTTCGGCTCTTTGGTCCCGAACGTGTAGCTCGACAGTGGGTACGTGTTCACCACCGCCGACGTAACCATTTCTCCCTCTCTCTCCCTCGCTCTCTCTCTTCTTTCTCTCTCTGTCTGAAAACCCCTACCGTCTGTAATCTTCGACGGCGATCGGTGGAAATAGAGGTGGGAGAGAGCGGAGACGGGAAGAGATTCAAAACCCAGACGACGAGGGTTCAGTTTAATTGGAAAGGACAAGGAGGATTCTACCTCTACACTTGTACTCACGTTTCGCACTCTGAAACCTGTGAATTCCAACATCATGGACTCGTTTCCTACCGTCGGATTTGATGTAAAGTCCTCCATAAGTACGTTGACTCAAATCTGACGGTCCTGGATTTAGTTGTGACTTTGACCCTTTTAGACAATTAATTATAATTACTCGTTACAAGTCATGTCGTACAAGTCTTTATTAATTCAATCATATCTCTAAGACTCAATCTCATTCAGTCCAACAAACGAGCCAGATTTACTAATTAAAAAATTAAGGTATATTTGGAGTGCTTATTGCAAAAACCAATTCTTAGTAAAAATACAAGTAAATCTTGTAAGAAACACCTTAAGTGCTTATTACAAAATGTACATACCTTTGTTACCACTTGATTTCCAAGGATTAAATAAACCATACAACGAAAAATTGAAAAACCAAATGGGTAATTTAGAAAGACTAAATTTGTACAAATTTTGTAAACCGAATGACAGAGAAGTTAATGATTGAATTATTACTTAAGTGTTAATTAACATACTTATTTCTTATTGGTGACACAACTTTTGGTTTATAAATTTGATCATACGTAACGTTTCTCAAACCAAATTCAATGATTAGGTTTAAGATGGCTGAAATACCTAATTAATCTTGAAATATATTTGTTTCTCGAAAAACATGATAAAAATGGAAATTTGGAAGCAAGATTTTGACAAAAGTAGACATGTACGTATAAACAATTACTCCTTAACGATTAAATCTCTAAATAACAAGATCAAACGAGTAATGTACAATTAACAAGAAAAAGGTCAAATAACTTGTAATCAAACATAGATTTGTCCTTGGTCTGTCAATCGTTCTATCTGGTTGGCAATTGGCAAAGGACAACATGCAAGATGCAACTGTCTTCAACTGTCCATGCAAACACCATGTGAGCCATCTTAAGCTTATTACAATCCAAGCTGCTCTGCGCAGTCACTGCAAAATGCCAGGTCACTGTTTTCTTTTTTGGCCAAGAAGAAATTTTTTATTGTGATCAAATACAAGTGGTATAACATATGCTTTTGTATAAGTAGTGAAAAATTTTATTTTTTAAGTTATTAATTTTTTTAATACATGTTCTACTATTTGTATAATGACGAGTAGTGTACCGACTTCGTGTTTCGGTTACACTAAAAAAATCTCCCTTGGTCAAGCCAGCTCACTGTTTTTTTATGGATAAGGTAATAACCTAGTAGATAAGGTTGATCTCGCTATTAGGGGGCGCCCGTTCGGTCGCCTTTAATGGAACTTCTCTCTTCTCAGTTGAGGACAAAAAGACAGGTTTCATGCAAGATGCACGATTGAAATGGACGTCTAGGAATGAAAAAGTGATGTAGGCCAAAAATTCCGAGAAAGATAGATAAATGCTGTGATTCTTGCTCAAAAAATAGACCGAACGCGTTTGAGTTATTAGCTCGTTCAGCCTGGCTGCGTTCATGAATCGTCCGTTCAACCGTTATCTTATATCTAAACAACTAGACGATTCTTCTAGGTATCGTTTGATACGTGAAATGGAACAGAACGCATTCATCTCACGTTTGGTGCGCCAAAGAGAGTGGGACGTGCTGTCCCGTGAAACGGATTTTAGTTAAATTTTTGTCCTATCCTCCTCCTGAAACGACTCGTTCCACTCTGTAGGACACAAAATTATAATTTTTTAAACAAAAATATCCCTTATCTTTTTCGTTAATTACACTGTCTAAATCACAAAAACAAACCTAATCTGCTAACCCCTCTCTCCTGCAGCCTCCCTCTTTCCCATCCCTTATCTCCCGGGCCTCCATCACTACTAAAGCCTCCACTGCCTCCCTTCCGCCTCCTTAATCTCCAGATCCTCCAACGCCTCCTTTTCCCCTCGGGATTTGCAGCACCATTTCCGGTTGCTGATCGGAAAATGTTGAACCTTGGGAATGTGGCATCCATGAGTTGGTCACCGGAGTCGATGAGCTTTGTAGAAGCATTTTTCTTGTAAAATCTGCGTCTAAGAGTAGAAGGAGGATTCTCTACCCTTCTATTCTCATCTCCTTTCATCCACTCCTTCTACATATTGTTTTTTGTCTTATTATCTCTATAAAAAAATTAATATAAGATGTTGACGTGGCTTAACCGTGACCATTCAAATAGGAGGACATAGAAAGATAGAGAGATTAGGAGGGTAGAGAATCCCTCTCCCTAAGAATAACCCCAAATCTCAGACTCCTTGAAAACTCTAAAATTCCAAATTGAACCGAAAGATGGAATGAAACTTTGAGGGGAAGAGTAATTGGGTTTGCGAAGGAATTTGAGAATTTTTAGGTGATGGGGTGAGGATGGACCAATGGAGGAAGAAGGAAGTGACGGGGAGGTAATAAATAGAGGAAGGAAGGGCGGAGGTGCAGATGAGATCTCAACTCTGCATCAAGTCTATTCTGTGCATAACCATTGAAGTCGAAGAGATGCAAAATTTCTTTGCTTTACCTTCACTCCACCTTCATATATATGGCTGTAAAAAAATCCAAGTTTTGCAGAAAATCCATGAGGTTGAGTCAATGGAATCAACGAAGAAATATGGGTAAGTTTGTCATTTAGTCATTCGTTCTATTCCGTCCTGTGCGTATCAAATGCGGAACAGAATAATTGTCCATTGTACCAAACGTAGCATGGAACTTATATTCTGTTCCGTTCCGTCTCATCCCGTTCTGGTTTGTTCCATCCCGTCTTCGTACCAAACACTACCCTATATATCAATGGGAGTTTTAACAAAAATTCTGCGGTACTGTTCACTTTAACGAAAAATTATATTTTTACACTCAAAAATCAATTCTGGTACTATTCATTTTACCCTTTATTTTGTCCTTATCATTAAAGCTCAAAGTTTTCAAATTCTTTTCATTAGTTTTCCTTGTATCAATCTCATACTTTTAAACAAAAATAAATACTTGGGACAAATTCACAAAAATACATGCAATTTAGTAATGCCATGCAATAAACGCACTACATGGATGTTATGCATTAGCTTTATTAATTCAGGAAAACTCATAAAAGATTAAATTAAGAGGTTCTTTCAAAAGTGAAACGTTTCGTGACATCTATGTCACTTTATGTTTTTGGAAAAATATTGTATATTGGCATGGGAATGAACGTTAAGTTCATAGAGAGTCTATAAAAAATCCAGTAATGCTATTCTTATCATGTTTTTATACCACATTTATATACCACCTTATGTGGCATTTGATGTGGACATCCACATCATTTAAATTAATAAGAATTTAATTTAAATTAAAAACCATTTAATAAACCAATAATTAAAAAAAAAAGCTAGAATTAAATGGTGATTGTGGCATATGAGGAGTCTTCTCCTTCCTTCCCCATTCAATCCTGCTTTTTCTCCCATTTCTTCTTCCGCGCCAGTTCTTTTATGACATATTTTTTTTCAGCCGCCTCGCCATTGATGGAAGCAGACGAAGTAATGGAACATGCATTAGTGTAGTCTGTCATGGCGCGGAAGATCTCAGGCAAGCGAGTTTTGAGACTCCCAAGTAACTTATCCCTCACCTGGATACAGTGTCTTTGGTGAGCTTCGCATTCCTTTTCCATTCTCTTCTTCAAGCTCTCAGCAATGAATTTCTTCTCTGAGACCGGGTCCTTGGGAATTGCATCTTCACCTCTCTCCTAATCCATTTCAGCATGCCTCTGCACATACTTTTCGTACCAGTGTTCAAAGGCCTGTCTTTTACACAGAAACTCCTTCCGTGTCTCCTCAAACTTCTCTTTTAGCTTCATCTCTTCCTCCTGATGAAGTATGATGGTCTTTATCACAGCCTCAAAGGATGATATTGCTGATTTTGCGAATGGTTTATTAAATAGTTTTTAATTCCAGCTTTTTTTTTTTTAATTATTGGTTTATTAAATGGTTTTTAATTTAAATTAAATTTTGATTAATTTAAATGATATGGCTATCCACATCAGATGTCATATAAGGTGGAATATAAATATGATATAAAAACATGGTAAGAATAACATTACTGTAAAACTAATACATAGATGCATGAATATAATGTTAGAAAAAATATAATCTCACTTTGAAACAATCTCCTTAATATTTCTTGGGATCATACATAGCTTCATGAATATAATGTTAGAAAACTAATTTCACACAACCTTAACAATAACAAAATGGCACTTTAATTTTGAGCTAAAATTTTTCTAGGAACAATCTCTATAAATTTTATGAAATAAATATTCAATTAATTGAATTTTCAACAATTTCTAACCCGACATGAGTGACTTCCTCCTCCCCAGAAAAACCTGCAAAACCCCATCTGATCCACCCGCCACCAGCGTGCACTGCTCCTCACCAACTTGTCGCCAGCACACGCTACTCACAAACGCGCCTTCCTCGTCACCGCACCCACCACTACTGCCACCGGCAGCCACCGCCCCAAACTCGTGGACCCAAATGGGCTCGCCCCACCTCTTATCGTACACGAAAAGCCGGTTATTTTCCGACCCGCATCCAATTAGCCCTCCGTTTCTCCACACCGATAACCCAACAAAGCTCCGACTGTTCGCGTGCCCCTTGTACGTCTCAATCGCCCGCGAATCCTCCGTGTCCCACAGCTTCAAACACCCGTCCGTTCCAGCTGTCACCACCGTTCGGCTGTCGAGAAACCGCACGTACGTCACGGTTTTCCTGTGTCCGTAGAAGACCATAACCGGGCCCGCCATTTTCCGAACATCGTAGGCGTAGGCCTTCCGGTCCGCGCATCCAACGGCCAGAAGCGCCCCCCGAACGGATCAAACTCCACGCAGCAGACCGGACTTCGCGCGTCACTGGGCTGTACACTCGCCACGCAATCCCCGCCCTCGCAGCGCGGGTCCCACATCTGTAGTGTCCCATCGTCGGAGCCAGACGCTCCGAGAACCGGATCAGAATGCGAATAATCCACGCTCCAGACTCTGCGCCCGCCGTGCTCGTCGCGCTCGAAGATGGGTAGTTTTGTTTTGAGGTCGTATTCCGTGACGACGCCGTCGTAGTCGCCGGAGGCCATGACCCGGCCGTCGGATCCGGGGCGCCAGCGGAGGCTGCTGAGCTTGGCGGGAGTGCAAATGGTGTAGTCGCATGCATCTACGTGGTCTATCAAATCCGCCATAGTATCACTTGAACTTCCACAACTTTGATTATCGTAATTGGGCAATAGAGATTTCAGGCTGTATACTCTGATTTTTCTGGCGATTCCGCCGGTGGCTAAGACGGTGTTTGATGGGTCGAACTCGATTACACCGAGGGTGTTGGATGCGGCGCCGCGGCAGTCTTTGGAGGACACAACCGTCGAGAGACTGAAATCCCATTCACAATTGTTGAACTCTGATCTTTTTTCTACTTCTTGTTGTGGTAATTTACCTTCCTCTGTGCTTTCTCTTTCTTCTGAAATTCTTGGTTGGTCTGGGAAATGGATTCCTGAGGAGAAGTTTTTCATTTCCCATTCATATCAAGTGGAGTGGTGGTGAGGAAGCGTAATTTTAGGCTGCCATAAACCATATACTAGTATTGAAGAGGGATGTGGATAAGTCCTTCAGATAGCTACGTAAGTAGATAGGGAAGGTAGCAAGCTAGCTATTCTATATAATCTCACTTTTCTCCCTTCTTCTTGTTGTCAACTGGTTGATAAAGTTTCCAAAGCCCAAACATATTCATTACAAATATTATCAATATTGTATCAACTTAACCACCTATTATTAAGTGTTTAGTTTATCATAAAAGATCTCGGTGATATTAAGGGTGAAACTTTTATATATTAATTGCATATTATTTGTAATATATGACCGATGTGGGATCCTATATGTTTTCCAACATGCTCTCTCACGAGTGGCTCCAGACAAGGTCACTAGGAAAACCATTTTCTACATCAAGCACCGGTCAAGTTATTATACCGGTACTAATGCCAATCTTTTTTAGAGCTCGGTCGGTATTCAATCTCTGGAGCCAACGTCAATATTTTTTAGAACTTGGTAGATATTCAGTCTCTAGAGCCAACACCAATCATATGTATGTTAATTGTAAACTATTTTATGGATCTTATATATTCTCCAATACTTGTTTCATATAATCAATTCTTCATGTCTGCCATTCAATTTCCCAACTAACTGTATAGTGTGCGTCTACACATATACACACACACATATGCCAACATCTCTTATTATCATTCCAATGTTGAATTGGAGAAGTGCGTGTTAATTTTTTTTTAAATTACTAATAATTAAAAAATTAAAAAATAAACGATTCAGGCGTCGAACTTCGATATGGTATGGACCCCTCAACTAATCCTAAAACCTCTTTGCACTTATATAGAAATTGACTCTCCAACTAATGCATGCAGGTGATATGTTAGTAGATGGGATATTTATGCAGTCCCATGCAAAGAGAATTTTTAAGTTGTGACAAGAACACGGGTGGTACACCATATGTTTTTATGTAAGTGGTGAGAAATTTTATTTTTTAAGCTATTAACTTTTTAACACATCCCATCATTTATATAACGACATATGGTGTATCATCCCGAATGACGGTCACATTGAAAAATCTCTCATGCAGATGGTGAATTGTGTTCTCTCCCACTGCACAAAACTGGCCAATAGTAAACTTCCAACTCATGATCATGAAACAGATATTCTGTGAAATGACATCATATATAGATTTTGAAACCACCGTCAAATCATTGCATATATTTCATAGATTTATCTACTAATTTTTCTTGTCATTTAGATTTTTTTTTTTTTTTGTTTTTTTTCCGCTAGATCAATGAGTCATGTGCAGTTACATGTAAATCATGCATTTCTTTTTTGGTCGATCTTGTAAATCATGCATGTACATATGCAACTGAAAGAAATGGGGTTTTACGGTATGTAGTCTAATATTTTAATAGATAGAGTGTTGAATTTCTACGCATACATTCTGAGTTTGAAACTTCACCTTTTTAAAATAATGTAATAGTTTCGAACCATCTCCTATCTTATTGATAAGACTAAATTTTAAATGAAAAGGGGGTTTTATGGAATTTCCAAAATAGAAACCAATAATTATTCACACTTATACTACTTTAGGAATTAATTTTTATTGATTTTACAAGAGATGAGTAGTAGGAGTGGGGGTCTATATTTAACGCATATGAATGAAAATATAGAATAAAATTGGTGGCGAAGGTGCAGATCAAGAGAAGGTGGAGGCCAGAGGGTCTTTGGATTGGAGGGAGTGTTGGACATTTTTGTGCCTCAATTTTACGTATGGGAGAAAGTGGACAGAGTCTCTTTGTCCTCTCAGCATTACGTGGTCTAAGGAACGCCTTTTATCCTCATCCCCTTCAATTCCTTCCCCCCCTCGTGCTTTGCCAACACTTTTTCAACCTCACTTAAGCTCAAAAACAAGTATGAAAATGCGTGAGAGAGAGAGAGAGAGATCTAAATTGATTTTATTATCAAAAGTAGTTTTGGAAAATGAATCCCATTAAAGTTTTGTATCAGAAAAAGACTTGTATCTGTCACCTAACAACTAGTTGTCTGATCATTTAATAAAGACACATTATCACTATTGTATCTATCACGTAACAACTAGTTTGTATGACTATTTAATATCGACACGTTAACACTATTGACGTATGATTCCCTTCGTATTACTGATATTATTGTTCGATGCTTCGAACACATTGTTTCCCTTCTTATGATGTGGTATCAAGTTATTAATTGGTCGGCCTAACTAAGGGTCAAGATCAGAAGATGATTAAGTATGGTTTTTATTCGTATATACAAACAATATTAAGATAAGGGAAATTGTACTTGAGATATATGGTGTACGAGAGTGAATGCTCGTTACTAATCTGCAAATAATCCCTTTGCATTCCGTTTAAGCACTTGAAGTGTTGGTGCTTGGGCATACTGCATATATAGAGAAAAAAAAAAGAGGGCAGGACTGGGAATATGAAATCGGCCTGGGAAGGTTGGTTTTGGGGTGGTTAGGTTCGCGGGGGTTGTGGCCTTGATTTGGACAATAGTTGGGGGTGTCAGGGTGTGGCATGAATCCAGTGGGGAGGAGAGATGGATAGGTGAATGTTGGTGGTTTGGGGAGGTGGCCAAGGGCGGGTAGTGAGGAAGAGAGCAAGATAATAGATAAATAGATTTCGAGTAATAGAGATTAGGGCTAAAAACATATGTGTGAATAGCATTATCCGTTCTTTATATATTTTGGCAGTTATATACTTCATTTAGAAGTGTTTTTTATTTTTTTTTGTACATCAATTTTTACACTAAGGGGAGAGAGAGTTCGGCAAAACCACACAATGGACAGCCAATTTGGCATCAAATTCGCCATCACGAGATTCAAACCTAAGATCTCTCACTTTCAAGTAAAGAGGAATATAAGTGCTTTTAAAATCACTAAAAGCACTAAAAATCTTTTGGAACTAATTTTTAGTAGAAATGCAAGTGAATTTTGGAAAAACGTTGCTTCTTACAAAAAGCACTTCAAGTGCTGTTGGAACCCAAAAATAATTTCACCAAATGAACTTTCAGTTATTTTAAAAACATTTCCAAGCAAAACTATATATTGGAGGAAGCAAATGAGGCATTGGGTATGAAATGCGTGTAAACTGTTGTCTTTTCTCTCGAAATGTAAGTTTTTCATTTTCCATTAGTTAATAGTTCCTTTGAATGGTACAGGTATCTCACCCTTTATGTAATCGAAACATGATTTCTGCTCGTCTAGATGCTGTTTTTGAGATTGCAGAATCTATGGGGTCTTCCAAAGCTCCTCGGAATATTGAACAGCAAGATGCGGAGGATTCTTTTGTAACAAGTTTGAACCCAGAGTTGACTTATATACTTTCTTCAGTTTTGACGACTTTTGGGACGATCACCTGATATTCAACGTGGGATAACAAGGATCTTTCATCGGACTGCCACTCCACCCGAGGTGATGCCGACTTCTTCTCCAACCTACAATTTGAATGGTTGTACGTTTGTAAATCATTAATTTTATATCGTCTGGGTCAAATTTGGTTGCATTTGGGGCCTGGTGCAACTATGTAGTTTGCCTCACCTAGCTTGTTCAGTTTCTCATCAAGTGGCATGCTCAGTTCATACAAGCTATTTTATATGCTGGACAACAACTTCAACAACTTCAAATTGTAGAATAGGGAAGCACAGAAAATTCGAGAGGAGATATAGTACGCTCTGAGCTGTTGAGGAAGTTGATATTGTCTGCTTCGTCATCCACTGTAGTTGGAAAAGCTGCAAAATTGTTATCTGCGCTCAACAAGGAAGCAGCTGACAGACAGGATTTATTAAACTTATCATCTCTGGTGGCCAATTTTCCGAGGTTTGTACTACGAGTTTCGCATTCTGAATTTGACATCTCTTTTTTATTCTAGTTCTAGATTGTCAAATTATTTTATTTGGTTGCTAAAGCAAGGAAGGAGGTTCAATTGGCAAATGAGAAATTGGATTCTCTCGTCAGTTTGTACAGGAAACAGCTTGTAACGCGCAAGTTGGAATTCCTGAGCGTCTGGAACAAGACACTTGATAGAGGTACCAAGTTAAAGTTCAGGTTGGAGGCAGTAGTAAGGAGCCGGGAAAGAAATAGGCATGACAAAAAGTGGTTGCTGAAGTCACTGACAACAGACCAAAAAAGCAACAAGAGCACGATGCAATGCTAGAATCTCCCGAGGACCTTCCTGCAGGATGGAGCTTGATTTTAGAGGAGATAGAGATGGTTCCGAGAAATTCTTTATGAATTTGAAAACCGCATTGTTTGATGACACAGTGAACCCGTGTTTGGACCTGATTTTATACTATCGATCCGTGCAATCAAGGCCGTTGAGTGAGTATAGCTTCACACCGTCAGATGAAAAGTGAAGATAATTCATTTTGTTATTATTTGAAGATAATGTTATGGTGTTTTATCATAATTATCTTTTAATAATAGTTTATTATGAAAGATGTGATACGTATTTCCAACTGGAAACGTGGCAGCACAATTGAAGTTGATTTGGGTGTTTTGACGTTTGAATATGTGGGTGGCGTCAGGTGGTTCAAATTGATTGTTGCCTATTTAGAGTATGGTGGGGATCAGGATGCATGCATGGGTAAAGATTATGAAGAAGCCTAGACAGGGTTGGATTTTGGTGGTGATGTGATAAGCCTAGGTTGTGATGATGACACAAGAAACCTAGGTAGACTAGGCTTTTTGCATGGTGATGGAAGAAAAGGTTTCTGCTTGAGGTTTTATTAAAACTAGGTTTTTTGCATGGTGTTGAAAGTAAAGGTTTCTGATTGAGGTTTTTATTTTTAATAAGATCAGAAGCCTAGGTGGGATAGGGTTCTGATTGCAGTGTAATAAATCCTAGATAGGCTTTATTTTAGAAGTATTTGATGACCACAGATCAGATTTCAGCAAGTTAAAGTTGCAGTCAGACTCTACACAATTATCTAAACATGCCAAGCAAGTACAGCAGTCTTATAAATACATGTGCCATCGCAACGTAAAAATGACCTCCAATTCAACACACAACTGTCCTGCGCAAAACTCTCAGACATCTTGAGAATTTTTTTTTTTTCTGCCAACACACCTTCAGTTTGGATAAACAGCACTGTGAAGGCAACTAGTGACAGCTTTAGTTTGGATAAACAGCATTGTTGTCGTAGAATAAGCCGTTCCCATAGCACCTTCAGTTTAGATAAACAGCATTGCATTGAGGCCGACTAGTTATCTATCTAAGTCTCGGTCGATAAGGATTTTTGAATCCTTATTGGCAGAGGTCATCTCGTTAACCTTTTTGGCGAAGTGAGATGTTACCAGGTTACTACATTCGGCACCCTGAGAGCCGAATTTGATATTGAACTTTGTAGAACTAGCAGCCTTGTCTTCAGACTCTAGAACCCAAAGGCCGAGACGTGTTCCTTCCTCGACCGCAATCGCAAGATCAATAAGTCAGCAACACGCTCAACGTAACATCAACAAATTTACTCCTCGTCCGACGAGTTAGCACACCCCGCATCAACCGAATGACGTAGTTAGCTCATTAGTTACTCGGCCAGTGCGCCACGTAGGCTTTGTAATTTTTAGAGTCAACATCCCGTAAAAAGCCTTCGATACTTGAAACGCGCAAGAAGCATTGCAAGAGAATATTTCACTCATTCTCGTTTGTTTTGTAGATAAATAGCCCTTCCCGGAAGTGAACTGGCATATATATGGCAACAGCAAGTGACCGGAGACGGATTTAGAAGGACAAAATTCATCAGTTTTGTAGATGGTATTTTTATGAGTGAAGAGTTTTGTATTCCCAGTCTCCATCTTTCTTCTGTTTGTAATTTTATTTTGCCATTCTCACAAATGTATTTTTCTTTTTAAATATAAAAAATTTGTAGAGCAAAATAAAGAGAATCCAAATTGGATCCAAAAAAGAGAAGGAAAAAAAAACACCTGAACCAACTATTGTTATAAATTCCATCATAAAAAAATCTTAGCTCATAAATAATAATCAGACAAAAATGAAGTTAATTAGTGGAGTAATACTAAGAAGATTAAATTTTATAAACTAAATAACATGTTAATGATTGAATTATTACTCAAACGTTAATAAACGTGTTTATTTTCTATTGATGCCATATCGTTTAATTTGTAAATTTAATTTCGATTAAATGGTAATGGCGTTTAAATATAAAAACCGTAATTAATAATCAAAAGTACAACGGCGTTGGAACGAGGCTAAGTATTCTGAGTTTGACTCGAACTCCCGCAGGTTGCGGTCTCTGCCAGCTGAGTCATACGAATGAGGATATTATCTGGATTCTTTTTGTGAGAATTTTAGAAAATTTTTCAATTACATTCGTTTATTATATATTGTGTGGTCAGTTTTCGTTAATTTTAAATAAAAAAAAACCTTACGATATACGATTAACGAATGTGATTTGAAAATTCCCGAGATCCTTAAAACATAGACACAGATCTCGGGAGATGAGCACGTGCCCAGAAAAGAAAGTAGAGAGATTATAGATAGACAGACAGTTAGTTGTGTTCGGTCACTCTAGTAGGTAGGGCGGGAGAGGGGTAGCTGTAAAGTTAACAGGCCCGTTTTGGTAATTTGGACCGCAAAGAATCCGGCTTTCTTTTTTCGGAAATAATTAGAATTTCGAAATAACATCAGCACACACAAAAAATAAAAACAGAAACATTTTTTCTGACAATTATTTGCAGGCGTGGCCACCCAACACACCCCCACCAACACCCACCGAGACCAGATGACTGATAAACCCTCCTCAAGAACCAGAACTCTAATGTAATCTCTCTCTCCTCTCTCTCTCTCTCTCTCTCTCTGCATGTATCATCATATCATCTGCTGGTTGTTTTTTTGTTTCTGTGTGAGCTGTGAAGTGAATGGATTGAGATATGGATAGATCTGGCTGGTGCAATTAAGCACCAAAATTCTGGTCAAAATTGGATTTTTCAGCAGCCATGAATCCAATTGTTCGAATTTGTAATTGGATTTGGGAATTTCGAGATCTAGTAGTGTAAAGAAGGTTTGATCTCTTGATTTTGGTCATGGAAATTTTGTTTTCTGCATTAATTCAGATGCAAATTGGATAAATGCGCCATTGAAATTAGCATTTCTGTGTTTTTTTGGTAAAAAATAGCTGGTCTTTGGCTAATTGTTTGTTGTCATTATTATTATTTTTTATTTTTTTATTTTTTTTTGCAGAAAAACAGGATTATTAAATCAATCGAAACCTAATATTTCTGATTAATCCCCAGTCAGCCAACAAATATGTGTTCTTCAGTTTGCAATCAGCATGATGCTGTAAAGTATGTGTGCTCTGATATATCTGTTATTTCATCCTTTGCTCTTTCGTTTCGACAGTTATCTGTGTCTAACTTTGCCATTTGTGACTGTGAGACTCCGATACAAGTCCTCAAAGCGACTGTTTAATTCGAGAGTTATTTTCTTTAGAAATCGCAGGCCTTGAATTGTAAATGTCCGGCTGCCGTTTGTTTTGGTGAATTGTAGATTTGGAGTACTGATTTCGTTTGCGTGTTTATGTAGAAATTGTGATGGAGTAAGGCTGTTTGGAGGTGGTTGGGAAGCTGGTGAAATGGAAGACGGTGGCTTCCCTGTGAGAAAATGGGAGGACCTGAATATTGACATACTGGTGAGGATTTTGCAGTCTTTCGACATCTTTGAGTTAACGTCGGGCATTGCTCACGTTTGTAGTGCGTGGCGCTTGGCTTGCTGTGATCCTCTGCTGTGGAAAAAGCTTGATTTGTCGATGTTGAAATCGAATTTCATCAAAATACCATTGGAGCCTTATGTATATGTGGATGGCCGGTCGGACAAGACATTGACTCGTATTTTGAAGACTTCATTGAGTCTCAGTAAGGGAAACATAATGACATTGGTTTTCCATTTCAACTTATTTGTGAGCGATGATCAGTTGACGTATACTGCTGAAAGGTAACTCATTAAACTTGCATCTCAATGTTTTTTTTACCTTTTCCAATTATGATTGTAGTTTATAACTTTAATCCCACCTTCCGCTAATGTTTGCATATCCGCATTTACATTCCATAGCTATAGAAGTAATCTCGTGTGTCGCGTAAAAAAGCGTTAATTCATTTACCATATACTATATTTCATTTGGAAGCGTTTATTAACTCACTTTTTCCGCAAAACAATTCTTTCTTAGTATCTTTCTAATTCAAAAGATATGTTAGCAAACTCTATATCTTTTACGTTATAGGTTCCATCTCCGCAATTAAAACTTTGTTCGAATTTAGTTCACTTCAGGACATATGCATCGATTGAAAACTTTATTGTAATTAGCACAAATAATATTAAATTTTGGGTATTGGAGTTCTGGCTTCCTTTCTTGTTCTTCAGATAGTATGCTTTTGTAGTGCAAGCTGTGATTTATGAGTGATTCACCCGAAAGTTTATATGCTAGCGTAATGTCAAATGTTGGAAGTGGGAATATGAGGTGGTTTCTTTTAATCACAGGTGCCCACAGCTGAAGCGACTGGTTATGCCGGCTTGGAACAGAATAAAAAAGACTGGAATCTGCAAGGCCATTCGCTGCTGGAAAGAGCTTGAATCGCTAACAATGCCTAGCATAGCGAATCCCCCGTACCTCTTGGAAGAGATAAAAAGGAACTGCAAAAATTTCAGTGAACTGAAGATCATGGGTCCTTGTGATATTTTCTTTGCTTCAACACTAGTTGAACATCTTCCAAAACTGAAGGTGCTAAGCCTCCGGTGCTCGACGCTCTTAAGGGATGTTTTGATCATGATCTTGGATCGCCTAGAACACCTAGAAGTTCTCAACATCTCACACTGCCTTCTAATCGAAACCCCTCCGCCTCCTGCAACTAGGAGACTTGTCAGACAACTCGATCCGCTTATTCTCGAGAAGGCCTCTCGGTTGCAAAGATTTTTAACATGCATGCAGGACTCTTGCGTGATGTGCCAAAGGACCAAAAACGACGAGGGAATCATGAGGTGGTATAAGTACGAAGAAGGGCTATGGAAAGAAGATGAGGTGAGCTCCCTAGCTTGTTGATTACAGCAAGAGATTGTGACTGTAACTTTTTGTGTGGATTAGAAACTATAGCTCGCTTTTGTAATCTTTGATGACTGTATTGCCTTGTGAACGAATAAAACTCCGTCTCCTCTTCATCGACACATTAGACTACCTGATGAGAGGTTTTCTTTTCGTTCTAATTAATGTGTTAATACTGTACATAATGTGATTACTGTAATTAATACTTTACATAAGACTACCTGATGAAGAGGTTTTCTCTCCGACTCTTTTCTATCTCTATTTGGGAGGACTTGGTTCCAATTTTGGGCAACCAAGGGCCGGAAAATGACGGTGTGGGCTTGGCGGGTCGGCAATCGGAGCCAGCACCCATTGGAGAACGCAGAGAGTTGAAGGATCTAGATGGAAGGAATCCGGAGAGAATCTGGACCCATACAATCCCAGTATTGTATGCTGTAATTTCTTCCTTCCAAAACCGAGGATTCACATTATATTACTTTTTTTCTTTCCTTCTAATTCACATTAACAATTTAATCGTCTGATTAATAAAAACTTTGAAGACGTAAGCTTGGCTTGATATGATCAAGAAACGAAGAAGATTTCTTGAAGAAACAATGGAATGCGATGACTCGCCTATGACTTTGGGAAGATGGGAAGACCTCAATGCTGACATATTGTTGAAGATTTTTGAGTGCTTTGCCAACATCTCTGATTCATCTTCCGCCATCAGAAAGGTTAGCGGTAGCGCCGTTTGCAAGGAGTGGCGTTCGACGCTGTGTGATCCTCGGCTTTGGAACAAGCTTGATTTTTCGACGATGAAATCGCATTTCATCAAAACCCCAGATAAACCTTACGTTTATGTTTGCAGCCGGTCCGAGATGACACCGACTCGTGTTTTGAAGATTTCTCTGAGTCTCAGCAAGATTTATAACATGCATGCACATGCGGGACAACAACTCGTCGTGCATCATGTGCATGAGGAACAGAAACGACCACGGGTTCATGAGGTGGCGGTACGCATGAAGAAGGGTTAGTGGCTGGAGCCAGAGTTGTGGTCCTAACACGCTCTCCTTATCTTATAAAACTTCAGGATATCGTGCTTCAACCAATTTTTGTTTGGATCTGAAATGGTACCTTCCTCGTTATCATCATATAGAATATTGTCGAGTATGAATACGATGGATTTCTAATTAATCAGTGACGGAGCTACTTGAGGACCAGGAGAGACCGCGGCCTATCCTGAAGCTTCTTCACTTTTAATTTCTATTTGTGTGTTTTTAGTTGAATACTGTGTATTCTTTGACTTATGCTAAATTCAGAATATACTAAAATATCATAGACCACACTTGATGCTTTCAACTTTCGCGTGCTTAGGCTGCGGGCTGCAGCTATACATTAATAATTTTGGTCCATCTTCTCTATCTTTGTTTTCTATTTTTCTACTTTTAATATTGAAGAGTTGATTATAACTTTTTATTTTATTTTTATACAAATGATATTAATTGAGAGAAATATTTTTTGTTATTTTGATTTTAAATGTGATAATGATATCACTTTTATTTTTTTTAAATTCGATTTTCCGCTTCATTTTATTTTTAATTGAATTGATATATACTTTTGTATCTCTGTGAATTATCCATGTAACACTTCCATCTATTAGGTTGACAAAAAGAATTCTAAATACGAATTTTTACACCATTTACCAATTTGTTATTCAAGTCGTCAATTTAACATTTATATTTTGGACTACCATTCACTCGGTTAATTTCTTTTGCGTGAATGTGAATCATAGACAGCATAATGAACAAAAAAAAAGTAAGAACTTTATATGGAGGTAATTAGAATTTAGAAGTAAGTTACTCAAAAAAACAAATTAAAATAAGAGGAAATTGTAGCAATGGTCCCTTAACTTTAATTAAATTAGAGCAATGATTCCTTAACTAAAAATTCATTACCATTGGTTTCTCAACTCATCAAAATTTGTAGCTATGGTCATTTTCGTCAACTTCGTTAGAATTTTGTCAAAATGAGTTATGTTGGAAGGATCATTGCTACAATTGGGGTCTCTTAATTCATCAAAACGTGTAGCTATGGTCTGTTTCATCATCTTCGTCAGAATTTTGTTAAAATGAGTTATATTGGAAGGACCATTGCTACAATTGGGTTAAAGTTAAGAGACAATTTCTCCAATTTGGTTAAAATTAAGGGACAATTTCTCCTGTTGGATTAAAGTTGAGGGACCAATGGTAATGAATTTTTAGTTGAGGGGCTGCACATTTTGATGAGTTGAGAGACCAATAGTAATGGATTTTTAGTTGATGGATCATTTCTCTAATTGAGTTAAAGTTAAAGCACCATTACTACAATTTATTCTTAAAATAAAACAGAAAAACAGAAGAAATAAAAAAGAAAATTAGAGTTGGTGGGAGTGGTTGTGGGATCAGTGGTACGAATTAACCAAACTAAACTAAAAAACAACGTTACCTCACCGGCCCCATCTGACTCCGAGTCGATAAAAATTTCATCGCCTTTTCAGTCTCTCTCTTATCCCACTTTCTCTCTCTCTAAAATCCCAAAAATGGCTCTGCAACTGTGGGAAACACTGAAAGAGGCGATCGTGGCCTACACAGGCCTCTCTCCGACGACCTTCTTCACTATGCTAGCTCTCCTTGTGGCCATCTATCATGTGGCGTCGGGGTTGTTTGGGTCGTCCGACAACCACCAGCGGTCTAGGAGCTCGGAGGAGGAGATGCAGCCTCTGACGCCTCCCGTCCAGCTCGGCGAGGTCACCGAAGAAGAATTGAAGCAGTACGACGGCTCTGATTCCAACAAGCCTCTGCTCATGGCTATCAAGGGTCAGATCTATGACGTGTCCCAGAGCAGGTACCATTTGGGTTTTTGTTAATTAATTTATTAATTTTTATTTGGGGTTTTAGTTTTTGGATTCTGGGTTTTTGATATTCATGTTTCAAGGTTAAATCTTTGCATGTATTTTTGTGGTCAACGGTACCTATGAATTTGTGCTAATTAGCTCCTGGATTGTTAATTGTACATGCTATTCATCCCATCAGCTACTGAATATCTGGTAATTTTAGCTTCTGGGTTTGTTATCCATGGACACTTGGTTCACTTAGAAGTTCAAAACTTCGGACATCTGGAATTTTGCGTTTGTAATAATATAATTGCAGCTTCTAAGATCACGGAAATTCTGTAGAGTTAGACCAACAAATTGTGTAATCAATGGATTGAAGTTTTATGTGGCCTGGTAGTTACTATCCGTGTAATGTTCTTCGGTTGAAGTTCGAATTTAAGATATCAGTCATCTCCATATGCTAGCAGCATCCAGCTGCTAGCATGCATATGTTGAATCTTACGATCGTATAGTAGTATTAACAATGTGATTTTCAGTACTTACAATTTACAATGGGTTTGATTGATCAAAAGTAATATCTTCCAAGCTCATCGTTTATTTTCAAGGAGTGTTGGCTTAAGGGATGAAGGGTTTGGGATTGTTTCTTATCCTAAATTTTTACATTTTCCAACTCTTTCTGTACCTGCATTCGTTTTGAAGCTTGTTTTTGCAGAGTTGTATTCGTAGTTTCTAAAAGTGTGAACAAGTGGGCAATGGGAACCAACCTCACAAAGTTCCTCTTGCGGGCAAAAAACAAGTTTCTTCCAAAACAACTTGTTTAGTGAGATCAGATTGCTTTGATATAAATGTAGATTACAGTTTTTCGCTCTTGCTTAATCATCCATGTCATTTTAAGTGATGTGAAACAAATAGTTCCATAGCTACTAGTATTACTTGGCCTGTGCTGCCTTCTTTCCATGGATCTGAATTTGTTTAATTTTGAACCATCTTTGCAGGATGTTTTATGGACCTGGTGGGCCTTATGCACTGTTCGCAGGGAAAGATGCTAGCAGAGCTCTGGCAAAAATGTCGTTTGAAGACAAAGATCTGACTGGTGATATCTCTGGTCTTGGTCCATTCGAACTCGAGGCCTTGCAGGACTGGGAATACAAGTTCATGAGCAAGTATGTCAAGGTCGGATCTATTAAGAGCACCACTCCTGCAACTGAAGGAGAATCCACTGGTGAAACCGCTAAAGCCGTCGATCAAGATGCTGCTAAGCCTGCTGAAGATATTCCATACGATAGTCCAGCTGTTAAATCCGAGGAATCGTCATCTAGTGCTGAAGCTAAGCAAGAGTAATTGCAAAGCCGAAACCATTTCTCTGGAGGTACTAAAGATGTTGGGGTCTGGCTGGTGCATGTTTGTTGAATCTTATGCACACACACATAAGTTACTACTTTCATAGCCTAGGATAATCCTGTTATAATCAGATTTTCGTGCATGCTTAGTTTGTGGTGTAATAAATCAGCAATGTTCGACTTCTGTGAGTACTTTGTGCGGTTAAGGAATTATATACAGATGATTCGTACATGCGGAACACGCTTTTTGGGTCCGTAACAATTTCTTTTTGCATCACATAGGCTGCTATTTTTCTGCCTTTCTGCCCCAATACTCTCGCTGGGGTAAGATGGAGGGAAACTTGTGTGTGTGTGTGTGTGTGTGGATGGGGTTGCTCAAGCACGTCATCCGTAGGGCATTTCTCATAAAAGCATGGAAACTCATTGAATTCTGGTTCATTCGACCCTAGCGGTGTTTTCGTTGAACAGATTTTTTAGTCAGGTAGTTTTGCCGAATGTCTCGAGACATAGGCATGTCTTCCGGAGGAATTGGGCTGCCCGCATTTCCCGTCATATCAAGTAAATTGAGATGAAATTAGATGCTTAAACTTTCAGAACATCTCCAACATGGGCAGTCCCTTCACAATGCTACATAATTGTAAACAATCAAAGACTTTCAATCAAAGATTGTTGGTTGTCACTCTAGCACCTTGTCCTTTTGAGGACAGCTTCTTTCTCCTGCAGTGCCAACTCGAACGTACAACGCATTACCTACCGGCACGACAAGCAACCATATGCACATTATCGGACGCAGATTCTCTGCCCTCCCATTTATCATACACTCACATCCCCTTCCTGTTTGTGCGGTCACGATTAAGCAACGTCAACATTTTATATTAATTTTTTTTTATAAAAATAATAAGACAAAAAGTAATAGTAATATAAAATGTTGACGTGATTTAACCGTGACCGTACAAATAGGAGGGGATGAGAGTATACGGGAAGTGGGAGGGCAAAGAATCTGCCTCCCACATTATCTTCTTCTCAAGGTCCCGTCTTTCGCATCCCTCCGGAACATAGAGTCTAATCACGATTAGATATGGATTTCGACGTCCTAAGGGACGAGAAACATGTTATGCGCCTATTGTTTTGAAGTTCCCTACTTTTCGTGGCACTCGAAAATCAGTGTCCCCGTTGGAGCAGCCATAAGCCACTTCAATCAAAAATTTGTCTTTTTGGTCTTCAATCTGAGGACAGATTTGTTCATATTTTTCGTTGTGCATGCTTTTCTTTCTAGCTCTGAATGGACTTCAAATTCGTACTCTCTTTCCACTGAAAACCAAATATTACCAATTCAGGATAGTAGTCGAAACTTAAAGTTATTGTTCATGTTGTATGATTCCAGGATCGTAGTCCTTTTATTTATTGGAACAGTATCCTATCTGAATCCTATTTATTCGATCAGTTCATACTATTTATTCATCAATCATTTTGCGATCAGAAATTATTTTAAATTTTTTGTTTAAAATTGAACACAAATAGTACATAACGAAAATTGATCACACAATGTACGATGAACTTCTAAAATAAATTGATATCTAAGATTCTCACAAAGAAGATCTGGTGAGAATTTGTTCCTTATTTATTGGGAAAGGGATCTTCTCCGGATCCCGTCCACCAAATCCATCAATTCGGATCTTTAAAATTTGATCCAACAGTTAAAGTTATTATAATTTTTAAATAAAACTCCTGTTTTTAGCTATTAGATCAAATTTTAAGAATCTAAATTAATAAATTTGATGAATTTTATGAAAAGAATCCGAAAGGGCCCCTTTCATATTTATTGGACCACAGGTCTACCGCTGGCAGTTGAATTTCTGGTCATTGACATATCTTTTCACTGGTACTGTATGTAAAATGGTGTACTATTGATTAAATGCCGTCGTCCTTTAGCTACCTCAATTTTATGACTTGCCTTCGTAACAAGAGAGTACAATTCTCTCCCTCCTCTATTTTCATTCTCTTTCCTCCCTTCATCTTACATTTTGTTTTTTTGTGTTCTTGTTTCTATAAAAAAAATTAATATAAGATATTGACGTGATTAAATCGTAACCGTTCAAATAAGAGAAAATAGAAGGAAAGAGAGATTAGAAGGGGAGAGAATCCTCCTAACAAGAGAATCTTAGACGTCAGCAGTTCCATGTTTCTTTCATCACTAGAGACACATATATAAACAGTGATAGTGCAGATCTTGTTTCATCAGCTAGCTTGCTTCTATCAAAGAGTAAATTGTAGCAATTGTCCCTCAATTTTAATCAAATTCGAGCAATGGTCCCTCAACTTAAAATCCATTACTATTGGTCCCTCAATTTATCAAAATGTGTAGCTATAGTCCTTTTCATCAATTTCGTTAAAATTTTGTCAAAATAAGTTATGTTGGAATGATCATTTATACAATCAGGGTCTCTCAACTCATCAAAGTGTGTAATTATCGTCCTTTTTGTCAACTACGTAAAAAATTTTGTCAAAACGAGTTATGTTGGAAGGACTATTGTTATAATTGGGTTAAAGTTAAGAGATTATTTCTCCAGTTGAATTAAAGTTGAGGGACCATAGCTGCACGTTTTGATGAGTTGAGGGACCAATGCTAATGGATTTTTAGTTGAGGGACCATTGTTCCAATTGAGTTAAAATTAAGGGACCATATCTACAATTTACTCTCTATCAATTGCTTAGAGCATCTTAAATAGATATAGAAAAAAATAATTGTCAAATATTAATTTGATGATTAACGTGGTATGTTAGATTTTTTTTTCCCTCTAACTCTTCTTTTTTGTTATAATAATATTTGTATGGCTCATTTTTAAAATAAATTATTTGAAATAAAATTTTTAGTTTTATAATTGGTACATTAATGGGTCTCACATAATAAAATAATTTTGTTTTAAAAAAAAATTGACAGCACATTTTCTCATATGTCAAATTTGTTAGCAAAATATTCGTATGTCAATCCATGGAGAATTGATATATCAGTTGAAACTTCTTCCTACCTTTAAATTTAATTGCGAGACATTCTAAATATCTCATTTGAAGATTGTCTTAGTTTCTTATTTAATGTGTTGCCCTTTCTCGGTAGATATATATAATTAGAAAATGAGTGTTCTTGCATTCACATACATATATATATATATATATATATGTATGTATGTATGTGTGTGTGTGTGTGTCTATAATATATATATATATATATATATGTATATGTATGTATATATGACTGATTGATTGTTAGTTTTGGCTTCTATCTGACCAGTGGTTGCTTCATCGTGTCCTTCCAAATAAAAATATAAATTGGGAAAAAAAATAATTCATAAGGATGCCTGACCCTTATAAATAAAATCTTTGAGTTCAAACCTTCTAGCTCAAGTTTTTTAGTCATGAGAATTCATAAACTCTCTCCTATCATTTTGTTCCTTGTTGTAATTATTGCACTGGTTCATGTTTCGAGTTGCCGGCGCATCACTTGGTCCTGGCATGGCAGCGAAGATCCGAACCAAGACTAAGAGCCAAGTTTTCGTCTCTCTTTGCGCGGCGCCTTGGTGCCGGTTCTCATTCTTCTGCAGGATTTGGATACAAGAAGATGAACGGAATCAACGTTGTTGCGCACAAAGCAGTCCCCGGTGGACCAAATCCACTTCACAACTGAGCCAATTGTATCTCACAAATCATACACTCGGTTCTTGGAAAGAACAAGTAGGAAAAGGTCGAAAATCTGCTTCCCTGCTCAAGATTTTGAAGAAATTTTCTTTTCTCTTCAGTTCTTTCATTGAACCGAGCGATTAGCAGTTGAATTTGTTGCGTAATCGTGTCATAATTTTGTAAATCGAAGATGTAAAGTAGTTGATACCTTTTTCGAATATCCAGTGATTTTGTTTGCATCATAGTCAATGCATGTATAGATCAGAAATCAAGCTGAGTACATCCAGTGTTTAGTTTGCACAACATGATGATCTTCGGTACTAATCAACGCGACCACTCTGGTGAATCACTACGTACTCAATTTTTGGATGATCGTCCGATTATGCGCTATAGAAATAGATTGGAAAACAATGAATGAATGAATGAGTCTCAAACCTTCGAATGCAGGTAAAATCAAAGTTGAAAGTCACCTCATTGCCGAAGTTCTTAGTCCTTGTGTTGTGCACGTGTTAAGTTTGAAAATTCATCACACATGAAGGGGCGTGCTGAGAATGAATCTCACATTAATGAGAGGAGGGACCTTGCATGAGCTTATAAGAGGTTGAGTTACTCTCCATCAGGGCTGGCCCAGGCTCAGTGTGGGCAGGACGATCGTCGGGGGCACCAAAATTATTTCGGGTGTTATATTCATATATAATTGCATAAGAGTATAAATTATAAAATTTGGTTAAATGACTCAGAAGTTTAATTAGAACTAGTGGTTTATGTTGTTTAAAATTAAGAAGTAGGTCCCGGGTTCAAATCTCTATGTGTTTATTTATTTTCTAATTTTTATGAATTTCTTTTTATAAGGGTATAAATTTATAAAATTTAGCCGAATAATTAAGAAGTTTAACTAGAAGTGGTGGTTCATGATGTTTAAATAAACTTGGAGGTCTTGGTTCAAAACTTTATGTGTGGTTTATTATTTTTCATTTTATATAAATTTATTTTCATAAGAGTATAAATTTTAAAAATTTTGGAATTTCTTTTTGTAAGAGTATAAATTTTCTAAATTATGGTTAAATGATTAAGAAGTTTAATCAGAAGCAATGGTTTCTGCGTTTAAAATTAACGAAAGGTCTTAAGTTTGAAATGCTACGTGTGTTTTTTTATTCTTTCCAATTTTTACCAAATTTTATTTGCTTGTTAATTTATTTTTAATGGCTAGCTAGTAACTATGTGGGTTGTAATTTTTAGACATTGATTCCGATTCAAGTTTAACATTCAATAAAGAGTAATGCGTATACCAAATTTGCAAACCATATGACGTGTCACTAATAAGAAATAAGCATGTTATTCAACACTCAAGTAATAATTCAATCATCAATAATCCCATAATTCAATTTACAAAATTCCGTATTCCCAGCATTAGCCTTCAAGAAATTAATGGATGCATGTCTCATTTATTATCTATATATATCAACTAAAGATTTGAAAATATAATTATTTTTTTAGTCTCATACTGACAAGGTTAGTAAATAAGAAAAAAACATCTCACGAGTTATATAAAAACAC